TCTATGACATCAGCGTGAGAAGATGAGGTCATTTTATGGATCCTCTCGGGGTGGACGTCAGACTTGAATGGTGAGAACATGCAGTGGTTCTCCTCTTAGCCACACAACCACACACAAACACACACTCACGTATACAGGACCACCGCGGGATTCACACGGTCAGCTTCCTCCAATTCCTAAAATTGAGACTCTGCGTACTGCCATAATTTATAGCTCACACACAACAAGAACAGAGCTGTCTGTATGTGTGTTGGGGGTGTGACAAGAAGGGTCACCGACCTTTGTGACTTGGCTAAAATCCCCCTGGGCCTAATTCAGCATTGGAATGGACCCCACAGCGCAATGGGAAGATGCCTCTAACAAAATGAACACAAAGGCCAATTGTGACGCTATTCTCTGCAGGGCAGAAAGCATCAGGCCCCGGGGACAGTACAAGGTTTTGTTGGCTGAGATGGAGAGGAAAGCCTGTTGCTCCAACAAGTCTGTGATAAGATTCATCCACGGTGACTCAGTTTGTCTCCTGGAGCACTAAGTGTTAGATTTACATCTACTGTATATCTGCACTTGTCGACTGAAGAGCTCGTAAGTGCCTCTTGTGGGGAAAATTAGTGCCGTTTATGTGTTACACCGTCTCCTTACATTTTACACAGGGTTTCTTAAACACTGAGGGCCAGTGAGTGGCTGACTGTCCAGTTTGTTTGGGTCAGTTTACAAAAGACAGGCTGTCCAGGGATCAAGTGCTCTATCTTACCGTTAAAGCCACAAACTGAAAATAACAACCTGCAACATTACTGGGCTTCAGTAATTGTTGCACACCAAAATGAAGAGTGAAAGAGCTAAGGCAAGAATTTAAAACCAAACCCAAGAGAGTGTTGTCTAAAACGGTTTTTTTTTGCTGTGGAACAAGCAAACCACATTACAGTCATAGACCAGTTCCTGTAGTCAGTAGGGGTGGGAGAAAAAATCAATTCACATAAGTATCACAATTTTTAGTTTTATAATTTTTAAAACGATTTTTTTTCTGTTCAAAATTTGTTTTAATTTGTCTTACGGGTTGGCTGCCATTGGTGGAATCTGGGAGTTGTTCTTTTAGCTGGATAAATAAATCTTTTTCAAATCAACAAAATCTTATTTTAATCAATATTCAGTGTCAACTTGTGTATTAATATTAAAAATAATATACTAATGTGGCTGTTTATGTTCATTAAACTCCCCTCAGCGTGAGACTCTTGTCCACCTTGTCAGGATTATAATCGGCATAGCTATTTGCTCGGTGTATATTAATGCCTTATATCTATATATATTGTACATGTTGACCTGATGTTGATTTTAAGCTGCTGTACTTCACCAAAAAACAACAACAAGAATAGAATAAATAAAATAATCCAAGCAGGATCATTTGAACACCCTGATGTTCATCTAGTTACCCAAACCTTTAACAACCATCCCTAACTACCCAAACCGACAGCTTGATAATAGAGCGGACAGAAAGATGAGAACAAAACCTGCATCCCCAACAAGAAGGCAAACAAATGCTAACACTGCTGCTACTGCCAAGAAACACCCATCCCCTCAATTTATTGCCCTTTTCTTAAACTTATTCAATGTTTTCATATACACCGCCCTGCCACACCCCCTGCCAAAACACCCAGAATGTGTCTGTGTGATGTGGTGGGGGATTAAAAAAAAACGAAGCAATAAGATCGGCCCTTTCTTTTTGGTAAGAAAGACTAGAAATGAAGCTTTGTGCACGTCTGCTGCTGTGGCATATTTGAAAGGTCTGGTCCGGCTGCTTTTGTGTCACACACATAAAGAGGATTGAGGGAAAACACAAACTGAACCACTGTGCCGTTGTGGCTTTGGCTATTAGTCAACGTGACGGCCTTTGCAGATGCTAATGGTGTATAGTGTGTCCCGCCCGGCCTCCCTCCTCCCAGAACGTGGCTATCTGATAGCACAAAGACCTTCAGCTGGAGGTTGACTTTTCCCCCTTTCTTTTCAGGCCTGCTACAAAGTCATTAGGCTTTTTTCTCTGCTTTTCCCTTGTTTTGAAGAAAACAGGGGAATATAATAGCCGCACAGACAACAGAAAGTTGACATGAGGCAGTTATCTCCATGTGTAAAGCCTCAGGTGATGGTAGTGAGGAGGAGACTGCCCCCCTTGCCCTCCCCTCTGCCCTTAGAGCGATGTGGAGATGAAGTAACAAGCAGCCTCTTGTGAAAGAAGAGAGGATGCCCAGGAGAGGGGGACCTCTGGACTCTGACTTATTAATCAGGCAGGCCCTCAGCTGCCCGCCTGCCTCTCTCTCTGGCTGCTGCCTTAGGCTGCAGCGTGTTCTCAGCCTGCTCCGGGTTGAGATAACAGCCCTGCAGAGTTAAATACTCAGAGGGTTTACTCAGACCTGGAGCAGAGGCCTTATCACTTCAGCGCACAGGTCACTGCATCCAGCAGCAACCAGCCGTAGAAGCACAGCACACTGACTAATGGAAACATGCGCTGGTTTAACTCAGCTCTCTGAGAATGAGAGCGCAGCAGAGCAGAAAAGCTGAATGTGTTTAACATGGCAGCTTTATATTAAAACAAAATATCCGGTTACACTTTATTCAACGCCTATCTCTATAATGCATTATAAATATACACTCACCGGCCACTTTATTAGGTACACCTGTCCAACTGCTCGTTAACACTTAATTTCTAATCAGCCAATCACATGGCGGCAACTTAGTGCATTTAGGCATGTAGACATGGTCAAGACAATCTCCTGCAGTTCAAACCGAGTATCAGTATGGGGAAGAAAGGTGATTTGAGTGACTTTGAACGTGGCATGGATGTTGGTGCCAGAAGGGCTGGTCTGAGTATTTCAGAAACTGCTGATCTACTGGGATTTTCACGCACAACCATCTCTAGGGTTTACAGAGAATGGTCCGAAAAAGAAAAAATATCCAGTGAGCGGCAGTTCTGTGGGCGGAAATGCCTTGTTGATGCCAGAGGTCAGAGGAGAATGGCCAGACTGGTTCGAGCTGATAGAAAGGCAACAGTGACTCAAATAACCACCCGTTACAACCAAGGTAGGCAGAAGAGCATCTCTGAACGCACAGTACGTCAAACTTTGAGGCAGATGGGCTACAGCAGCAGAAGACCACGCCGGGTGCCACTCCTTTCAGCTAAGAACAGGAAACTGAGGCTACAATTTGCACAAGCTCATCGAAATTGGACAATAGAAGATTGGAAAAACGTTGCCTGGTCTGATGAGTCTCGATTTCTGCTGCGACATTCGGATGGTAGGGTCAGAATTTGGCGTCAACAACATGAAAGCAAGGATCCATCCTGCCTTGTATCAACGGTTCAGGCTGGTGGTGGTGGTGTCATGGTGTGGGGAATATTTTCTTGGCACTCTTTGGGCCCCTTGGTACCAATTGAGCATCGTTGCAACGCCACAGCCTACCTGAGTATTGTTGCTGACCATGTCCATCCCTTTATGACCACAATGTACCCAACTTCTGATGGCTACTTTCAGCAGGATAATGCGCCATGTCATAAAGCTGGAATCATCTCAGACTGGTTTCTTGAACATGACAATGAGTTCACTGTACTCAAATGGCCTCCACAGTCACCAGATCTCAATCCAATAGAGCACCTTTGGATGTGGTGGAACGGGAGATTCGCATCATGGATGTGCAGCCGACAAATCTGAGGCAACTGTGTGATGCCATCATGTCAATATGGACCAAGCTCTCTGAGGAATGCTTCCAGCACCTTGTTGAATCTATGCCACGAAGAATTGAGGCAGTTCTGAAGGCAAAAGGGGGTCCAACCCGTTACTAGCATGGTGTACCTAATAAAGTGGCCGGTGAGTGTATGTATAATGCATTATCTATATGGGCATCATCAGTGAGTTGTTAACATTTATAACACATTATAATACCTGACCTTGTAAGTCATGATAAATTGCTTTATAATCTGTTATGATTATTGCTATAAAGCATTATGATCATTTATGAGTGTTTATAACTATAGTTATACAGTGCTATAACATGATTATACCGCATTATACATATATTTATAATATGTTATAGAGGTGGGCGTCAAGTAAAGTGTTACCAAATATTTTACTTAAAATTAAATGCAATGACATAATAATAGTGGATATCCATTATGCTCAGATGCTGCATTTCACCAGACTGCTTGACTGTTTCTCTGAATCATGTGGTCCAAACACATGTCACAGCAAACAGTCTCAATCATTCTTGGTGTTTTCCAACATCGTGTCTATGTAAGCTTGGGTAACTGAAACACTTGGCTAATAAGGTGCACACAGAATATCAGAAATAGCATGATCATCAGGTAATGGCATCATCATTGTTAGTATGACAGCCAATCAGAATGCCGGTAAGCTCAACTTCTCCTTACAGCATAGGAGAGTTGTTAAAGTGGCTGTAAATGAGGCTCGGTGTTCATCACTGATCCTTGAAACAGACATTAATAAAGTCTGAAACAAGCAGGAGTTTTTCTGCTTGTCCAAGTCATGTCACACATCCATACATTCAGTTGTCCTAATAACCTTTGAATAACTGTAAATGATACCTACTAATTCTCAGGACTCTGCCTCCCTGGTGATGGGGAACGAGTGATGTTACAAACTCAGTTTCAAAGTCATGTTTTTATCAGGTGAAGCTCCTCCAGGTTATTTTTTTAGTCTTACACCTTTTTTAGTGTTTTGTTGTCCGTGTCCCAACTTTTTTAAAATGTGTCAGGAATCAACTTTGTTTTCCAGAAAAACCGATCCTTCACTTCCAACCTTAGATGTCTTTGCACTATTTTAAAGTAAATAGAAGGTTTGGTAAGCAAACAAATTCTAATTTTATTAAGCTTTTACAGTTTTAGCTTCTCAAGAACTGAAACTGTAAAATTTCCACAATTTAATTTAAACTTGGCTTAATGTTTTAAAACCATGTAAAACTGCAATACTAGAGGAGGCTGTTACAAAGGCAGACACTGCTGATCTGGATGACGATGCACTGGGCTGACACGTCATGAAAAAGGCCTTTTTATTTGTCAATTTTATTTTCACTTTTTCCTTTAAACACAAATTTAATAAATAAAGCACATCTGATGGGGTACACCATGCAAACATTACTTTCTACAACATAAAACATTTTTTGAACCAACGCACCAGTTTTTCTCCGACACACGTGACTCACTCTGCATGGACACGTGCTGTACATGATAATAGATCCATGACTTCCCTCTAACTCTGCCTGTACAGATGCACGGCTTATTATATATATTTATACCCATATACACATGAATGAATGACTGGGTGAGGTTAGCACAATCTCCACCCCCTTTTTCCAGTCAACATCATCATAGACTGTTTTGCAAGCTAGGAAGAATAAGCGGATGGTCGTGAAGGGAATGAAAGACCGATGTAAAGACAAGAATGAGGAAGAAGCAGATTGGGAGCCGTGTGGGAACATCCTGTCAAGGACAGTGACTTCTGGAGGAATCAGTGAGAGGACAGAAGCATAAACATTTAAAAAACCCACCATGTGAGGAGTTTTCTTTTTGTCTCCTTAGCTTTAAAGGACGTTTTTAAAGGAAGAGAATTTTTTATCTTGGTGTTTAAATGTGTGATCTGCCTCATTAAGTAGTGAAAAGCAGGAGATCACAACAACCACTCAATCAGAGACAGAAGGGGAAACGAGAGAGAAAAAAAAAGAACCCGTGCTGCGTATGTGTAGGAAAAAACTGTCCTATGAAATAACAAACAAACGTGAAGCAGTTTAGAAGTCCAGCAAGACAACCCACCCACTCCTTTGAAACTGGACCACCCAGAAAAGATGGAAACCAGTAAATTAAAAATGTATAAATATGAAGTGTAAAAAAAATGACAGCAATGGCGTTCAAATCAAACAAATTCACCCCCAAAGTGGTTGATAATGTATTTTTAAACCGTTACTAGACACTTTGAACCTATGCTGTAATATTTCTAATGACTTATAATGTAGAGTTAAAACTGACACTTTTACCTTTAGCTGACAACTGAGTCTCATTATCTGTTAAAATAACAGAAAATGTTATTGTACCAGATAATGTTAAAACCTGCTGTACTTTCCTCAAATTTATGGACAACTTAGCGACATCCTGAATTGGTGTGTAATTACTGTGTCCGGTCGCTTTTATGAGTTTGGTTATCATCTGTTATTTGCAGCACTGGGAGAAAACTGATGAATTATTAATGCAGGAAGACAGGAGTACTACATTACGCACGGACAGGAACAAGAACACAAGGTACATTATGAGCATTTGGCAAACATACAAACAATGAATAGTCAAAAGTAGCTCCAAAGATCAAAATAAAAACAGGTTTTTTATATCATATTGGAGCTGATTGTGTTGTGTTAGGAGGCGGATTTTGTATCTGAACAAAAGGTTGAAGAGAGCTGCACATTGAACCAGGTAGTTGACTTTTTTTCTTGTGACTTGGGGTGATAATTATGGGAAATGAAGAGTACAGCTGCAGCTTAGAGGTAAAACTTAAGTGCTTTGGATCTTAAGTGCGACAAAAAAAGAGCTGATGACTGTCAAATGGATGAAGATGCTTCTGATAAGCCATGTAGCTGTGTATTCTCGGTGCATCAGGCAAAATAAAGGTATGAAACTCAAGGCTACTTAACCCACCAGAAGCGTACCGATGGTGTTTCTTTGTACAGAGATCAGAGCTCACACACTTCTAATCATATATACACAGATACCATCAGCTACAAAAAAAAAAAGGAGATAAACATGTTCCCCCGTCTTAATTTACTGAGAATGAGTGGTCAGGTCAAACTTCTCATTTTCCTCTGCTTCTATACAGAAGTCTCCCTCCAACAAGAAAGTTGATGAGAAAGCTTGAAATCCGTCGTGTCGTAACTTTCCCCTGTTAAGGTCCATCAGTGGTAAGAGGGGACGGGAAGCCGAGCGGCAGGTTTTAAAATCGGGTGAGTGATGGAGGAGCAGGGTGACTAAAGTCATTTACATATCGAGTCGTCTTTGTTCAGTGCATTTCTGTGTTGTGATCCATGAATCGAAACAGTTCTGGGAAGAAAAACAAGAAAAGGAGAACAGATCAGATACACAGACAATAACATGATTGATATATTTGAACACTACTATCCAAGAATTTTATAATAATAATGATTCCGTTGACTTTCACCTGCTTCTCTTATTTTTCCTTATGAAGAGCTTCAATGAAGGCTTCAAGTTTCTCCTGGATCTCCCGAACTTTCTCTGCAGAAGAGAAGACAAAGCAAGTTGAGGTTAAATCTAGAAGTGTCACAATACAACTTTTTGACTTCCCATACAAAACCGATATTGTAGCCTTCAATATTGACCGATACTGATATTGATCCAACATTGGCACAAAATTCTGCATGACAAGTTTTTCACTCAGCTGCAATGTCTTTTTTCGGACTTCGACAAAAAATACTGCCACACAGCCAACATCACTCTTACTCCTTGCTACTTTGTTAGTATCTCAGTACACACCAATGTTGTGATTTTGTGGGCTCAGCCTGTTGGATCAGGGCGCTGCTAGATAGAGATGCTGGAGTGGAGTCTGGAATGGACTGCTTGTATCGGAGTGCTGATATCAGCGATTTTAGATGCAGGCTGATAGAATCCGATATTATTTCTTTTTTTGCGGATTCGACTGATATCCGATATCAATATCGTATCGTGACACCCCTAGTTAAATCCATCATAAATACATAAAATATGGATACAAAGCAAATACAAAAAAGAAATGTTTATCTACTGCTGAGGAAACCCATAAAAATAGAAATAATCTTGTATAAAGTCTATTAAAAGTTTCTTAAAGACATCAAAAATCCATTACTATTATATATTTACCTAAAAAATTAATAATAATATGATGATATAAATATGATGCATCTCTAAATGTTTTGGGCATACATTTTTGCAGGTGGAAATTCCCTCCAATTTTTCATCCAGGCACCAGATGGTCCCCTCTGACATGACAGCCAAACCTCAAGCCAGCCCTGCTTCACACATTAGAGGAGGGCTTGTGTACCCTATCCCAGTTAGCTAAGACCACATCAAAGCTCTCACCCTTCCCTTTTCATGACATCTAGCTCACGGGCACATTGCTAATGGACAGGAGGAGATACCATAACAACAACATTTCACATGAAAGAGGGGAATCTACTGGAAACACAGTCAGTCACTTCTTTTCACGATTACGCTCTCATTGTCCGCGGACGAGCACAAGACCAGCAATCCTTCCAGCCAACATGTACTGTCACACGAGATGAGCGAGCCACCTAAAGCAGTCTTAATCGCTGATTAAACAGTGGCTGAAGGAAGTCTGTGGGCCAACACAGAGAAAAAGGAAGCAGTGGCTCTGCATTGCCAGCTGCACCTTCAGGCCCTGGCTGCTGCTCAGGCTTCCCTGTCACCCTTGCTAATCTGTCTGGATCTCCCCCAAGCACAAACTCAAACAGTGGCTCAGAAGAACAAACTAGCACTGCACTATCTTGATCAATCAGCCACATGAGATCCATAGGCGACCTTTTGTTGATTGTTTTCTCAAGAGGCGGCCCGGTGAAAACACAGTTTGAAGAAGGCTCTTGCGTTTTGAGGGGGGATAAATCATTGAGGTTTGGACCTCGCAGCAACAGTGTCCTAAGTGTCCATTTCAGGTCAGCACAAAGGTGATAACTGTGTGCGTGCTTTGGAGTGAAACTGAATATGGTACTCGGGGGCTTGTGAGTGCAGCCCCTTTTGATGGGGGGCACGGCTGCTGAGGTATCTTTTTTCCTGATGGATGAATAGCACACGGTTGGGAGAGACGCAGGCACACCCCCACACACGTTCCGAAACACAAGAGGGGCTGCAGAGAAGTGCAGGAAAACACACACACTTCTACATGCACAACACTGAAGCAGACAGGTAGGCAGAACTTGTAAAAAAAAAATCAACTGACAGCCAGAAAAGCTCTGCCCTAAAAAAACACACGGCTCCAACCTGCCCTAATGTATTGAAAATCAGCAAGAGCTGTACAGTCATGCCACCTCCACCTCCTTTTACCTTCCTACACTCTCACCGCTGGCAGGTGGAAGAAAAAAAAAAATCCCCGGTCTTTGATACTCTGTTAACACACTCAGGCGAAATGGCAGGGCGTTAGGTGGAGATTACAACACCTAATGGAGGTATTAAGGGGGCCTGTCAAGGGGCATGCTGACAAGTCGCTGCAGCAGGTGTGGGGTTGAATGAAACATAACCCCGCGGTACGCCATTCCAGCATGCAGCCCACCGCAGGGCACGGCTCAAAGACAACTGACAGAGTTCAACCATGTGGGCTGTGCGTCCTGACCACAGGACAACATGACTCAATCCAGGCCAATCAGAGGAGGATTACCAACATCTGTCCAACCTGGAGGGGAAAAAAAGGAAGGGTGGAGTTTTGGTTGGTGTGAAGAGAGATGGGTGCTGACTGTCAGATCATCAAAACATGGGAAATCCCCTGGCTCAGGCTTCAAAGCTGCTACCTGGGTTCAGATGTGGCTGGTGATGTTTCAGATGCAGGGCACTTCACACAGGTTAAATATTAAAGATCCTTCCTACTGTTGGACGGAGACGAGAAGATCTGAATAATCACAGGGGGCAGCAGCGACAGAGGAAGTAGATGAGAGGGCTTCTGATGAGGAAAGATTGGCTGAGCTCATGGGAAGAGGCTGAAAATCATTTGGTTATCCATCAACACCTGAGTCAACTGAAACCACGCAGCAACCTTTAGTTCACTGACCACTTCAACAAGTAGTTTAGAAGCAGCTTTGTAGCTCTTTTTAGTACATCTGCTACTGCCAGCCTGCCTCCTACTGGCATGGTGAATGATTTCAGGCTATGATAGTGTTGAAAGTTGTAGTCTACTAATAAACCAGGACATGCACCACCACTTCTGCAAAATTCAAGTTTCCTGCCTCAAATTTAATTTTCTTCAGCTTTTTCTTTTCACTTTTAAACGGTAAAATACTTTTTCTTTTTTTTTTATAAAACTCAAAAACTGCTGGAAACTTACCGTATTTGTTTTGCCTTCAAACCTACAGATCTGTTTTCAGACTTTTATGTAGGGGTGGGAATCACTAGTGGCCCCACAATACGATAATATCCCGATACTTGGGCCACGATTTAATACTATTGCAATTTTCAACATTTTGCAAAACAGTGAGTGTTGCAATACTATATATTGCAATTTATACAATTTTTTTCAACTTTTTAGCTAATTTAGCATTTGCCTTTCCTTTATGTTTGTCTTATTTACGCTGTATTTTATTTTCATGTGGCACATCTTGCAAACCTTATATATATACTTGTACTTTGTCCTGCTCCATGATGTGACCTCTGCCAACCTCACTGGACAAAAAGTTGATTTTATTTCTCCATTATCATATATTTGACTACATCTTAGCAATTAATTTGGAAAAAATTGATACTTGGTTAACAAGATGATACAATATATCACCAGACAAAATATCGCGATACTATGCCATATCAATTTTTTCTCCCACCCCTACATTTTGGATTATATTCTGTTCTCTTGAGGCTACGATTACCAGCCATCCATCCTCCTTACCTATGCCCGACGACATGTGCATTAATGCTGGACCATATTTGGAGCAAGGTTGGTAATAACTGCAACAGCAAAGCCTGTTAAGCTTCCCCTGACAGCAGGACACTTAATGACTTAAAAATGAGCCCTCAGCAGCTTTAAGGAGCCCAAGAGGCCACCACAGATGTATGGGAATGGTGTCTTTCAGATAAGCCAATATTCTATGGATAAAAACTGTGAGAAACAGATATTTATTTCCCCCAGCACCATCTGTTTGCTACCAAAAGACATGAGCAAGCTAAAGAAAAGGCCACAACAAGGCTTTCTTTTCACTGTCCCGTTGAAATGCAACAAAAAACAGTGGACAGAGTCACTATTGCTTGGTGCTCACTGAGCAACAGTGGGAGTAGTGATCTAAAACTCCATTTAGGCCCCTGTTTACCTAAGAGATGAGCCCCAAAACACAGTCATTCAACCGCTCACCCCTTTATCTGGTCATGAATATTTCCATAATCCCCTGGCCTCTATCCCAGAGGCCCTGTGCTTTAAGATGCAGGCTGCTGTGTTGGTTGGCAAGGGTGGAGGGACAGAGAGAGGGACAGAAGGGGGAGCCTTTCCCTCCCAATCCCCTCTTTCAATGCCGCCTCTCGGCTGATCTCCACATGAAATGATATCTCATTCACTCTCACTCTGTAGTGTCTCCTAAGCCTGAAATGGCCAGAGCTCTGCCTGAAGGAGGGTTGAGCCACAAAGCTGTTAATTGACCTGTAATTAGACTGAGAAACTGCATGGTCTTAATGGACAAACAGCTAACTCAGGAGAGAAGAGACAGACAGAGAGAAAAAAGATAACTCTTAACTGCTCACTGCTACAAAAAAGTGTATTTTATTAATAAAAGGCAACCAAATATTTCCAATGATACAGATTTTCCAACTGAAAACCAAGCAGAAGCTCACAGCACGGTCACTCGAGCGCTCAGAGCAGAGGGCTTGGTTCCTGTCCCGAACTGTCATCAACAGGAGGGAACTTTTTATATCTCATACCTGTGTTCTGCTGTTTCCTTCACTGAAAGCAGATCTCTTAATGTAACAAACAGAAAAGCCATTTTCCCCTCAGTATACTGTTTGATTTGTCACTAAATCTGGTGTGTCACACTATAAAAGGGGAGCCACGGGAGATACGGACACAGGGAGAGCTGGGATGTCAACGGCCCAAACGCCATGTCAGTGACAGAGCTATGAATCAACGCTCGCTCACACCGCGCTTATCTAGAAAACAGATGCCTGGAAGAGAGCAGCCTAACGTGGAGAAAGACATGCATGGGGCTGAACAGGTCAGAGTATGGGGTCAGCCATGGGGCAGACTAAACAAAAACAGGAAAAAAGAGATGGCAAAACCCTTTGAAAAAGCCAGGTGATGACTGTTGTTGGGCTGTTTTTCTGCAGGTTTTATTGACACGGACTGCTTGGGCCTTTGAAGTGCCAGACATTTCAGATGGTTTTGGAGCAGGGGGCTGTAAAGACGGGGAAAAGGTGACAACATTTTCAAGTTGATTTATCCCTCGGCCTCATGAATACGAGTAAAAGAGGACCAATACAGAAAAAGGACCAAGAGCAAGGAGCTTCAGGTGACCAGAACTTTAATTCCATATCCAGAAGTCAACAGTGGTCTACACACTCTCAAAAGTAAAAAAGGTCTGAGACAGTAAGTCGACTTATAACTCATGGTGTAAATCACAGAAAGTCACAGGTTTGAAGTTTTCCAGGGCCCACCTTTTTGCCCTGAAATGGAGCCCTTTGCTAAGGCTAAGTGGCAATCAATCTTGAGTAGCTACAAGAGCCAAAGGATGTGAGGCTGACGGCTCTGGTTTAACAGAGATCCTGTCATAATCCTCCAGAGAAAACTCCCTTCTGCTGACTCAGCCGCAGGTGTGAGGACTGAGGTAACCAACGCTGAGCTCTGGAGTGAGCACAAACGCAGTCTGAAATTGCACATGTGCGTACAGCTCTGTGGAAATCTGGGGTTTATCTCAATTTATAGATTCAACAAAAAATGTAGAATCCATAGCCTGGGGTCAGGATGGAGTTTTTCTTGTCCAAGTGACCGATCATGTAGCAGCAGGCTTTGATGGAGAGCAAAAGCAGGCAGAACACAGTATGTCTCTGCTAGAGCTGCACATGATTAAATGGCGGCCACACTGGAATGTCCAAAAAGTTCCCCATCACTCTTTCAAGCTTAACACCGGCGGAGGATGGCTGATGGGTTTCTGAGATTGCCTGGGTCCAAATAAGAAAGATGGCTCTCGAATCACCTTCTCTCCGTTCTTGACACAGAGGTTATCCCAAATCAGCCAATCAAACAGGATGATGGAGATGGATATGGCAGTTTTCCGTGCCTTCAGGTACCTACATATTTTCAGCCACTCAGGAGGCCACCCACCGGCACAACCATATAACACTGCAAAGACAGCGAACGCACCTGGAATTCTTTTGAGCCTCTAGCAAAGACCCAAATGCTTGAGCCGATGGACGGCAGGTGTTTGCCTGCTGAACCTTTAAAAGGGGAAAATTCCTTTGCTGCAGAAGTTTACTTCTTTCACAACACAATACACACAGCATCATCTGATCAGAGAAGTACAAGCCTTTTGGAACGTGCTGATTTCCCACTCTGATGAAAATCATGTTTTTCTTGGTTTTTTTTATACGTTCTTATGGCATTTTTCTGATGCTTCAGGACAAATCATGAGAAAAATAAGTGCGAAATTGCATTTCTGAGTATTTCTGCATTCAAATCGCTGTGAATCTCTGGCAGACCCAAACGGCAGTTTCATAGCAAATGCAAGCTCCGCCCCCAGAGCCCCGTTATGCAGGTCACAATCGGAGAAATAGGAGGATGATCGCTGAACAAGCATGTGCGTTAGCGGATTGCAGCGCTTGTAAGAAAGTTAATAATAATACAAGCTTTCATCATGTCCCTAAAGACATGATTGTCTCCTATGTTACCTGCTACTTCTACTACACCAGTAATGTTAGGCTGCAAGCTAGCATGAAGAGGAGTGTGCAGAACAGCGCTGTCTTCGCCCACGACTCAGAGGCGAAATGCTGATGAGCTACTGGAGCTCTGCAGGAGAAAAGCCCTTAAAAATGACGCAGGAAACACGATTTTGACTAAAAACTTCATACTCAGAATTTACAGACCACCGATAACACTTTAAGTATATAAAAAAAAAAGATCGGAGTGGGACTTTAATGATAAAACACAGAATTTTTTAAATGATTTTCAGAATTTCTAAACATCAAGATGGTGTTCACAACACTTTCTTTTGGGCTGTTGCACATGGTATGAGAAAACTCTGACCTTAGGTTTGCATTTTTACCACAGCGAGGGATCATATGGTTTTCCTATTACTTCATCCCCACCAGCAACTGATGTCACGTCTTTGTGCGTGCATGTGTGTGTGAGTGACAGGCAGATCAGTGAGAATGTGTCCCTGGTGGCCACACTGTACTGGAAACATGTGAACAGAAGCCTCGCTGGAGTTCCCCTCCCATCACACATCTCCTTCACGTTCCTATTTTCCCACACTCTCTCTCTCTCGCTGCTGCTCCCTGAAGAGAATAAAAGACAGCTTCACATCCTCCATCATGGTTTTACTTTTTTATCACCACTTCTATTATCACCACTAGATTGACTGTCATCTAAAACACACAGCTCTTTTCCTCATTTCCTCAGTCTGCTGGATTTATATCCTGAGTTTGTGTCTAGGGAGGGTATTTAGAAACAGCTACATCACCTGGAGGTTGTTTATCAGTCGATTAAATCCGACTGAAATGACTTTACAAGCTTTTTGAATATCTGAGAAACAATGCAGAGACTCTCGGGCAAAAAACGAGTGTGTTACAGTTCAAATACTATTTCATGATTTTCAAGGAGAGTAATTATCTGTGGTGTTTTGAAGGGTAACATTGTGTCTGCAAAAGGGGAATTATAGCTGTTCCTTATTCTAGCTGTGACAGACAGGAGTGAATGCAGGCAAGAAATAAAGACTTTGAGGAAGGGAGGGGCAAGAGGTAGATTATAAAAAAGTAGGAAAAATCATAGGTCATGATTTTGGTAAATGGTGGCAGATGCTTAGGTAAGGCCTTAAAGGAGTGTGGTGCAGGAGGAAGAGAAAGAAAAGAGCAGGAAATGGGGTGGCTTTGTTGTTTTGCAATAGTTTCTGAAAAGGTTGAGAGTGTAAAGCTGAACATATCAGACAGGAGACAATAAGAAACAAGGCAGCTGTATTGATGAGAGAGGGGAAGGTAAACGCAGAGGAGTCAGCAGCAGACAGATGCCACATGCCTTAGATCAGTCATGCTTCTTCAGAGAAACTGAAGTAGGAGTGGAAAAGTAAAACTTTGTGGAAGACACACAAGCAGACGACTTCAGACTTCAAACTTTATAGGAGACTTTAAAAACTTTTACCAAAAGAAACATGACCTGAGTGTTTTTTCTTTTAACTTAAGGTTAATGAAAGAATCAAATGAAAACAGTTTTATTCTTAGAGGAGGTCTTGTGTCGTTGATCTTAGGACAAGAATGTCTTTCATCAGTACTGACCTCTTCTTAACCAGTAGACAAAGATGAAAGAAAGCTATCATAAGATAAGAAGTGGACACAGGTAGTGGACAAAGACTAAAGTATAATTAGTGCTGGTGTCGCTTTCACACATTAAAGGACGAGACTAGATAAAGACTGAATGGGGGAGACTTGTCTGTGCCAGTATTATGACAACTGTGGATCTACTCTTTGTGGAGAAAATGGATCATTTGGTAGCTGCAGCTTGAGGTTTCTTCCTCTATGAGAAAAAACAAACCTGTACTGTACTGCTGCAGAGCCTCCGTAGTTTAACCTGACAGAGTCTGTTAGATTTAAAAACAGTGTCAAGAAAATTTTCAAGAGATGTTGCATTGAAGAATAAGAAAGGGGGCTAAAAAAGAGAGAGGAAGAAAAAATAAGGAGGCTCGATGAGATTCAGAGGAAGGCAATAGGCAGAAAAGTGAAGAGTGAGAAACAAAACAATAGAGGAAGTAATTCAAATTCATGAAAGGTCATGTTGAAGTATGAGTTCAAGCAGGAGCAGCAGTCCCCAATGTGCCAGAGAGCAGACAGTCTGCCCACTTTCTCACTGCGCAAAACCACCCCCACGTTCCCAAAGTGCACACTCGGGCCATGTCTACAATGATACGAATACTTTTTAAAATGCATATTTTTTTGTCTGTTTTAACATCTTTCTCTTAAAGGTGGCATTTTTGACCCCTGAAGAACAGACTTTTAGACAGACTCCTTCCTTAGCGAGACGTGATTACACCGACACTGAATTGCGATGTGGTACGGCAAGGGAAAACCAAACTTTGAGAGATGCCGACTCATGTGGGTTAGCCTTTACACGAAAACAATTTGAGGTTAAAACAACCTCAACAACCAGGGTTGTAAAAGTACAGATATTGAGTTGTTTGGACTCACACTAATATTAGGGGGAGAAAAAAAGTTGAAAAAAAAAGTGGCAAATAAATTGTGTCAAAATTTCAACCTCTTTCAGTGCAACAAGTACAAAGAAAAGCGCAAGACTATCTCACCTGTGCAGTGGTTTACAGTCACACGGCATGCAGCATATTAAACTGCATCAATGCACAGACTGAATAAACTCTGTAAATTAGCTGTGAACTGTCAGCTGCAGCAACAATTTTAGGATAATATGATGTTAAATTATGATTGCTGACAGAGTGAACTAAAATGATTGATAACGGAGCAAACTGTTGGCAGCAATATTTAGAAAAGGTGAGGAATCTAATTAGATTTAATAAACCTATGCATGGTGTAAATATAAACATGCTAAAATAATACAGTTATAAGCATAGGAATATTTGATATAACCTGAGTTTTTCGCAATCTGAAAAATAATTTGTTTTCTTTCATTTAGGAGTGTAAAGTTAAGGTTTTTGTTTTTACGCGTAATCTGAGAACATATGTCACCTGACAGGGACTAATGAGCTTTCTATAGTCAGAGGTCGAAAGGCCTCGCTCAAAAATACTGTACAAAAGTCAAAAGACCAAGAGATGTCCAGGCTGATTTCCTGCCAACCCTTACAAAGCCACACAGAAAACATGAACCAGCTGTAAGGTTTATGCAGGAGCCACAGCAGTGTCCTGATAAACTATGGCTCTTTCCCCTCTGACAACAGCCACATGTGGACACAACACCTTAAGACGGTACGTCATCCTCTACAGAGCAGAACTCCTCCACACTAATCACTCCGGAGGAAGCTGCTCAAAGGAGGAGGAGGAGGAGGGGGAGGAGATGAAAGGAAACAGTGAGCGTGAGGCTGAGAGGGCATTCCGGTGAGCAAGCCCAGACATCCAGAGCTTTATTGTATTCTGTTTCCACACAGGAGAAAGGAAAAGGAGAAAGTAATGGCGTGTGCAAACATGCTAACACTTTATATATTATCAATGTTCTTTAAAGCCCCTTCTGTTAGCACCTTTAATTCCTTCACCCTCTAACAGCCTTAACTCAAAAGCTGATATCCACAATCATGCATATCTTCGCACTGGCTGGTGGCAACAAGCCAACAATCTAGATGGTGAACTTGTAAAAGGTTATTTAGGCCAGGTGTTCCTATATATCAGTCCCACCAACAGAAACAGTTACAATGACAATATCTTATTAGATATAATAACTTTGTGCCAATTAAACGCAAGAAACACTTTTTTCAACTCAAGGGTATTTGCAGCTATTGCACAGCTCATGTAAATATTTCTACTTGAATGAAATGTCATGAAAAAAAAAAACTCACATAACACATGGCCTGAATCCTCTTTCTCAATTAGATGAGTCCTGAGATGACTTAAAATATTTAACAGTGACTTCTAGGACTGCAATCAACCAAAGAAAATCTTGGTCAAATAAAACCCTGAAATTTTTTACCAGAAATGGACTAATCGAGGGGCGGGGGTTCAGGCACTGACGGCAAACCCTTCTGGGGCGGGGTGGTAGAGGACATGGATGGTAGAGAAGGACTCACGTTAAAGTTTAAATGCTCAAAATACAAATAAATATTCAGCAAAACACTGGACGTCGATCAATGTGCACACTCTTCAATCTTCCTGTCTCCAGCCAGTCTGCAGTGGGTTGGGCAAATCCAAAATGGTAAAAATAAGGGGGGTGTTCCGAGACCCTATGTTCCTCCTAATGAAATTAACCATAGACTGTAAACTGACGCAGAAAAAAAATCGAGTCGACCAATCAGAATTTTAGTCGACTCAGCGCGTATCGACCAATAAGTCGACCAGTTGAATAGGACTTTACAGTCCCAGTGACTTCAACACTCCCAGCGAACACTCTCGAAAAGATGGAATTAAGTCAAGCTCTATATGAAAAGACATCTTCAATTAATCAAACCTAATCCAAAATCCCAAATAACTAGACAGAAAGTACCCATGTAGGCTCAATCTGCAACCTGAGTCACCTCCCCCACGAACAAAGTTTCATTTTGAAGGATTAACATTAAGTTTAAAAAAAATAATTTTAATAAAATTTAAGAGTAGCTTTTTAATTTGATCTTATTTCTAAGTGATAAACAAGTGAGAGTTAGTCAGCGTTTCAGTTTTTGAGCTCACATTTAAAAGGATAAGACTGTCTTTGTGTTTACCATCTCTGCAGCGCACTGCGTGTTTGTAAACTGAGACAGAGAGACGACCTCGCCTGTGGTCAGCATCAACAAGCATCTGTGAAAGTGCAACAGAGGGATCATGCCAACACAATGGTCTCTCTGGATGGGAAACAAAACCATGATTTCATGGCCCATAGTAACAACATTACAGTAGACCTACTTTGCAACACTAACTTAACTAGTAATGACACAATATTAAATATGATATCCAAAACTTCACAATTACGTAGTAACTCTGGAGGCACTCTGGTGTCGGGGCAGGAACCTTTTCAAATCAAACTCTGTGGTATTTTCTCCACCACTACACACACACATACACACATTTTCTATGAAGGGCAATGAAGCAGCCAAGCGTCATCCCTGTGGTCTCCTTGGAGGCCTGTGATTGTGATTGAACATTAGGCCTGGGCGCTGCTCCAGAGACGGCACTGTGCCATACAGCTGGTCTGGCACACGCTGACAAGCACACACACCTTTTTGCACATTGTGCTACTCATTAACGGCCTCACTCATGGACGCACACACCTGACCTGTATTTGTAACCTGAGCGATAAGCCTGCGGGTAGGGGCAAACAGAACTTTACAACAAAGTGCCCCTGGGAACACATTTCTGCTTTTGTTCAGTGTGTTTATCCTTTCTCCCACCTTCTCTCCAGCCCTCTTTTCCCTCCTCTTTTCCCTCCTTTTCCTAAAGAAGAGGCTGAGAGGCAAAGGTAGGGTCACTAATCTGTTTCTCATTCCTTCGCCCTATCTCATTGTCAAGAGAGGGTTGAGGGGACCAGGGTCAGCTGGACAGAATTTGACAGAGACAGCAGACCGTGTCACAGACCCTCAGAGAAATGGTGAGGTGGGAGAAACGCTCGCTAGATCAAGCAGCCTGTGATGTAAGCCTGCTGACCTCAGGGGTAAGGTCATAGTTTGGGCCTGAGGCGATCTGAGCCGTTGTCTTCGAACAGGCTAAATATAGGGCGAGGGGCGACGACTCTTATCAGTGCCCTAAATTCCTGATTTAAAACTGTATTAAAATATAAAGTCATTCTTGTTAAAGATACAGAGATGCCGTGTTGACCAAGATGCTTCAGGCCTAAAGTCTGACTCTAGAAATGGATTTCATCATAAAGCAAACAGACACAACGCATGTTTCCCCTTGCTTTGGGTACAGTATTGTATCACAGTAAATGGACATGCCGATCTATCGATGCTTATGCATGACGCTTAAATCTACAACAAACCACCACAAGTCAAACATTTCTGCATTTACAACTTTTTGTTAAGAATATTTGGTCTAAAAGCTTTCTGAACCTTGAGGGCTTCACTCATTTTGTGCTCGAAGGAGAATAACTGAGTCTACCCATCAGCCAGCTATCACAGTTCAGTCTAGACTGATGGACCCACATACCCACGCCTACACACACGGGTCTAGTCTGCATTACCCTGAAAGGGCTGTGCAAAGTGTCAGAAGACTAATGACCCAGATCCTCCACTCACCCACCAACTCAAACTGACGGATTGACAAAGCTAAAACTCGGAAACATACATTTTCTGGGTAGGAGGTGAAGAAAAGTCTGGCTTCGGCATAAAATTAGCTCTGAGTGGTATAGGCATGCTGAGAGGTATATTTGAAGCAGATTTGATAATGTTACAGGTTAAAACAAAATGAGCGGTGTCAGTATTTTTTGGACACTTTTATGCATCTAATGAGAAGTAGACATGACAGTCAGTCAGGACATGAGAGGAAAGAGGGACACATGGATGAGAGAAATAAAAAATATCCAGGCAGACTCCAAGAACAATTCAGTTTATGGTACGCAACTTTTAGCCCACTGGATTAAGAGTAATTTATTTGTTTTATAAGATTAATTTTCTGACATTTCTACCATCCAAGTCTTGTCTGGTTTTAACGTATGTTGATGCGAAACTTGAAGCTTTCTTTGTCAAACACTAGGAATTTTAATTGAGAGCCAAAGTATAAACTACACTTAATTTTACAGGTAACTTTGGTGCTGAACAGATTATATTCTTGTCAGTTCTGATTAAAAAAAGATCAACCCTAGCTGGTAGGAACTGACATATAAATGGATCAACTGCAGAGAAAAGTAACTATGTCCTCATGCCTGACCCTTTACAGGTCTAGAACCCTGTTGGTAGGGTCTAAGGTGCATGCACAGGTGTTTTTCTACCCTGTAGATCCCACCACAGATTCAAACTGCATTCCCACATTTATCCAATAGCGGAGTCTGTGATGGTGGGAATGGAAATGTCATGCCTGTTTGGGGAAGTTTGGAATCAACTTGCCTCTTAGGATTTGCAAGGTCAGACAGGTCCGGGCATTCCTCACAGTTTGTGGAATGGAGAAAAAACTCAGAGTGTGTGTCAGGGAGTGTGTGCCTTCTTCCCTCTCCTCTCCTCTGAGCTCCCAGAATAAAACAATCCAATACAGAGAAAAAGCAAAAGACAGTTTCCTGCAAATGTGTGCATTGTAAATCTACTCTCTGCAATGTGTTTGCTATCAGAAATGTTTGCTTAAATGTGTAACACAGTTAGTATCCTGTTCATACATGATCTGGGTACACATCTGTGTTTACACTCCTGGTAACTGGGCGAAAACATCATTCTAGGTGTGTGTGTGTGTTGTCCCAGGGTGATAAATGCAAGTCTTGGTCAACAGATCCAAACACACACACACACGAACACACACGAACTAACCACTGAGAGTCTTGCATCATTCAACTGTGTGGCCTTTGTTTTTGTCACAATAGAATTTCTGAGCTAAGAGTGTATAAATGATGCTGCCATGCAGCCGTGGTAACAGGATCTATTATAATGTTTGTTTGTCACACGTGGAGTTTTGTGATAGAAGCAAGTGTCATGTGTTGCTTTGTAAATTTGCACTTGTTTAGATGAGTGGGACCTGTGAGAAATGGATCAACCCTCATTGTACCTCTTAATATGAGCTCTCAGGAGACTGATAGGTAAAAATGACCAAATATTTAGGGCCCAACCAAGTATTGCAACTTTGGTGCCACCGTACAAACAGCAACCAAAATGTATTTAACCAACTGAAATAAGCAAAATTCCAGTTGTTATAATGAAACACATGTTTGTTCAACTCCACAAGACTGCTGTCAGGGGTATCAACCTGCAACATGTGTGTCTCAATCATCCTCTTCTTCTAAATATAAAGAGATTTAAGAGGCCATACAAGCACCAGACAATAAAAGCAGGTCACTAGCTGCACAGTCCTACATGTGAATATTTGTCAGTTATAAGAGGGGAAGTTGATGTAGTACAAAAAACAAAAACAACAAAGACCTTTTCAGTCTGTCTGTGGTAACCATTTCCGTCAAACATAAACAGAAGTGCCTCATCCCACCCATACATACATACAGAAAGAACATGCTAGTAATATGCAATACTGTCTGGTTCATTTATGGCGTTTCAAATGTACTGATTTTTCAACATTTTTTTCTTTTTTCTAAACCAACCAAGTGATTCTTGTATTTTCTTTAGTTCCAAAATACGTAATCATGAATGTGCATTCAACCAACTCAGGTGTGGTAAATGTATATCAGATACAGATGTTGACAGGTCTGTTTTTCAAAAGTTGCCATCAATCAAGAATTGTGGATGTCTGGTGCGGGACTACATATACCGGCCACCTTCCTCACATAATCCTTAGTGCTCATTTTTAACAGATCTGTTTTGTTATTTAAAGTCGAACTTTATCAGGGTAAGTGAGGGGGTATTTGGTAAAATCTAAGAGGCAATCATCAAAATCTATGTGTGCGTATGTGTGTGTGCACGTGTGCATCTGATGAGCAAAGATGCAGAAAGTGCATGCAGGTCTGGGCTTGTCTGCAAGGCATGTGGACCATCTTATGTGTTTGTGTGTTTAAGTGTGCGTAAACCTGAGAGGGACGGCCTGGCAGTTGGAACACAGCACAGCTTCCAAAAACAAATGTAAGGTCTCATATTCATAGTAAAATTCAGTTAGTCACTTTGCCTGTATGATGACTGTCACCACAAGCAGGTAAATTTTGTCAAGTGTACATGTTGTCTAAGGTCAGTCATACTTCTACAGCAAGGATGTGCGATGAATCAGGTTATGATTACAATTACAAATTTGGCTCATTTTAGGTTGATGAAAATTGGATTATGAAGAATAGACAATGACTGTGCTGTCTGCGGAATTGTACATGTTTTGTTTAATTTGTCGAGTGGAGCACAGCCTCCCTTCCTGCTTTCACAGCAGAGCCTGTGGTCTACCACTGCTCTCTAACAACTCTCACTTCAACCTGTATTTAAAATGAAGTGGGGAGGGAGCCCTGACCGGGGCTGGACTGGCAATCTAGAACATGGCATTTTCCTGGTGGGCTGATGCATCAAGGGGCCGGTACACTATAAAACGTCCCCATCAGAAGCTTACACATTGATGTGCAACCGAATTTGGGAGGGTGAAGAAGTAACGGATGGCACAAAACATGTTATGCAGGGAACTTTGTAACTTCAACATGTTATGCTACAGCAGTACAAAGAATCATGCAGCCACTGGTGATAGTTGGGGTGTTTTATAGCACTGACAGGGTAGAGGCTGGTGTGTGTGAGTGTAAAGCAAAGAGACAAGAGTGAGCCCCAGAGCAAGGTGTTAAAAAGTATTATCCAGCATTAACGAGCCAGCAACTGCCAAGCTACACAATCTGTGACGTCTGTATATGGATGATAAAATATTGACTTCTGTCTTGATGTTATAAAGATGAAGGTTTAAACAGGCTGACTGATAGGGAAGATTTACAGCGTGTGATAAAATGTAAGTGGTAGAAGAGCGTAAATCCTTGACTTTTAACACAAGTGTAAGTCCTGTACTCAGATGAGTGAAAAATCAAGTCAGAGCTTCAAAATTAGAGTGAAGTATGCAGCACTCTGTCACCAACAGCACTATTATGGTTCTGCTGTAATAATCCAGTCAGTTTTGAAGAGTGAGTCAGATAAGGATAAAATAACTGTGTATAAGAAATATCTTTCACATATTCATTATTTGTGTTTTTTAAAGTTTTTTGGATGTTTAAGAGAGTCGAAAGTGCTTAAGTTCAATGAATGTATGTGATGCAGGTGTGGTCAAATCAGTAATTGCGTAATCAGTAACAGTTGTCATCTCAAAACTGATCAAAAATAATCATGATAGTATTTTTGCCTAAATTGAGCAGCCCTACTTTACACACAGACATGCTACAAAGGGAGGGACAATGAAACAATGAGTGAAACTGAAGTTATTCCATTAGCTTGATGCTCTACTGTGTTAGGACTGCTCTAAGCAACTGGTCAATACCATATTTTTTAAGCACCACTGCCACCTGCTGGCAAGTTTGATACATCCCACAAAGAGGAATCTTTACTAAATACAGAACAACATCAACATGTTCAGAAATCAAAGTCACTGTGTGACCAGTAAAAAACCACTTCAGTGATCACAAAAAAGTAGCGATCGAAAAAAGCTGCTTTGTAATTTTCACTTTGGCCCGAAAACAAACGGATGTTTCTGTTTACCGTGAAAACTTGAATACTTTTTCCTGCTGTCATGTCTTTGAGTGACTTACTGAGATCCTCTGCCAGCTGGACTCTACGGCCGGTGATAAGGTGGCTCTTCTTCTCCAAGTCTTCCCCAAAATCATCCAACACCTCCTTCACATTTTTCTCCAGCCGACGCACTAAAGAGGACAAAAGGAGGAACAAACACACATAGTGCATAATAAATATTCAATTCAGCGACAATACTTCAGATTTTTCCTCTCATTGTTCTCATTGAATGGTGTGATCAACATATATTCTCATCCTTGAAATGGTCGATTATTCTTCCAGGACATTTATTTGTGTATATTGGAAAAAGGAACAATTTTATTATCAAATGATTATTGGCAATCTGAGTAGCTGGTTTTACACTATATAATAAAGCTGAGGCCAGCAGTGACCAATACCCAATTCAAACAGTTACACCTGTTGTGACAATTTGGGGCTATGTGGTGCAGGGTTTGGTTTCTAAATCGAACTAAAGTCTCTGTTTTACCTTGATAAATGGCCACCTTGTTTTTGAATCTAATCGTTCATTACACTTACCCTCAGTGTTGGTGAGCTGCTGTCGGAGAGTGTTGGCTGTGATGACCAGCATCCTCTGGATCCTCCAGAACAGTACCACATCATTGCACTCCAACTGAAAAAGTATGAGGGCACAAACTTAGCTTTGGATTATCTTTAAAATTAGCTGGAAATAAGGTGTCCATGAAAGACAACTCAGGAGAAGTTCTTCTCTGGAAATACCTCAGAGTCAACAAAGTGTCTCTGGTAGTAATAGAAGCCTCTTTTGCAGAGGCTACAGTGGGACAGCGCGTTCTGAAGGAAGTGTCTACGATACAACTGATGCCACGTGTCTTTGATCTGAAATGAAGAAAGTTGATTATTTAGTAGGAATATTCACTCTTTATTTTGCTGCAACTACAATCACAGAAATCAGAATTTACTTTTCCATTTGTTTGATTCAAGATGATGAAAAAGACAAAACACTGGTGATAGGAACAGTATTGAGCTATTATCTTCATCATTACTTTCACATATTTTTGCAGTGTTTTTTTAGAGCCTCAAACCACAACATTTTTGATCTCACCAGCACAGGGTCGACTTCGACTCCTCGTCCCTCCAGGTTCTTCCTGACTGTGGTGACCTCGTCGTTGGCCAAGTAGGCCGTGTGATCATCGTGAAGCTTCAGCAAGCGCTCCAGCTCGTTTTTTGTTTCATTACGAATATGCTGAAAGGTCAGAAAACAAGTGAGTGCTGCCTCTGTGGTGGAAAGTTAGTGTTAAATAGCATAGATGATAACTTGGTGTAAAGACATTTTCTGACCTGTTCTGGAGTGCGATTCTTCCAGTTTAGCCACCTCTGCTTCCAGTCTGGACCCACCATATCCCTGATTACTGACTCAGCTACAACAAAAAAAGAGAGTAAATATGATGTCAAAAGAGAAGACATGTTTAAAGAAAAGAAAGAGTAAATTAGACTAGATCCTCCACTTATCCTGACTGGAAGCTAACATGGCTAACATACTGTCTTTGAGTCGTGACTGCAGGGTTTCCTCCATGAACTGGATTGCCGCATCCCACTGGGGCTTGTCCGTGATGGACCTGTCTTCTAGGGCATTGTGCTGGATCACCCTCTGACACACAAACAACACACAAGCCAAGATAAAAAAAACTCATTTTTGTCAAACTAAATGCGCAAGTTTTGTTCTCTACAAAGTGCATCCTTGTACTCAGGATGAGTGATTGAACTGCGTGTTTACCAGGCTGTCCATTGCCCTCTCGTTCCATTTGTGCCTCTTGATACTTTCGTCCTTCACAGCCTCCTTTAACTTGTCAAAAATGTCGTCCTGGTCTTTGCCTCTGTATTCAGCCATGAAACGGGCGAACTCTTCCTGCAGTGTCTCCCAGGCAACCTAATGGCAGGCAAAGTATAGCAGGGTGAGAGTAGGCCGACATTACTTTAACACTATTACCTAATTACTCCATTATTTCTGCACTCTATGGACAAACCATTAAATAGCCACAAGAACAGTGCAATAAGAAACAGGCCCAGTAATAAATCAATTGAACAAAAACCCACAGCTTCACATTTACTCTGAATACCAGTTAAGCAAAACTTCACTCGGCTAAATTTCACCCATCTTGAAGAAGGCATGTTTATGTTATGAACAGTCTTATAATCCAGCCAGTATTACCTCAAGAGCTTTGTGAGGAAGCTGCTTGTCTGTCCACTGCTTGAGCTTGATGTCTACTGTGGTGTTAAAGGTACCAGAGTCCATTGTTTGGGCAGCAGGCAAGTAGATGTTCTCGATGACATGGGTAGAAACACGTTCCCACAGCTTTTTCTGCAGGATTGACTCCCTGAATGGATAAAAGAAGATTTTTCAACCTCCAGTAACTACAGGAAAGAAGATATTTTTGTTTTGTAAACCCTAGGCCACTAAGCCCAATATACAACACTTATATTTCATTTTTTGTTTTAAAATACACTTGTGGTGCATTAAGATAGCTTAATAAAAAAGAGAGGCTGGAAACAAAGTAGCTGTATGTGTCAAATTCGGGACAGAAAGAGACGATGTTTAGAGACAGAACTTAAAGTGAGAGGGAATTCTTCTTGAGCCTCTTTCAATTGTTTGATCAGTGCCTCTGCGATCACACTTGTACTGTAGTTTTCAGTATAGCTTTAATATGACCCTGTTAGCGGCTACCAGCCTCCACACTCCCACTAAATCCCTCAGTAGAAGTGTGGCAAAGAAACAAAACCCTCCCCGAATCCCTTATAGACAAAGCCAGGGTTGTGCCGCTCTCATTTATCATAAACACACGCTCATATTTCATTAGGCTTGCCTTTTGTTCAGGCTAACACTCCTCACTGTCAATAAGCACTATCTCCAATATTGCTGGCTGGCTGCAGGCTGGCTAACAGGGCCACCCCTGTTCCCATCCATGGGCCATTCATCAGACTATTGATCAGCCAGAAGTGACGGTACGCACACTTGGGACAACCGCAAACGATGCATACATATCATTTAGCGAGGTTTTCCTCACCGGGGATGAGGAAGAACAACACATTCAAGCCTAAGTGTAAATACATACAAAGATGGACCTGCAGTTTGCTCTGAAAATAACTTAATATTCAAACCTGGACGATTGCTTCAGTAAAAATTAATGATCCATCTGATATTAGACCAGACAGACACATTTTCAGATCTCAGACTAAATTAGGTGCAACTTATTTGAGACATCTGTATAGAGTGGAAACAAAAACATGGACTAACAACAGTAATGTCTGTTTTATATTTTCAATTCTGTCCCTACCTTTAAAGATTTTATTTGTATGTGAATAAACAAAAGTAAAAATACCGTATGTCAAACCAAAAATACAGATTTTTTAGATGTAACCAATGTTTGTGTACCTAAAAAAGTTTTATCAGGAGTAAAGATTTCATTTTTAAGAATCCAAACCAAAGACTTAAACTTTGAGTAAGACTGTTTCATTGACTTACCAGTGTTGAGGAGTCACTTGACTCAAACTTATGACTTCATCCAGGATTTCATTTTTGGCTTTTTCATAGAGTTCATTCTGCAAAGAGTCAAAACCATTAGTCGGTTTGTTTGTTTGTTTTTAGAAAAATATTGATATGCGACCTCTCTGTTTTTTAAAATGGCTAAAATTATTTCCTCTCTGTGTATTCTTATTTCTCACCCTGTCCAGCTCTCTCAGACGAGGATAGTTGTTCTTCCATTCAGTCTCCAGGTTGAAGCGAGACGCTGAGGGAAAGATGGACAGCAACAGTATACATTTGATTTAACCTTCTATCACAACTTAAACATCTGAAAATTTAACAATATTTAATTTTCAATTTGTTTCCTACACATTTTTATTCTTTTTATTGAAATGTAATGAAACCCCCACATTAATGTCACTTTATAAGTGCATATCACCATGCAGACATGAATCTCATACCCTACTTTCTCAGCCTAAGTGTTATGCTTCATCTAACATTAGGTCTCGATGCTCAACAGGCAATGAGTGCACAAGTGCAGGGCCTCCTTTGTTTCAACTCGGTATGATAAAAAAGCAGCTTTCAGACTCGTAATGGTGCCGATCCTTTAAAGTGGGTGAGGACACTCTCACTGTCTTAACTGGTCCCTTGGGAAGAGAGGGTTTGGGGCCAATTTCACACTCTATATCAAAAGCCAGTTTTAATTCTCAGGTATGTGCGCACATACACATGCACACACATATCCATACATACATACATACATAGACACACACATACACACCCCAAGCCTGCTGTCCCTTTCCCCAGCTCCCTATCCACAGTGGAGATTAGGCTAATTGCTGGTTGTGGGGCCACATGGGCGCCAAGCAGGGAGGATGGAGGCCGGCTGTGTGTGATTTGACAGGATATGGATCGATACACCACACAATGGACCTATGGGAACTGCAGTTTCAAAGCCATAAATCTCCTGTACTGTTAGCAACTGGCTTGTGATTGTTCGGACTAATTGCAGTTGGGAGGCCGGATTGTGGACAAGTGTGGCCGAGTAAAGCCAATACAGGGAGGTGTGGAAGTCAGAAGAAGAAGGGGATTAGCATCTGTTCCCTGTACAGTTAACAGAGAAATATGCATCATGCCCATTCACATTATTAAAACACATCTGTGACTGTAACAGGAATTGGTAATAGTCATATACCAAAAGGCGAAAACAAAAAGTAAAAGCAGTCAGTTCCCCCTTGTTTGAATCATGGTTAGTCTTGTGTATTTCAATGTATTCATACCTTTGAAGACGTCTGCCTGCTGCTCCACAGACTCCCTAACCATCTTCCAGAAGCAGTCTGAGACAGCCAGGCTCAGGTTCTTCGTGGTCACCTGGTGAGCCTTCAGCATGCCGTCCCTTGTTGCAAAGAGATACGGGCATGGTCAACTTTGAAGCAATTCATATGAAGAGGAATTCAAGTTTGGGGGAATGAGGTGTCACTCACCTTAGTAATCTGGAGTTTTGGAAAAAGTCTTCCTCGTAGTCTTTTATAGAGTCTATGCTTTCACTGCTGCTCCCTGCACAAGGAAACAGCAGAACAAGCTGTGAGTAAACTACAGTTCAGTAAATCCTGGTTACACGTGAAAGGTTCTCCACAAAAGTGTGACAGACAGTTCTCAATAATTGACATGAAATCAAAGGCAGTGTGATGTTACCTCTTCCTGTCACTACAGCAAAGTAGCCCAGGGCCTTCATGGGAAACAGCTTGCCTTCAACTATTTGCTGGATCTAAAAGAGAAAATGTTTTTTTAGTTGTTTTGTCAGTCCACTGATGAGTACAAGCTTCCCCATCACTTTTCTCTTAGTGAAACAGCAGCGTAAAATTAAGTAATTAGCACCCTCTGGAGGAGCTGTTGAGTATTGCTCCGCTAATACAGGCTGCTGCTTTACACACTGGTTGTAAGATTTCTGCTAATGTAGCTGTACTACATGTGTACTTACTGTTGTGCCATCTTACAGCATTTACCAAGGGTTGATAGTGATCATGATTGAAATTACACTTCAAAAATACTTTTTAAATTTTATGTTAAGAAATTCAACTTTTACTTATTGTTTTATTGCCCATCTCTATGCTTTTATCACTATAAGCGGTCTTACTCTGCTCGGACTGGCAAGGTTCTTCTCAGCCAAGTCCACCTTTGTCAGAACAAATATGGTTCTCTTCCCCTGAGGGTCCATCTGGCTAACTAAGTCTGTTACAATGCTCCGCTCTGCATCCACACTGCCATCTGTATAGAGACAAGGAAGAGCGGAGAAGATTTGATTAGAGTTTACATGACTATGGAGATTATAAGAAGTATGAAAAAGATGAAAGGCTAGTATTTAGGCATTTTTTAAGAAGACAGTGATGGGGCACAAAGGGAGCGGGTCTTTAAGTTTGTCTTCTGAAAGTCCATTGATAAGTATGTTTAGTGCTGCAATTAGAAAAGTCTTCGCTCACCCTGAATACAGAGGATGATCGCATTGGGGTTCTGCATGTAGGCCTTGCTGATACTGAAGATAGTGTCCTTAGTATCTGATGCCATGCCTGTGGTCACCGTCTTCAACACGCAAAGATTGACAAAACATTAAAAAACAAGTAATACAGATTTTTCAAGACAAATTCAGTCAACTGGCTTATACAAGGGTGACAGTTTATAACCAGAACTAAGAGCAATGCATTTCTACTATCTTATGAAAGTATACTCACACTGATGACACCTGGTAAGTCAACAAGAACCATCCTCTGGATGCCGGGACCTTTGACACTCAAGGATATTGTCTGATATGAAGAAAATGTACATGATTTTTTAATGAAAGATGGGAATAAGTAAGTTCTGGCTTTATTTGACATATGAGTGGAAGCTCTATAACTTACCTCTGAGCTGACTGTCTGTCCCTCCTTCACACTCTTCCTCATTCTCAGCTCGATTTCATGCCTCAGAGCAGCAAGCTGAAGGACAGAAGAGGATATAAGAGCAGACATAACAGAGAAGATATAACAGTGAACATGAAAAATTCATCCATTCATTTTGAGACTTACATCTTCCTCCTTGGTAAGGTCAAACTCTCGGCCACTGTCCTTAAATATGGCAACGTGGTGGGGGCCTTCACTCAGTGTTACCTGCAGAGAGAAGAGGAGAGAGAAACTGAAGTAACTGCTTTTAAAAATACAAAGAGTAAAAACTTTTTCTGTTTTTTTTTTTTTTTTTTTAACAAAGAAAATAATAAAAACATCAGCTGGACTGGTTTCACATGCCTTAACAGGTGAGCGTGTCATCATCTCCCCTGAGCCCCTGGGAAAGATCCTGGCCTGAGCGATCATCTCGAGCACACTGGTCTTACCAGCACTCTGGTCCCCAACCACAACCACCTGGAACAGAGAGGTAAAAATGAGAAGGACATAACAAATATAGAAGGAAAAAGGTAATATATAACACTGTAGAAAACTCATGAACAAGTAACCAGGGTCTTTAGAAACAGTACAAGGTTTATAGACTTTAGGATTAGAAAAATCCTTTTGAACAGAAATTCATTTTCAAGTGGATGTAGAATGAAATCTGACTGCTCCTTACTCTGGGCAGGTGGTCCTGGGTGTTGTAGTTGGAATCATAGTCAGACAAGATGTCCAGAACTTCTGAATACAAGTCAATAAGGGATTTCTACAGGATGACACAAAAGTGACACATGTAAGTGTTTTGTATCGTCACAATGTAACAAGTTAGCGACAGTTCTATCCCAAGTGACAATGCAAAGATGGATCAACTTAAGGCGGGGGAGAATTATGGATGCGCTGTAGGCAATTAAACCAAAAATAAAAACACCGACCTTCACTTTTCTTTGGTGAATCCCCTTGTCGTCTTTCTGCAAGACCACTTTTCTCAGCTCTTTATTCTCCTTCTCCAGTCTCTCCAGCATGCGCTGATATTTTAACTGGATGATAAACAACATAGTCCACCCAAAAATACAGCAACATCAACATCAGCAACACTGCATTAACAATTTTAATGGAAAACATGGATGGTGGTTGAGGACTTCTTTATCTTTATCTTTATAGGTAGTTTTCATCATTAAAAAAAAAAGCCATGTTATTGACCCTGAGCCTTATGAAAACTGGACATCAAAAACTCTAAACATGTAAGGATAGTTTGCATGTTCTGTTTAAACCATCTTACTTAAGACCAGATGCAAGTAAAACCAATCCACTATACCTGGGTACGGAGCAGTTCTTCTTGGAGCTGATCTATCTTTTCCTTGTCAGATGACTAAAGGTTCAAATAAAAAAGAGCAGCAAGAAAATAGGTTAATGCAGTCTTTCTTCTCTTATATGAAAACGAGGCCTTTTCGTCGCTCTAGCTGTGCAACTTTGCAAGCACAAAATCCCACAAGCACCGCCAAAATTGATTACGTGCACACAGTGAATCTCAGAGAGGACCAGTGATGAGGATTCAGAAAAGAGGGACATAAACCGGATTTCAGGCAGAAAACTCATCCAGGTATTATTTAGGCTTGATCAAAAAGCTACTGATTCACAAACAAACAAAAATTACAGAGTGAGTCCTTGAAAATACAGCTGAAGATGATCAGAATATTATGTAGACATTACAACCTGATTTTCAGGAAAGACAGAACGATTGTCTGATATCTGATACACTTGCATTATTATCATCAGGATGAGAGACAGGACAGAGAGCGTAGACACAGATTACACAGACAAATGGGATTTCAAAGCAAAAGAAAGGGGATTTAAGAAACACACCAAACTATGTTATCAAAGACTATTTTAGACCACACAGGAGGTTAGAAAAGTTTGCTCTAAATCACCAACAGTGGATTCAAGTGTTGATTTCTCTAAGGAAGAATGTATGGAGACATCACAGAACTACTCATGTCTAAGGCCTCTACCTTCGAAACACTCAAGTTAGCTTGAGAAAAAAAGTGCAGCTCACACCATGCAGCGGGTTGCCACTCCACTCCATGCACTGCATCTGAACATGAATGGAGTGCTGCTGACGACTATCTGTCCATTTGCATGAGAGAGCGACACTGCGCTGCCTTTTACTCTCCTACGAAAGAGCGTTCACGCCTTCTCCACCAACAGGACAAGAGAATCTTAGGTAGCCTGAAAAACTATGTGAGTTTGTAAAGGGCGGCTACTGTTGGGGACAGACTAGAGTAATGAAATGCCACATTGTCTGCACTAAAAGTATAACTAATTAGCTTAAAAGTTTACAAAATGATGTGAAAAACACTAACATCATGGCTTATCAATGTGTTAAAAAAAAATACATAAAATTATCATGCAACCATGATGGAATTAATTCTTGAAATACTGTATTCATGGTATAGATGCATCACTGAAATACTATACAGCTGCTGACTGACTGATTTGCAGCTGATCATGTTGAAGTACTCTCATCCCTGCTGGATTAGAGTACTCTCAAATTTAGAGCTTTAGTTCTAATATTTATTTTCTTTGGACATCCAAAGTGTTAACTCTAATCTCACAAATTAAATTGTAGAGACAGAACACCAGCTGAAGATCTGTTGTGACTTATCTCTAGTGGTTGGTACAAGTTTTTTACTTATTATACTGACTGGATGTGTAAAAGGAGTATTGGCTGTGCTTACACATGCAACAAAGTACACTTCTGAGCACATCCAAACAGTTTCAACAGACTTGAAACTCTCATAGGAGAGGCCATGAAACTGCTTTTCAGCTTGGTGTTGAATTATTTTCTTATTTTGTAAAAGTTGGCTTGCTTTTAGAGTGTTTTTAAGTTCTATTTCTCTCCGAAGGCATTGGTGGGATAGGGCGATCTAAGTGGGTGGGGACCTTCACCTTGCGTTTCTGTTGAAGGGGGTTGGGGTTCGGAGGCGGACTGGGAGCAGGCTCTGGCGGTGGGGGACGCGCATTATTGGCGGCTGCGGCCCGCCGGACCTCCTCCTCGTGCCGCTGGATCTGCTGTTGAATAAGAATGAGCTCGCCAAGCAGACCCTGCTGAGGTACGCCATAATGAGAGACAAGCAGGAGCAGCAAAAAGACAACAACCAGCCATTGGGCTGGTCAGTCATACAGGCATTGCTGCATCCAAACACAGGGCAACAACAGAGGAAACCTGACCTGTGGTTCTCCGTCTCATGAATCTCAGAAGTGTCTCAGAATCATGACACAGTCAAAGCTCAAGTTTTAAAGACCTAAGGACTTTGGCTTTGGTAATCTTGCCACCAACATCAGTGTGACCCAACAAAGTCAGTTTCTCTCACAAACAGAAGGGAGGAGTCAAACTTTGCCAGACTGAAGGCAGAGGAGGTTACTAATACCACAACCAGCACCTCTCAGCAAGTGGCAACAACACAAGGTCTTTCCTCACCGTCAAGCACCACTTTAGACATCAGACTGTATGTTCACTATACATCAGGAAACACTGTGACTGATCATCATATTTACACTTAGCAGTGTAAAATACATGGTTTATTAGGATCTACAATGTTTGAATGTGCAACACAATGATGTTGGTCAGTTTGGAACATAAAAAGCTTCATGGAGCTGAAGATGATTATATTAGCAAAGCAGGCTATAGCGTATCTTTCTATCAGGGGAAAGCACAGAATTTGGCTAAGCATGAGAAGTGTAGCTCAGGGTTCCCCAACATGACGTCATTATGAATAATTATCATTTTAAAAATCTTTCTTCTTTCTGGTCTGTAAATACTCAGAATCTGTTGAATAAAAATTCAGGAGGAACATCACAAATGTTTGCTCATGTTGGGGACCATGATTGCAGACTAAAAGCAGGGCAAAGAAAAAGTAAGCAACAACTATTGTTTTTTCTGTATATTAATGATATATACATTTTTTAAATATAAACTTTTTTGGAGTTTTTTTTTTTTTTTACAAAACACAGAGCACAGGAATATCAAGCAGAGGGACACTGAAACAGGTTGCTTTGTTGGAAAGAACAGAAAGACATAATGAATGGAAATGAGACAGATATACATCTTGAGGGTTTAGTAAGAGACTAAAGTGGTTAAATAAAAAGCTGGAACAGGAATAGCCTCTATAAACATGATTTCCTGGAAAAATGGCTGAGAAACTCGACTAGGAGAGGAGCCACAGTTTGAATTAGTGATAAATATATGACTTAATGACATAATTTCTCGGATCTGAATCTGAAAGAATGAGCAAGGACATACACCTTTTTTCAGAATACCATGAAAAAGTTCACTGTGGTGAAACTTTACTGTATGCTTGGAAAACTAACAACTTATCTAGTGATACTTCTACTGCATGGCCTTAATAAAAGAGCCATGTTCTTATCATGTCATTGCAACATGGCTATAACAACCTTATCCTGACTGAATTTTTGTCTGACAGCCAGTGTAAGACTCACAATTCACAATCAGAGGAACTTCATTATTCAAAAGAGTAAATATGTTTCATCATTGGTTATACTTTAATTCAGTCCAGTGCAGGTCTTCCCACTGAAGTGAAAGGTAGCCAAGCTGCGGACAGGAGCTGAGTGAGAACAAGCTTCGGTGAAGCAGCGAGGTCAGAGCCTAAAAGTGAAAAAAGGTTTTGGTCACTTGCCTTTTTGTACTGCTTGTCGCTGCTATCTTGTGTGGCAGCGGCAGATGAATCTGCAGCATTAAGCGGAGGATCGCCTGAGGTTTCTACCAAAGGAGACACAACAAAACAGAATAAGGTTACTTGTTTAAATGCACCATCGGCTACCAAGTGCTGATTTTGAAATTAAAGAGGCTTAGGGAGACTATGATGCCCACAGTGGAGGAGACACCAGGTTGCGGTTTAAAACATGTCTACGATCAGAAAGATGGAGACAATAAAGAGTGTTTGAATTTCAAATGTTTGGAAAATCTTACACCGTGCTGTTTCTTTGTTTTTCTAATTTTACAAATGTCTATATTTATAGTACAGCAAAAATCAAGAGCCTTGATGATGACGATGTTGACGACGCCTCATGAAAATAAATAAATCATTTATTAATACTTCTTGATAGCTAACAATACTCCTTTGCAGCGACTGGATCTAAAGTGGAAACAGAGATTTATTGAGATCAATAAATCCTTATTAGGCACTTAATAAGTTTTAAAGTTTTATAGGGTATTATAAGAGGCTTATTAACTATTTATTAATGTTAATTACTAGGACCCCTAATATACCGTTTTAAAGAATAAGTATGTAGCTGCTATTTGATTTGTTCAAGAATCAGAATAAGAGTCAAAATACTTTTAATAAGTATAAGTAAATATTAACTAAAAGTAAATATTAACTGCAACACAAGTTCCTGAAGACACTTTAGTTCATAAATCTAGTTGTACATTATTAATTACTGTGAATTACCTGGTGGATTTTCTGGGTGGGAGCAGTTTGTGAAGTTAACTTTGGTATTGGCGCTAAAGAAAAGCTATTAATGCATGCTGGACAAAATACATCTATCAAAGGAACTAGATTTATGAGAGAATTTGTGTAACGACATGAATGACCATGCTAATAAACACGCAACGTTCTGTTAGCACTAAAACTGGGACCGTTCTTAGAGAGCCACTACGCTGTATGTTTGAATATAACAACTTAGGTGTTGATGAAACAGAATTCCTTTGAGCTTTGTCAGGGTGTGAAAGCATGAGAACAGAAGGAAAACAGATCCATAAACACGTCTTCTAGCTGGCTTTATGATTCACAGCAGAGGCGTGGTCCTGTCTGGTCTGCCAAGTTCTGTTTAAATGACTTCAGAAGATTAAGTTATCCTTTAAGCAATCTTAATGCTATCCAGTTACATTAGAATCAACCTATCACTATCATCACAGGCGAAATAATGATCATTTTTGATCATCACCAAATCTGAACCTATTTTAGATCATTATTATTACCAAACAGACATAATATGAGAATTATTGCCTTTTAAAATCATGACATTTTGAATTAGGATAGTTATTTTCATGGTATTTTCGGTGCTTTTCCAAACATTTGAGAAGGAGTAAATAAAGACAGAATGAGAGCACCCCAAAGATTCGTGAGTGTTAATGTAGTTAAAGGAAACAGCCAATCCAGGCCAGAAGGGGAGAAGGGTGGAAGTCAAAGGAGGCAGAAAAACACACAGAGGGGAAGAAGTATAGCCAAGGACAGTCAGGTTAAAGAAATAACAAAATTGAAGAGGGAGATTCTTTATCTGCATTAAAGAGCTTCTCAGACCAGGAAAAACACCTTTTTTTAACTGTAGCAGATTTTCATTGAACACTTTCCTTTAAGAGCGTTAACAGGTCAGCTCCCTGGATTGCCAAATAATTCGGAAAGAGGGAGAGAGGAACTTGTAGAGTGAGGGACTTGACGATTTTCTGCCAAATAGAATTGGATGATCAATCAATGTATATCATCATTCAATAATCGGAGTCCTAGTTAACATGTTTTCACAATCCCTGTGACTGTTCACACCCCTGAATTACTGTGTCGGTACTAAATGCTGCCATCATAATCAGCAGTACTGGTCTGCAACCTGGAAGCCAACATCCTTGGAAGATGCTCTTCTACTACCTTTCAAGCCATCCAAGGCAGCCATCCAAGGCAGCCAACCAAGCATGAGCCCGCGACAATACTGATGCCACGGCAACGGGGGTGGAGGGGGGGTGGGGGTTAAACAGCAGCAGAGAGAAAAGAAGGGAGGGGCGGCGCTACAGAGTGCAGGTTTACACACCTAACAACAGATGCAGACCAGAAGCTCCTTTGACTTCACTACCCAAACTCACACCTGTGAAGAATGTTGAGGAGGACAGGAGGGTAGGGGAGGAGGAAAAAAAAGGAAGAACATCAAAATCATATCAGACAGAAGCTGAGGGACGGTGGTCAAAGCAGGGACACAGCTAGTTGACGTGAACGCAACCAAAAGCAATTGCTGTGCCAGAGCTTCAGTGAAGCAGCCACTTAATGAGAAACTGTTAAAAGGGATAAGCACACCCCGAACTAGGCTTGATCCAAAAGGAGACCAAAATATATAAAAGGCTTAACATCTTATTTTTAATTACGCATTATGAGTACTGTATTATGTCTTTATCCTTTAACTTGAATGATTGAATCATTGAAATTGATTGGATCTTGTATGATTAAATTAGAATCAGAAAAACAGGGCTAGAAGGTACTTGAGTTATCTGAGAAATTTGGAGTTTATTAGCGTTGCAATTGAAACTCTTGAACAGTGGATTGTTCAGTCACAACAACTTTCTTTATGGAAATATGAAGAAAGTCTTTATGAACAAGACACTCGAATTTCAAACAATTTAACAGATTCAAACACATTTAATACCTGTTATCTTGTGTAAAAAAATTGTCTTTTTGTAGGTCCATTAAAGCAACCATGGTTACATAAAGAAGGGCTGGAGCTAAAAATAAAGCAGACCTTTGCAATATGGCGCAGGTAACTTATCTGTATTGTTTAACAGCTCAGTCTGTGAAATCTCTTTCTGTTAAGGTCACATTAGAAGCTTATAAGTATAATATTGAAAGAATGGTAAATTGCAGTGATTAGGAACACTATGAAAAAGAAACCAGTGAGAAGCAGACAAGAGGTTTGCTAGTGTTCTACTATTAATGCAATGAAACGCATAATTTGAAAACCAGTCATTGCAACACATATTGATAGTAAAAATGATTATTCTGATTTTTCTATGAAGTAGTCACTGAAAGGAATACTTCAAGCTTTGTTTACTTACCAGATGAGAGGAGGCTTTTGATGAAAGTGAAGTTCTCTCCTATTTTGTCTAGGTCAGGTAGTAGTTTGGCTATTTCTTCTATCTCTGGTAGAGCTTTGGCCAGTTTATCTGTTGATACAGAAACAGTAGCTTGTAAAGAAGACAGATGGGTACAGAGTTTTACCTCATGGTGCAAAATTCAAAAGACTCATTTCAAAGTAATAATCACTTTGTGTTTTTGGCTTGCTAGCCACCATAATTCATGTTTGAATATACAATCATAATGTGGACATGAACTCTGCTTCTCTTGACTGTAATTCTAACCTTTGCTTCTCTTTTGCTTCTCCATACTAAGTCCTAAACGTCTTGCCACCCACCAACTGTGTCTCAGTGCAAAGTGAGACCCTTTCACTGGTGGCTTTCAGACAAATGTGTCTCTTTAAAAAAAACCTTTAGATTTCATTGATTATATCTTGACATGATAAAGAAAAATAAAAACTAGGATGCATTCAGGCTGCAAAGAGGTCCATTAGTCCAGTTGAATTCCTTGAAATCTGACAATATTTACAAGGAAATTACGTTAAAATAAGAACTCTTACCGAAATCAATTTGTTCACTCAGTTCCCACACAAAGTCTGGAATGACCCAGTTGTATTCACTAAAATCAGGCAGCATGTCTTTCCACTCTTCATAGGTCTGAAAATAAAATGAGAGAGTAAATATAACCTTCACAGGAATGAAAACTTTTCAGCTTTTCCTTATAGGAGTCATTGTGCAACCACGGATAGAAAGATAAGGGATAATTCTTAAGAGTAGCTGGGGAAAGGTTTGGCTTCATGTGACACCAATGGCAAATTCAAGATGAGACTGAATCTGGTTTTTCTTTTGTTTGTTTATCATGTGCTTAATATGGCAAGTTTACACTTTGGAGTAAAGGATGGTTTAGACCTCAGCACTAGTTTATGGGGAAAAAAGGTAAAGAATAGTTAAGAAAGCCTGAGTTCCAGAGATCTATTACTGGCCTTCTTAGCTGTGTAGCCTCCTCCGACTGCTGTGCCCAGCAGAATGTATCGAAGCTTCAGAAGCCGGGCAGCAAGGCGAGCCACCCAGAAATTGCGCTGCTGCTGGTAGCCACGGCCCCCTGATCCTGGGGGAGGCTTGGGATATCGCATGGGTAACCGTGACATGGAAGTGAAATAACGAGCTGCAGTGCAATGAGGTGGGCGCTGAGGGTTGGTGTTGCCGGAGTAGCGGTGGTGGATGGCACGAGACAGAGGGTGAAGCTTCTGCAGGGGTACCCGAAATCTCACCCCCATGTTGGTGGAGACCAGGTTCCTGCAGGCCATGCTGAAAGATGGATAGATAGGTAGATAAATTAGACATGCTCATTTAAGTACTCTGACTACCAAAGGTAAACATATCAGACTAGGGGAAGCTCTGGTCAGAGAGTCCCATAAAGTTAGGGATGCACCAATCCCATATTTGATATCGGTATCGGTCCCAATACTGAAGAAAATTCTAGATCGGGTATCGTGACAATGGGCCCAATGCATGGGGGCCGATCTATCCTTTCTAACTCTATGCTATGTGCCACAAGTAAACACGCTGGGTGGACATCTACATTGTTTTCATAAATAGAGCTAGCAAAGGGGTTTTCTATCTTGAACTTTATCACAATACCTCAACCTATAAGCTTGATGGCCAATTGCAATACCTGCGCAGTAAACATTCCGAGAGACGGTGGTAAAACGTCAAGTTACAACAAAAGGTAATTCTGTGCAGCTTATCTGTATCGGAATTTGATCGGTATCGGCCGATACTTAACTGTATCGGTATCAGAAGTGAAAAAAGCGGATCGGTGCATCCCTACATGAAGTCATGTGATATAAATGAAATCACATAGACCAGGTAAATTCATGTCACCAGATTACCTTGGTGTTCATGATGTTCTGGCAGGTCTGTGTTTATCAATGTGACAATAACAATTACAGGTTTTCTTACAAGACAAGCGTTACCGTGTTATGTAACGCAGCTACACATAAGAGATTACTCAAGTCACAATAGCCTGTAAGCCAATTTGTGTTAAATTACGGCTGAAAACCGAGCCAAACTCAAAACAGACACAACATTATCTGTTAGCAAGCTAAGCTATCTGAAGCTAAAGAAGCTACAAAAAACCCTCAACAGCGACATGAACCTCTTCGCATTTTGTAATACATGTTATTTTCAGTGTCAGGAGAAGGTATGGATTTAAGTAACTATTTCTATGTTAAACTACTGAGCAGTAATGCGACTGATAATACTAAGCAAACCGAAAGCCTCGCTGTCCTCAGCTGTCAAAATGACCGGCTAAGTCAGCTCTCGCTGCTTTTCTCTCCTCAACACTCACTCACCAGGCAGCTGAGCTCCCAACACGTAACATGGTGCTGTTATCAACGCAGATGTCCAAATATTTTCTCTTCAGGCACGTTTTAATTCATCTTCCCAAATGGTACACATCTGCTCGCCTCTTGTTCCAGCTAACTAGCTCGTTAGCGAACAAGGACACAGTCAGAATGACAGTCCACTTCCTGTTGATGGTACAACTCTCAAATGAACCCTGACAGAAACGAACTGCTGAGAGGAGATACGGACTAAACCTGCTACATAAAAATACTCACTCTTGAGTATTAAAGCTCTTTAGAATAACATTTCATTCACTAGATTAAGTTAAAGAATTGCATATTAAGAATTTATATAATATTTATCAATCTATTTTATATACCTCCAGAATTACAAATATTGATGAGAGGTGTGCTTTCTTAAATGATAAAACAGTCTGTACAACACTTATATTTACATTTTATATTTATATTTTACAACTTCAAATGTCAGTTTTAACTCAAATTGAAATATCTTTTGTGCAGAACTTAATCAAATAATATAGTATATCAATAATTTTGTAATTATGTATTTCAAACATATCAACTCTAAAAAATCATTGTGAGCTTATTGATACTATAGTAACTTCCAAATTAATAAGTATAAATTAAAAAGGGCACCTTCTACCTTCCTTTGAATATGATTTAGAAAAAAACTGACAAACTCTTCACCTCCTCTAAATAAATAGAAAACCAGAACCTGTCAGTGAGCATCTTAAAGAGGAATATTCATTTAATAACATTTATTTGTTCTGTTGATTTGTAATTAATTGAACACATCTGTTTTGTTTGTATTCCTATTTATAGTTCAATAAATATAAAGATAAATGTTAAATAAAAAAAGGAACAAAGAAGTGAACTTTTTGCTCTGCACCACTTTCCTTCACAACTGCAGTTCTCTTTCAAACTAACCTACTAAGGTCCCTGTGGTAACTGCTGAACCATTTCTTTATGATTAGAATGAATGGTGCTGACAAATGGAACAATTATAATTTATTGTCATCCATTGGTCATGAAAAAGTTTTCACTCTGCACATAATGAATTCATAGGTAGACTTATTTGCTACAACATACATGTGCAGCGACAATTACTTTCTAAAACTGTTATAGCATTTCCTGTTTCCTTAATACTCTAACTTTGTAGACCTGTGAGAAGTGCTCCAGATGTCACAAGTAAAGATGATATGCTGCCAATAACTTTGCACATTTAATTGAGAGACACTGATAATATGACTGATAATACTTGAATAAATAGGTGGAGCCCGGGCAAAGTGCAGTTTGGATCAGGTTAGTGGCTTTTATAAGTCAAATAATATCAGCGACTTGTTTGGGGGCCTTAGCTGGAGACTATTTGTGCTATTTACAACTGTAAACACACATCTCTAGATCCTTAAGTGTAAGACCCATTCAGTTTTGCAGTAGGTGTTTAATGTGGTTGATATCTTATGTCTGACTTAAAGGGCACCACCTGTCTAGTCATGCAGCCCTCATTCTCCCGGGATCCATCATATTCTGCACAAGTGTATACACATGAACACAAACTAAGTCAGCCTATTACTCCACAACACAGCTTAAACTTGAAAATACTTTCCCTCCATGTAACCTGACGCTCTATTATAGCTTTCTGCAGGATAATTGTGCCATTTTCACGCCTAATGGAAACTAATTGTGCATATTCATGCAGCAGACAGTTTTGAGAACATTTATTGAAAAGAAAAGGAATCAAGATAAATTTGAAATACAATCCTCAGGGAAGAAGAAATAAAATAAATAAAAAATAAATTATAAGGTACAAAACTTTTCATAAAATGTACATTTCTGCCAATAAAACAATACATATACCCCAGATGAGCCCCTTGCTGAGGTGTGGGAGCTACGAATAAAAACCATACTGATTTAACTGTACTGACAGAGCTGACATGAAGATGGACTGTGACGACGTCTTACCAACAGTACACTTGTTTTTTATACAGTTTGGGTATCAACTTTTATTATTTCTCTATTCATTACAAATAGACACATTTCCCTGAGGAAACAACATCCACATGAGGCTTCAAATACTCAGTGGCCGACTCAATCTAAATGCCATTTGATGGTATGTTTAAATACATGGGGTGAATAAGAGGCTTATGATAACTGTCAGCAGTTGGTTTATGTTGTACCTGTATAAGCACGGAGGTTTCAGCATAAAATCTATTGCTTTGACATATCAGTGTCAGATTGAAAGGCAAAGCTGTAGCGTCGAAGAAAAGCAGTTGTATTTACACTTTGTATGTCAATGAATTGATAAATTTTCTGTATCAAGGTGCACAGTTATGACAAAGCTGAGACTGACTTATTTTGCTCATAGCAGCAATATTATCACTTTACAACGGACTCTTGATATCAAGCAGCAATGCACATTCTTTTTGCCAATTACATTAAATAGTTTTCATGGTTGGAAAGGTTTTTAAAAAAGAAAATAAGCACATTTACAGAAAAGAAGACAAAGTAACAAGATTGTCAAATGGTGCCAAAATTGGGAATTTGCCAAGAGTTGCCAGCAAGAAAACTAGACGAGTTAAATTCCCTTATTGTGTCAAAGTATTTAGACCAAAGAGAGGCAACCAGAAAATCTACTTGATAAATCTGAAGGAAAAAAAATCTCCATTCAGGATTGTTTGAATTTCACTTTCTTCACTCTACTGCAGACATGTGCTGCACCCGAGACAAAAACAAACACTGATCCAAGTGCCCAAATTATATTTCACAATACCCAATCACTACTGTGAAATAAATGCCCAAAGTCACCCAAATAAGGAAAATCCAAGATAATGCAAGTTAACAACAGTGAAAGTACAAATAAATCTGACAGACATTACCAAAACAAAAGTAGACATTAAACAGATTGTAACACAGTACCAAAATAGTAGAAAAACACACACCAGCCCTTTGATAATCCAAAACCGTACAATATTATAGCTAAATCTTTGACTTTTATGCACACACTAGAAATGTACATCTCATATATACAGATAGAATCCAATCTCTACAATTACTGTTACCTTTAAAAGTCAATTTTGACTGAATCAAGCTATGTTCAACAAAGTTAAACAGCCTAAAGTTTAACTTTCCTTGTTTTTTTTCTCCTTTTCCCAAATAGATGTAACAAAACTCTTTGGAAATAGATTCAATAACCATTGTATTGCCTTGCAATAAATCAATAATTTTGTTCTTTACACAACATTCAATTTCAGCCTCAGCAGGTAATTCAAATGTTAAAGCACATAAAAAATTAAAATCTGTGACCTGTGTTTGGTCAGACCAGCATACTTGTTGATATCTAACGGTAAAAAAAAAAGTCATTCAGGTAATTCTATCACAGTGAATCAGGATCTTTCAATAAACTGGCACAAGGATCTCAAATGAGCCAAACGTTCTATTTTTCATCAAATCTTTATCTTTCTTCACACACTGATAGTTTACCAAAAATAAGAAAAAAATCACTTGAACTGATCAAATAAACCTTTTTTATGTGAGCTCTGGTCACAGATCATGTGAGCTCATCATAAAACCAGTTTAGATTTGTAATTTGATTACAAGTATCTCAGATGATGGCTTTTAACAACTGAGTGAACTTTTATCTCATTACTGAGGTTAGAATTTTATTACTAATATAGAAGGAATTTTGTAGGATTTCTTTTGATATCAGTGATAATCAATAGAAAAACTAAAGGTCACGTCATGTATCATAAATGATTATTTGTCATGTAATCTGTGATTTTTCCATGTTTATACCAAACAATTAGTTTTCTGTGAAGGAAAAAGAGCAACATTACATGAAGTGTGACATGTCTATGAAATGGTTTACTTTGGGACACAAGCAAAGTTAGAAACCATTAACATTTGAGACGTAAAATTCCTGAAAAGCAGGCTGCTATGATTAAGTTATACTGGCTTTGTGCGTTGGAGTCATTGCTTTAAAGATATGCTCCACCTCAAATCTGCCTCTTTCAGTATCAAACACACGGTGGATGTAAAAAGATTAGTTGTTTTCTCTTTAGCTGATTTCAAATCATGATTTTTAGAGATGAGAAAATAGCCTCTTAGTTTACTCATGTAGTGCCAACTGCTTCTCCATCTGATCGGTATTTTTCACAAACCATTCTCAGAGGAAGAAGCTTAATTTTGCAGCCACCTTAAAAGTTCGCAGTGAATGATTATGAGTGTTTGATAACTAACAGATTTTAGGAAGCAACACTTTATATGCAATAGAAAGAGCATTAAACTTAAAATATAGCCCTTAGCTCTATGTAAGTAGCGTCTGTATATCTAATGCATGAAAACAGTTATATATGGTCCATCCAGCTTATGCAGCTTGTGTTGTTGCATGGATATTTTTAATGCGCCAAGAGCAGCAAGCTGATGAGATGCATAAATGCTTTGCCTTAACAAACTTCCACTTTTTTTAACAGTCTTCCATGGGAAGAATTTTTTTATAGTGACATATTAGTAGTACTGCTGGCTTTCTGAAGCTAATCTGACATGATGTTGTAGAAGTAGGATGTTACATGACGTCATGCATGAGATTTACTATCCACAGTGTCCAGGCATGCGGTTTCTTTTGCAGATTTTTTTTTTAGAAACAGAAATGTTGATGTAAATATTTCTTCATTCTACAGTAATGCGGTATTTGTAGTGATATTTGCAGGAGAGAAACCATCAAGTCTTTAGAGGAAGATGTTGGGGAGCTGGGTTCATGCGAGTCATACGCTTTCTGTTCCCTGGTGGATGTCATAATATGATGACAGGACATGGCTCATCGATACAAATATGCAGGATTCTGAGTTTTAAACCACACTAAAGGCTCAATTGAACACGTCAAGAAGACAAGTTTGCTGTTTTTGAAGGTAAACTTGTCCTGCAGGGAGCGCCAGAGAGAAGACCTAATGTTCCCCTTAACCTTTGCCAAAGCGCCAATGCTGGGTATTCTGCATGCAACTGAAGGATTAGTATGAAAGTAAAGCTTGGCTCGATGAGGATTCAGTCATACATTTTCAGAGGTATCCGGTTTGTGAATAGTTGTTGAAGTGGAAACATGTGAAAAAGCTGGACCATTTAATGTCAGCACTCAGTTTTATGGCAATGCACCTTACAGTAATTCTTTTTCAGATCAAACCAACAGACTAAAGGGCTTGCTACACTAACATGTCTGTAAAAACTGAGATGAAATTGGACTTTTTCTAAATATCTTTTATTTTTTATTTCTTTTTAAAAATGTTCTACTTAATAATCTCTTTATGAAAACCCTTGAGCTAAAGTCTGGCAAATAAGCAAAGAAGATCCTTCCACAGGTCTGGGATGTTTCAGTAGTGTGCATTCTGCTTAGGGTGTGCAAATGAACATGGCAACAGTAGCCTATCCAACATTTCCTATCTCCTTTGCACAGCGTACATGAATGAATGTTTGAATTCTGGTCCTCAGAGAGTGCACTGTTAGCTTTAAAGCTTTCAGGATTCAATGCTTTCTAATGAGTGCTTGTAATGTGATTATGCCAGCTCACAAAAAAGGGTTCTACTTGTATGTACATTAGCAGTACAGGACCACTACATAGTAGCAATCCAAGCCAGCTACGGGTATCTATGTATCGATTCACCAACCGTCAACCCTATGGTCCTTCTACTTTAAACTACAGAGCATCTCCGTTTTTCTGTGAAACCCCTTTCTTTTGTTTCTCCTCCACAAACTCTTTCACTTTTCCAATCGCTACTTCAATCACCTGCTGTTTCAGTCGGTGTGGGTCGCTCTTTATAGCGCTGTAGTTTTAACCCACCGTGTTCTATGTAGCTTCTCTTTAAATTCATCATATTTGACATCTAGTGTGTACTACAGTTTCTCAGTTTTGACCACCTCATCACTGTTACAACGGCATAAACACAATGATTTTTGATTGATCAGACAGTAAAGGAAAGGGGTTTCATTTGATGTGACTTTTTTTTTTTACATTAACACAAAGATAGAGAGACCTGAGAGCACAGGAGTGGGTGAGCTGGAGCACTGAGAGGACTGAAACTCAGCTTTTTTTTGGTACTTCTGCGTATAATTCTATCAATAAAGGCCCTGGAACTACAGTATTAGAAGCAAGTCTCAACCAATTATCTTGTGACAATTTGATCTCAAGAGGTTGAATGTGTGTTCACTGAACACATGTTTAGGGTAAATAAACTACTGGGAGGAACTTTGCAGGGGGGCTAGGAGTTGATCATGATGTGATAGGTGGAGCCGTTCTCTGGCCGGGGCTTGGCTTCGGTGGTGGTGGTCGGTTTTGGTGGCCAGTCGGGGTCCACACTGAGCTCCTGTGCCAGATGCATGTAGCGAGCCTTGGGTGTCATCTTGCGCGGACAGCACAGCCAGGACAGACACTTGTATGTTCCAAGGTTAATGCCCCTCTGAAAACACAGCATCCCAACAAACATACAAATATAAGATACAATTACAAAAGACAGAAAGAGGGAGGAATAGGAAGGTTCTACAAGTTCAGCTTTTCTTCACACTTTGGCTGGCATGCAAATAAAGACATTAACATGCGAAACTGTCACATGCAAAATATATAACTTAAGGGGACACTGAAACAACAATGCATGCATGCAAGTAGTTAAAATAAAATCTGCATGATAATATCTGAGAGGGATTGTCTGTAGACAGAGTGAAGAGTGAGTTCACTCCTTCAAAACAAGCTCATGGAGTCAAAGGTGAAAGCAAACAAAAGATTCAACAGCAGATCTTCAGATGACAAAGTCAAACTTTCTCGTTAGCTTCATATTATAAAAGTCTGCCTTGATTTATGGTATGAACAGGAACCTCAGATAGTCCTGACTGGACTAGAGAACGAATTGAGGAAAGCTAGAAAAAAGCGCAGACGGGAAGGGAAGCTTGGTACTGCTGTAGGCCTGAACAGAAAATACAGTAAAGAGAGGGAAAGGGGGCGGCAAGCAATAGACATAACATGAGATATCCAAGGCTTGGGAACGGTTTGTGCAATAAAGGAAATCCAATAGCAGAAACAAACTGTATACTGTACAATAACACCACATGTTCAAATAATGTGAGAACAAAATGAGTTTAGCTCACTCTCCGAAAACTGTATGTGACATATCTGTGCATAGCTTGTCACTTTGTAAAAAATAGTTGGCCACCACTAAAACACACATGAAATGAATAAAAACTTCATATTCATTTATATTATAATATAAATTTACATTATGTTCAGTCATCCTGTTGTGTAGTAATGTTCATCGTAACTCACCTTAACTGATTGTTCTGATTAAAAACAAAAGTTGAAGTTTGTCTTGCCACATCGACACCTGATCAACTCAGAAAAACTGCTTAGCAAGGTGGTGTTGAGGTGAGTTTTGACGAGAGTGGGAGCATCACTCATTCAATTGGCCGTTAAATCAACTTCTCTTACAGTAAATGTGTTTTTATCAGTGGCGCTCTGAATTTAAAAGTGGTGTACCTGTGCTCTTAAAGCTTATTTCAAAGTGGAGCTGGTGATCAGAAGGTTTGATATTTGACTGCAACTGTTATCAAGCCCTGAACAGAAGGTCCACCAAGAAGGACAGAGGGTAGGAGCGGGCAGATCAGGATGAGACTGAGGTCTCGCACATGCATGTCTGGGTTAAAGGTTACAATAACAAGTTGTGCTCTGTGGCATTATAGGAAGAAGTAGGGACAGAGAGAGGGAACACCACACAAGAGGAAAATGAAAGGGCTGAAGAGGAAGGTGTCGTATTTTCCCAACCTGTGGTGTCGGGGCAGCGGGAGTGTCGACAAAGCTGCCCTGTTTGTCTCGGCTGAACACAAGCTTCCATAAGATGATGTCAAGGATGAAGGTCTATGGAATAGCGCAGTGGGCAGGGGAAAGAATTACAAAGAGGCTAGTTTGATTTTCACACAGTGTTTGTTTTTCTTGCACAGAGGTCTTGAATTGTTTTCGAACAGCCACAACGTGTCAAAGAATCATGACGAGGAACTTTGTTTCCTCCATTAAGATGTTAGTTGTTACAAGTGAAGTTATAATTCAATTTGACATATTAGTAATACAAGAGTGCAGTGAGTCAAGTTTTACAAAAATATACAGAAACTGTTGATTCTGTGCAAAGTCATTTGGTTGATCTTCAATTATTTGAAAGACGTGAAAGAATATGGACTGGTAGTTGAGGCTATAGCAGCTTCTCATGTATGGATGCAAGGAAGAAAGAGTCATGGTGACCCTGCTTTACTAAGGTTGACAGACCAGCATAAACTATTTCACTTGATAGAATAAATTACTCACTTTAAGAGCATATGTCTATCCAATCATTCAATAAAGATAAACAAATGCTGCTTTAAGGAATTTCAAGAGACCAAAAAGCATAAATTACACAAAGTAGTATTCGAACACTATCTGTTAACTATTAAATATTCTGAAGTTTGTCTTTTTTCAGACTGGCACAAACATATTGACTTCTCACGCACAAGTTAGATCCTGCTGTCCAGCTACATAAGACAAAGATGAGCACACTGCATGAAAAAAATAAATAAATAAAAAGAAACTGGACATGAGAAAAAAGAACAGCTCATTTTTCTCTGAGTTCAAATGTGTTTCTTACCTCCATCAAAATAGACGCAACAGCATTGACCACGACAATGAGGAACAGTTTTACCCTCCATTCAAATGGGACACAAACAATCTGGACACAAAGAGAGGAAGAGACTCAAACCTTGATTATCAGTAGTTTTAAACCGAGACTCAAATTTTATCTGTTTCTTTAAAGAGAGCAACAAATGCATCAGTCTACATCAGAGCTAAGTAAAGGTGTACGATTCCAGTGTTTGACTTACCTCTAGAAACTCATCAATGCTTCTGAGCGGGAAGAACAGGATGAAGAGGAGGAAAACATACAAACTGAAGGCAGACAACACAAAGGGCCCTGCGCAGACACAGACACAGACACAGACAAAATGATCAAACTGAGAGGTAACTTACAAACTAGAGTCAGATATATCAGGGTTAACAATCAAAGTTTCATACAGTTCTTGTAGCTCGGCTGCCTGAAAGGTTTCCCCTTCGAAAAAACAATGGCAACGATGAGATACTGGAAGCAGGAAACATAGAAGAGGCTGGTGTTCTCAAAGTTTTGGATGTTGTGGTCGTCCAATTCTGTGTCGTTGTGGTCGGACACATTGATGTGTGAGGAGTGGTTGCAGACGCTGAATGAGGAGAGCAAAGTTCAGAAACAGGCAAATGACACAAACAAAGTCATGCACAACACTAGGTTTTTTTTTTGTTGAGGCAGGCTTGTATTAGAGTCAGGCTTTTCTTTCCTGTTGTACAGAGTCATCTTCAGTGTAAAGCTTGTGTCATTCTGATCTGATTCTATGTTGAACCTTGTTAACTCTATGCTTTCTGTCTCTGTTTCAAATTAAAAAGCCCTCTTCATTTTTATTAGGAGCACGGTTTCCTGTGAGACATGCAGGAACTTGTTGAGGACCATTCAGTTGCTGTGGACTACATGCAGCACTTGATCTGTAACTACTGCCACCTTGTGGAACTTGTGCATAACTAACTACAGGAAAAAAGAGCTCAAAACCACATGATTATCAAGTCACTGAATATTGTAAAAGGTACAGAGTATTTATTCCCTGGCTGTAAATCATGTCCAGCCTTCATTTTGTAGTCAGTTAATATGTTGCCATTGTAACTCATCTACTTAAAGGAAAAATAGTGGATAATGATAAAGCTGTGAACAAAGTTCCTACACAGTTGGAATTTCCACACTTTTCCATACTCTACTTTTTAGAATTATTTTTGGAAATACCTACTTTTCTATTTTAGAAAACAGTATTTTAGAACTGTGGTCATAGTCTGGAAATATAAATACATTTACATACTTTATTTTTCATTTTCAATACTTTGAAGATCTAGAAATTGATCAAATTTATTTCCATACTTTCCATACCAGCGTAGGAACCCTGTGTGAAGTTACTGGCTGAGGTTCAGCAGCACTGAAGGCACCCATCTTTGTGAGGCACTTACTCTGTATGTGGTGTCCAGACTGTGTACCAGGGTTGGTGTCGGACCCAGAGGAATGTAATGGTCTGGAAGCCCAAGCAGATGAGGATTTGGGTCAACACGGAGAACAGCAGAGGCCCTGAGATGAGGCCTGATGGGGGACGACGTGACACAAGTTCCTTCCACGCTGGATTTAAACTCACTGAAGTGGAGTGGAGACGGAGGGGACAGGATACAGATGCGCAAGAACGAGACATTGGGAGGGAAAACAGGTTAGAAAAATGTGACAATTTACTGTGGTAGAAATCAAAACTTAAGTTTGATTTCTTGGACTTACTGGTAAAGACAATGAGAAGGATGATGGCAATATCGATGAAGAGAAACTGGAAGTCTCCGAGGTTACTGAGAATCTATGAAACAGAAACTCGTGTTAATTCTGTGGAGCTGATTTTCAAATGATTCCACAACTACTAGAGACTGAAGAAGCAGCACACTTACAGAGTAGAGGAGAGTGACGCTGATGTACTGGATGATGCTGTAGAGGGCCATGAACTTGAACACACAGAAGGATGTGATGAGAGCAGCACGCCCCTCCCTGTTGAAGGAAGCAGACAGTGTGTCACCTTTGAAATGAGATGCTTTATCCCAGCTTTAAGTATCACAATATTAATTTTCTTGGTTATTAATCCACAAATTGAACAGTGCAAAAAAATAAGTGAAAAAAGACCTGATGAGGCTGGGTACACAGGAGATGTTGGGGGTCCTGGAGGTGAAGGGAGAAGCTACAGAGGCTTCAAGCTCTGACAGAGAGATGCCACCATGAGCTCTCTTGAGAGCCTAGGGGGGAAAAAAAGGGGAATCAAAAAGCTATAAAGTTCATATACCTTATAAATGTATTATATCACACATGAGGAATGACTTTACAAGAGGCTATACATACCCCACAGTCATTTGCTCCATCTCCACACATCCCCACAAAGTAGCTGTTGGCAAATAGTAAAGATGAATTACTCTGTGCTCAATTTTACAACTTCTCTCCTTAAAATAACATTCAGACAAATCTGACTTCTCACTCTGCTGCTGCATTTAAAGAGAATCTCTCAGATACAGGAAGCATAAATTATTAATACACTTTCACATCCACATTCAACAGTTACTTACTCTACACCCTGAAGCGCCTCAATGAGTTGAGTTTTCTGGTCAGGGGCCATTCTGGCAAACACTGTCCCATGAAGCACCAGCTAAAAAGCAGAATATGTTGTTAGAGAAACAGATAGTTTTGAGGAGGTCTGCTTCAGTCACAGAAAATACAAAAGCCACGCCCTGTCTTATTTAAGATCCCTGCACCTTTTGAAGCATGTCGGGGAAATGCTCCTCGATGACAGCAAATGATTTTCCATTCATGGCGAAGTGGTACAGCTCTTGTGTTTTTTGCTCAACTACGTGGTAGTTATCCTCCAGACTGATGGTCACTTCCTGTTTACAAAAATGACAGTGAGGATTGGAGACAAAACATGACAACGATTTTGAATATGCTTTCATTGCAGCCTCTGACTGCATTTGTGTTTGTTCCAGCCTCTCTACTGGCTTTGAACAAGTCATTCATTTCCATTTGTGACGCTCCCTCACCTCCAGGCGGGATATCTTGGTCGGCTTATCAGCGTATCTCCAAGTGATCTTTGCAGCTTGTCCGTTATGTGGAGGGAGAGCGTCAGCGATGATCACTGTGTCCTGAGGAGGGATCATCCCACAGTCCCGGGCCACAGAGATGGCTGTCAGCATGTTGTCACCTGGAAAGTTGACATGATAGGTTTCTTATTTTCCATTTTGTTTGAAAAAACAGCCCAATGTCCAGCCTCTGGGGGCATTTCAAGGGTAGCGTGCTGCATTTGGTGATCTTAACAATCACTAATGAAAGAAGGTGAACTGATTCTAACTTTATGCCCTCGGACTTTTCAATGTTTTCCTAATATCCAAATATCTCTTTTTCTAAAGGCTAAATCAATGCCTGTCTTCTTATATTCTCGTTTGACATTACTGCAAATACACACAGTGAAAACTGGAGTCCACTCCTCAAAACCAGATTTTGTATTGACGTCAGTGAGGCAGACTGCGTGAGTGATGGTGGATCAGTATTTGGCAACAGGAATGGAGACACATTGAGACAGTTGCGAAGGGCTAGTTCTGAAATGTTACCGTAACACAACCATAAAAATCAAAAATCTATCATGAGTTGCTCTTTTTTTGGCTTCTATGTGAGAAGCTTTCTGAGTGTCTTGTGTTTACGATGGTTTAGCAGTCTCCAAGATGCTGGTTTTATGGTGAAAAGTGAATAAAATCCTCTCGTACATGTTTGGGTTAGTTAAGTCAGTGACACTGAGTAACCTAGGAATAGGTATTAGTTGAGATTACAGGTACAGCTGAGTAAATACATCAGGATTAAATCCATGACAGAGATTACCACACTCATATACTACAGGGTTATTTGCAATCACACAATGTTTGTGCGTACTTTTTAGACACTATATTCATACAATAATCTTTTACGATCCGTGTACTAACCAGTAACCATGACTGTGCGAATGTGTGCTCTGTGGAGGTCTTGCAGAACTCCTGGTGTTTCTGCCTTGAGCTTGTTCTGCATGATGATCAGACCCAGGAACTCCATGTTTGACTCAATGTGATCCCTTGTTCAAAGAAAAACAAACACATGTTATAATAATGCCCCCAGAACGTAACACCAAAACCAAAGAAGTTCTCAAGTACATTGGTCTTCTTAAGTGAGTGTGTTTTGACCTTTCAGAATGAAGTAAGTCGAAGGACAAACATTTCCACTTGATTTTGTGATATTTATTTTTCTCATAGTTGATGTTAGAAAGCAGCTTGATTTGAAAACTACAGTTTGATTTCCTCTATTTGGTTTAAATTTCAGATGAATGAAAACATTTTCAACAATATAACGTCTGTTACCTGTTGACGTTTTGGACTTTATGCCAAGTGAGTTTTGATTCAAGTCGACGATGAGCCAGAGCTATGACACGGAAACCTTGCTTGGTGTAACCCTCCAAAACCTCTGCAAAGTCTTCTGGCACTGCAAAGACACAGAGAAATACAGTAAGGTTAGAGATGGATGGTCAGGAAGGAGAGAAGGCACATGTAACCTCTGTGGGTTCGTAAAATAAATCCACACCTCACCTGTCTCTTTCCTGCAGAGACTAGCCACCACCTCTGGTGCTCCCTTCACGTACGCATCCATGCGCTTCTCTCCCAGCAGACGAGCCACTACGCTCATCCTCTGGAGTGCTGAAGAGAAAGGAAATTGGCGCACGATACCTATCTCGTACACTGACTGCACGCACACCAAAACAGACACACACACAAAAAAAAAACAGAAAAACGTATTTAATAGAAGTACTGTGATTTCAAGGAAAATTATTTAATGAATCAATGTAATGATTTTTTTCTCTAAAAATTCTGACCTTTAAAACTTGATTTAGATATTCCAAGCAACTTTACTGATAAAACTAAATGTTTTTCAATAGGACTCGATAGGATTATAAAAAAAGGAATTAGATTACTTACTGAGATTTCATATAACTCCTAAAGGAAGAAAAGAGAAAAGAAGGAAGAGTGAGTTAAAAAAAACACATTAGTTCAGTATTGTTATATTGTTACTTTTGTCATACTGTGATAGTCGTGTCCGTGTTACTTCATCAAAATAACATGTTGGTGCCTGCTAGATAATGAAGTATTTAATGTTCATTTGATATGTTTTAATGTTTACATTTGTAATGATAATATGATCTGTTTTATTTCAAATATTTCCCAGACATCAAGGACCTGGGGTTAAACTGTTGGTCTTCGTCCTTACCATGTCTTGGTCTGGTGATGTGGTGGGCTCAGGGGGCAACAGCTGTTTTGGGGGTCGAACTACAGTGGGCATAATACGGTTGTGAAGGGCCGTTTCCTCCTCAGTGGCCTCCTCCAGGATCTAGGAAGAGAAGGTTTAAAGAAAAATACAGATCAGATAAAAATATTCCAAAAACAGCAAGAGATGAAGAATGATATCGCATTTTTCACATTTCCGTTTTCTTTCTGTAACATTCTGTTGGCCAAAAATAGCAAATGGAATTTAAAGCCAACCCAATCACAAGTAAGGGTGGCCCGTTTAACCACACCCCCACTGTACTGTCCTGACTAATCAAATGCTTTTGCACTGATACATAACAGCTCACCCAGCCTGTGGCCTCAAACATTTTTAGGTCCAGTGGGTCTCCAGACAGCTGGCCATCTATTTTAGTGAGAGAGTGGCAGGTGGCCATACAGGCCACAAACTGGGACTTGACGAGATTTTCCTTGCAGGCGCTTTCCTCTGACAAGTGGAACCTGGTGAGGCAGGAGACGCAGCAGGTGGACGAGGAAAGACGTGGTTTACTCAGACATTTAAAGAGGAAAAAAAAGGCAAAAAATTACATCTGATAACTTCTAGTCTGTAGTGAAAAAATGTGGACCATGAAATGAATCAAAATGCCTCAAGTACCCTCTATGAAATATAATAGATGATATAGCTGCAGTGTTTTACATCGACTGAATATGTGTATCTCTCACAGAAGACAATGTACAGATATTTTCACCTCAAAATTAATTATCTTAAAATTAATTTTACTTTAAACATTCTGAAAAATATATTGTTTTTGCAGGAATTTGTAATGATGGATGAGACCATGAGAAAAAAGCATCAAGGACATCTATGATCATCATCTAGGATAACTTAAGAATCCTAAGGAGATAATAAATTGCGAGATTAAATGTTTTGACAATATAAGTGCAGACAAGCCTACCTCCCACTCTCAACCCTCTGGACTCCCCACAGATCTAAACCATCCTCAGTCAGAGTTCCTGTCTGTAAACGGACAGAAGTAGAATTAAGATGAGTTAATATATGAAACAAGTCATCTTTAGAGCTAAAGAACTAAGGCAGGTACAGAGAATTCAGAATAGATTAAGTGTAAACTTCCCTATTAGGTTCCAGTAAACACAATCAATTCTTGGAGAAGTCAGGTTGAGCAGTTATTCAGCGACTAGTCCTCACCTTGTCAAAGCAGACCAAATTGATCTGTCCACAGATATTGATCCTCTGAGGGCTGATACAGAAGATGCCGATGTCTTTGAGGCGTCGCTGAGCGTACACAATGCCAGCTGTCATTGCGGCGGGCAGCGCCGGCGGCACAGTGATGGTGATAATGTCCAGGGACTCAATGATGATGGTTTTAGCCGGCACCTGGAGCAAAAACGTGAAGTCGCATATTTGGGACTGTTTGTAATTGAACAATGTGACACAGGAAGGTTTCTCTGGGGCATGTTTTTTTGCTCTTATTCTTGTTAAAAACAACTGTAGCACCTGAGATGGCTGATCCTCTAGGTCTGGTGCTAATCCTACAACAATCCTTTAATCATAACAAGCTTTACAGAGAAGGCTCGAACAGTTCATTTTCTGCAGCACTGGCGGATTTGGACATCTAATTCCATGTTGTGTGTTGATGGAACAGCTTTTTCAACAATTCCTCACCATGGGAGATAATGGCTTAAGCCTTCGTCAGTTTGTTTTGAAGTGGTTTTGCTCTCTAGCGGGCAAAAATTGGGATGGAATTAAAAGCTTCAGGTCTTTAAATGTGGAGGGACAAGATGTGCAAAATGTATCTCTATGCTTCACCTCAGCTAAGCAACTTTTAGATTATACTGTTTATGTTTAATGATTGCAAATCAACAGAGAGGCAGATCCATTGAGTAACTTTCTCTAAGCTGCATGTTTTTCATCTTTAAAGCCACTTTAATTCTGAACCCATGTTACTAAAAATCGAGACATTTTCATCATTCAATTTGCTCGTCTCTGCATCTGTTACCTTGTTTATGATGCTGAGGACAATGGAGTAGACAAAGCCGATTCCAGCCACAGCCACCAGACACAACAGAAAGAGGTAGGCATCACGGTACAACTTGAAGTCGGTGGGTTTTGGATAAAGGATGGAGCGCACCAGCTGGCCTTTAGCTGTGCTAAAACCTGGATGAGAAAGTTGTTATGAGCAACAGCTGTGAAGATTTGATTTTTCCCCTTTTCAGACAGAGGCTCAGGTCTCTAAACTACAACAGAAGAGGATGAAACTGTCACAGAAGTCCTTCAGGTTAGACTAGACACAGAATGTAAGCCTTGTTATCAAATAGATCTGCTCAAGTGAAAAAGCACTTCATGTAGAAAGATCTTCCCAGGTCAGCCAGGTGTTGATATGATCTCAGCACAGACAGTTCTCACAAACTAACCCCACTTATCAAAGAAATGTGACCCTGTTAAATGCCTATGTTTAGATACAAAGGTACCTGTGCGGACCACCACAGCCTTGACCAGCTCTCCAGTGTAGAAACGGGTCTGGATGACATTGGTGCCACAGAAGAGTGTGTGTCTCTTATGCTCTTCTGTGTTGTAGGCACTGTCAGTCTCCTCCTCTCTCTCCCCTGGCCCTGGATTCGGGAGGTTGGTCTTCGTCACAGGGACGCTCTCACCTAACGGAGGGTGGAATGATATTATGACCAGCTGCTTTGAGATTTCCAGAAGGAGTGTTTTTCCGTTTGGATTCTCCTTCGACGAGCTGCTGAGCATGCAGTGTCTCTACTGAGTCAGACGATGTGCATTCTTATAAAGTAGCTGACCTGTGAGCATGCTTTCATTGACGATACAGGTGCCGCTGACCAGCACGGCGTCACATGGCATGATGGTCCCGTTGCTGGGGATGATCATCACATCCCCAGGCACCAGATCAGTGGACATGATCTCTTCAATATCTGCCAGGGAGGGGGGAGGTGACAATGAAAGGTGTAGAAGGTCAGTGTGTGCATTAGGTTCAGACAGAAAGGAAGGTGCATACATTTCAAAATAGAAAATAAAAATTAGTCGTGTGGAGGGAGGTGAAAAGTGTGAAATTGAGCCAACGGTAGCAGATGGCAAAGGGGTGAGGAAGGAGATATTTTGTGTGTCAGAGCCCCAGAGTCTTGTTCAGCACATCTCTCATTACTCATGGCTCTCTGGGCAGCAGGAAAAAGAGCTGAGGCATCACAAGCAGGGGCCAGTGCAGTAGGTGAATGCATAGAAATACAAGCGGTGTGCAAACCTCAACAGCACTGGTCCTAACTGAAGATTAATTTTGTTCTTTAGCCAACGCAGGGGATTATTTTCAACATGTTACAGCTGCTACGTGTCTAATGACTTGGTCCATGTGTTTATATCATCTGTGCAGAGACAGTCATCACCCTAATCAAAAGGCATGCAGACACAAAAAGGCACGTGTGGAACAATTACATGAGTGCTTGCAGGTGAAATACATGCATATTTTCAGAGCACACAAAGGTCATTTTCTCTTTAAGTCTGCATTGTCCCACCCCAGCTGCCATCTGGAGGACAGCCAGAGCAGAGTGACTGTTTTAGTGAGTCTGTGCCAGCACTGGACTGTCAGCTTTTGTGTTGAGAAGCCCCAAACTGAGAAGAGTAACACTTAGGACTTAACATATACCATCAGAGAAAAAGAGAAGCAAAAATGATAAAGACAATGACCAACCCTTATTGGCTCGGCATACAGATACCCGGACGATACTGTGAGCTGCCACCATATCGTGAAGCATGACGTATTGCTGAAAAACAAAACAACACAAATAAAACCTTTTGAATAAGGAAGCAGAAAGTGCAGAAGACCCTTTAAGTTATACCGAGATTCTTGGGTGAGACAAGAGTGGAGGCAGTAAGCATTCTGGATATGTCTGAGATCTTGCCAAACTCACAGGCTGTACCAATGACTATAATGTTTTCTAAGGTTTGAGAGTAGCATGTATTGTAATTTAAAGTAACAGCAACTTTCATGTATCAGGGAACTAATTTTTAAGCTAATTTCAGATAAAAGGAAGCAATTAAACATAATGATTTATCTAAAGTTTGGTAAGTCTGCAGGGTTAAAAAGGAAAAAAAAAATGGGACAGCATGCTTGCATCTCAGTTATCTACGAAAAAGGATTAGGGCCACAAGAGGAGAAAAAATAATTACAGGAGGGATTTTTTTTTAAATTTCCATTTCGAGATTCAAATCGAAATTTCAAGATTAAAGTCAAAATTTAAGAAGTCGAAATTTCCAATTTATTCATGTCCACTTTAATCTCGAGATTTCGCCTTTAATCTCAAAATTTAGGGTTTTTTTTGTCGAAATTTTCGTAATCTCAAAATTTCGATTTAAATCTTGAAATTTCAATTTTTAATCTCGAAATTTTGACTTTAATGTCCTTCCTGTAAATTTTTTTTTTCTCTTCATGTGGCCCTAATCCTCTTTCGTAGTTCTGTTATAATCAACTTTTCATCTTTGAATTTAGGTCTTCCCATAACCATGAGAACTAACAGATGAATCTGGATAGTTTTGGAGCTTACCTTTTTGATGGTGTACAGAGAGGTAGCTATGGATATGACCGACATGAAAACAATGGCCACAGCATAGTAGTAATACTCATCGGCACTCCACAGGATCACACTGAAGAGCTGGAAGATGTAGAAAGGGTTGAGGACCTGCAGGAGGAGACAGTGAGAGAGACAGTAGTTTGGTAAATGCAGATGTGAGAACAAGAAGTTTATACACAGGAGGAACATAATGAAGACACTGTCCAGGACACTGAGGTGCATTCAGATATGTTTACGAGATGTTAAGTCATGAATTTTGTGTAAGAAGTGCTTTTGTTGCGCTGGGTACATGTTTACATGAACATAATGAGACAGCACATGCTAATCAAGTTTTTCAAATGCAGGCTGTGATAAGTCAACAAGGAGGACTTAGCACAATATTCACTTTTCAACAGCACTTCCCTTGTGAAATATACTCAGTGTATGTATGAAATTGCACCTCCAACAATAATGCATTAAGTCTCAATATGCCAGGAAAGAATAACAGTCAACATGGCTGCTTGTTGTGTATAAATTCATGTTGTGTGTAAAGATTAAAAAAAACTAAATCTATTTATAAACTACATCCTACCTCTTTGATAAGCAGCTTGAAAACAGAAGGCACTTTCACTGCAATTTCATTCACTCCGAAGAACAGTCTCCTGAAATACAAAAAAGACAAAATTAACACAGACAATTTCATTGATTAATCCCTTAAAGAAGATTTAATTAATACCAGCTTTAACAGTCTTAAAATTGATTTCCCCTTTAAATGAACTCCTAGTTGATATCTAGCGAGAAAAAATCCGAATTGATGAACACAACAGACAAACTATAGTTGCTGAAACTCACAACCGAAGAAACCCGTCAACAAGCCCAAAATCGCCTCTTTGTTCAAGCTGCATTAAGTTGAGCAACTACACTCAAGAGAGGCCAGCTGTTACCTGTACTCCTGCTGGTTCCTGGACAGGCCTGCACTGTGCTCCGAGTGGAGGGTGGAGCAACTGACCTGTAGATCCTCCAGGCCGCTGTTGGGGAAATAAAGCAGCAGACAAAGACAAAACTTTAAATTACACCTGTCATTAGCCTGCATCAGTGTTTACAGAGGTCAGTTTGTTCTATAAACTAATCTACATCTGCAACAGGGTTTTACTGCACATGTAGTGCTGGATAAAACACAGTAACTCATCTTTCCTCCGATAAGAGTGCATAACTGTTTCATGATTTCTATGAATAACTGGACACTACTTACGCTAAAACTTCGAAGTTCTGCACCTCGTCGTTCCAGTAATACTTTGTGCTATGGAAGGTAAAATAGCGAATCTGACGGAAAAAAAAAAACAGGGAAAGAAACTGAGTGACCTGAAACTTTCATGAACATTTTAACTGTACTATTAGTGTCCATAAATTTGAGAATAGGAAAGAGAAAACTAAACTTACATGCATCATATCAAACAAGGTTAGAATATAAATTTTATAAATCTTGCAAGGACTGGTACAGTAAACAGGGTCAAATGGGTGCCTACCTGTACGGGCTGGTATTCTGCAAATCTATTGATGAGCTCCTGAGCGGGGCTGCCATCGGAGGAGTGGGGGGTGTGTCCATTGGCCAGAGGAGGGGAGGCTGAGGAGGAGAAGGGGTGGGAAGGAGAGGAAGGGGAGGAAAGGGAGGAGGGAGGGGAGGGGGAGGTGGTCTGGGTGTCCAGGCTGTGGAAGGGGTTGCTCCCTGGGGCCAGCATTACTCGAACCCTGGCCAGGAACCAGCGCCGGAACTCGTCCTACACAGTAAACAAACGTTTGTACTAGAGCACGGAGGATCTTTATAATAAACAAACATGCTCCAGTCTTAAAACATACAATGGTCAGAGGTCAACAGCATACTGCACTTTCATCCACTTTGAAAACCAGAGCTGTGTTTTGGTGCTGAGCAGGAGTTATTCAGACCCTGCCTTTATCTTGAAGACTTAAAAACAGGCAACTGGACTGTGAAGAGTTAAGAAGACGTTTCGCCTCTTATCCAAGAAGCTTCTTCAGTTCTAAAAGTGCTAGTGTCAGCGCCACAACGCCTCTCACAGGACAGCACACTGGAAGTCAGAACCAACTTAACTCCGGACCACATCTGCTCCTTATTGGACATCTGCCTCAGCACCACCTACTTCCAGTTCAGAGAGCGCCATTACAGACAGAAACACGGATGCGCGATGGGCTCCCTGGTTTCTCCTATAGTGGCAAACCTGTACATGGAAGAGGTAGAGAGGAAGGCCCTAACCTCTTTCAAGGGAGCTGCTCCTAGCCACTGGTTCAGATATGTGGATGACACCTGGCTTAAGATCAAAACACATGAAGTAGAGGCCTTCACTGACCATATCAACACAGTGGACAGCAACATCAAGTTCACCCGTGAAGATGTCAAGGACAAAGTGTTGGCCTTTTTGGACTGTGCTGTACACTTGGAGGCAGATGGGTGGCTCAACGTTGAAGTGTACAGGAAACCAACACACACGGATCAATATCTACTTTTTGATTCCCACCATCCTCTGCAGCACAAACTGGGTGTCATCAGAACACTCAACCACCGGGCCGAGAACATTCCCACGAAGAAAGAAGGTAAGGAAAAGGAACAAAAGCACGTCAAAAATGCCCTGACAACCTGTGGATACCCTAAGTGGGCCTTTGTGAAGAACAGAAAGAGAAATAACACTGAACAGGAAAGGGAGGAGAGACGCAAGAGCACTGTAATCCCTTACGTTGCAGGCCTGTCTGAGAAACTCAAGAGGATCTTTGGCAAACACCACATTCCTGTTCATTTCAAGCCTGGTAACACACTAAGGCAGAGGCTAGTCCATCCCAAGGACAAAACACCGAGACATAAACAGAGTAATGTGGTATATGCTGTCCAGTGCAGCGAGGAATGCTCAGACCTGTACATTGGGGAAACTAAACAACCGCTTCACAAGCGCATGGCTCAACACAGGAGAGCCACTTCCTCAGGTCAGGACTCAGCTGTCCACCTTCACTTGAAGGATACAGGTCACTCTTTTGAGGACAGCGATGTACAGGTGTTGGCTCGAGAAGACAGATGGTTTGAAAGAGGAGTTAAAGAAGCCATCTTTACCAGGCTGGAGAAACCTTCTCTGAACAGAGGGGGTGGACTCAGGCACAATCTCTCTGGCACTTACAATGCAGTTCTCAGCTCTCTCCCCAGAAAGCTCCACAAACATTCACACCTGGAACCACATGACTCAGGTGGCATGAGTCATGTGGTCACATGATAGGAGTCGCTAACGACCCTTTCAGGATAACGACTTGGGGGGGACACACCGAGAGATGGGTTTCTACGACCCATTCTTTTCAACTCCTCCCAGTCGTTAACTGTCCCCCTTCTCCAGTAAGATAAATATCTGCTCCTGACACTAGCACTTTTAGAACTGAAGAAGCTTCTTGGATAAGAGGCGAAACGTCTTCTTAACTCTACACAGTCCAGTTGCCTGTTTTTAAGTCTTCAAGATAACCATGACCTGGATGAATGAGAATCTACATGGACACCCTGCCTTTATGTCGCCTCATCTCAAACCTTAACCTTACATCAAACATCATACTGGATGACCATCTTTAAGAGGTCAGTAGTTACAAAACATTTACCACTGAAGTCTGTTTTCTTCTAAGCTACAACCCTCTTGAGGGCTTTAACAAATCAAAAGCCATAATCTGACATCAATTACACAGATAGTCATGGATGAAAGCAAAGACATGCACAAAAGCATGAGACCAACAGTGAAAGATCATTAGCCCCAATGGATTTACTTTGTAACGATGTAGGGTTTTTTGGGCTTTACTCTGCAGATAAAATAGACACTATCTGAATCATTATTTGCCCTTTGATTAAGACATATAATTTCCTTCTCATAATCTTCAGACACCAGGGTAGCTGCAGTTTGTCCTAATCCACTCGCAGTGCTTCATGAATGGTAGTGTCTGTTTTTCTGGCGCCCATTAATAAGCTTTGATAAATTTGTAGCCTCAATACAGGCTGTTTTTGTAACATGTATCTGCTTTTGCTGTGAACTTTCTTTCCTCCAGCTCTTAACAGACGGGATAGGCAAAGGTAAGTGACTGCAAATCACCGCCCTTAGTTTTCGACAATTCTAACTTATTACACTGGAATGTGAATTGTTGGGTGTGTGAAAAAGGTTTACTTTGCTATGTTCATCAAACAGCAGTTTTGGAGGGCATTATGTTCAACTGTTTTCTAACCCTAGTTTTCCTGATGATACAAATATCTCATAACTTTTGAAGGGAACATTGTACTAAAGACATAAATTACTTCCATTCACAGCTTTAAAAGCACATGAGCTTTTAGCTCCTCTGGGTACAGTACATCATATATAAGGCATGCCTTACAGCATTTGTACTCTCCCAGGGCCAAGAGGGTTAAAGAAGGAACTAGATGATCCTTTGCATAAAAACACTAAATGATGGATCTGTGTGAAATGGAAACAGCATAATTGGATTTCATCCATTTTCATTATTTTTCATGATTTATTTCACTAATTTTTTTTTAACTAATTTCAGTGCATAACGCCCGAAACTGACCTCAAATAACCTACGCTCAGATTTCTTTTGCACAATCTTTGACGAAAAAGTACAGTACTGAAGAGAGAAGTCTTGTTGAATTATTATAAGATTCCAAGGATAAGAATTTTAATTGATTTGGTGCATGTCTTTAGATTGAGATGCAATTACAAACTCACTTTATCCCATAAATTACTTTTTAGTACCTTTTACAATTACAAGTGGATGAAAACTTTCTTTCTGCATCAGCTTTGAGTATTTCACAAGGAATCACATTTTAGACATCAGTAGCAAATTCTCACACTTGAAAAACTGAAACTGGAGAGGTTTAGACATATTTAATTTATGTTCATTTGATAATGGACTTGTTTAATTATTTCACTACTTCTTGCAGCCTACCGTGGAGCGCAGCAAAACCACTTCAGCATCGCGGGCTGTGGTACGGGTGCAGGTGGATTTGACACACCACTCCGGCATCCAGTAGAGCAGCAGCAGGAGGAAGCCCCCTGTACACAGCACCCCGAGGCCTACCAGAGCAAGCCGCCACCGACACAGACGGTAGCCCTGCAGCTCCTGAAGGGTTCGAAATAAAAACAAGTTGTACTCTCTGAAATGTCAGACATCACAAACTCTGAGTGTAGAGAGAAACAGTGTACACGAAATCAATTACCATCTCCTCCTCTTCCCCTTTGTTGAGGACCTTCAGGTCTTCCTTCTCCATGCTGCAGAACAGTTTGCCGAGCCGCTGCCTTAGTCACTGAAAACACCAAGAGACCAAATGTTAAGGTGTCCAGTGTGGTGAAACATTCATCTCATCAATGTAGAAACAAAAGAAAAACTACAATCAGAGACGTCAGGTGGGGTCCCTAGATAACTCCTGGTAATAAATACTGTTTCAACCAGGGTGAGACACATAAATTATAAAATTTTTCACTGTTTTATTTCAGGTGATTAAAATATATATATATAAAATAAATAATTAAATTAAATAAAATAATTTAAAACAGTTTGGTGCCTTCTGGTACGGCTGGGCCCAGTTGTCAGGCCAATACAACTTGCACCATGTACTTCTCAGGTGCACTACACAAACACACTATTCTCATCCCAATGCACAGTCTGAATTTTTTATGTAAGTGACTCTATGAAACAGTTTCCTCTCACTTTGTCTGAGCAGGTCCCTTAAAATTCATATTCATGCATTCTACTTTTTAAATGCGTTGAACTCGCTGCTATGGAGATTTGAGTGTGTGTTTACCTATCTGTTTGAAGAGGTTTCTGTGAAGCATGCACTGTTAAGCTGAATTTATGAGCGGGAATGTCGTTAAATCAGAATTGTGATCCCCACAACCCTTTTGTAATCACCAACAGTAACAAATGCACAACATAGCTCTCTACCAGAGAGTGCTCATGGATTTTTAAGACTAACACGTGCACTGAGGGAATGTTCAACAGCACACAGGATTTTAATAAAGAACCAGGTCAGCGAGGATTGAAATGTTTTACTTCGCTCTGATAATACATATTTAACTGTGAAGTGTGAATACCTCAACTCTCTGTATAGCTATAATCAGATAAGACACAGTTTTACCATCTGTGGATACAAAGTGGCGGCAAAGGTTAATAGTTTACTGGAGCACATGTGACTTATTCTAACTGCAAGAACGCATGGCTCTTCTCAGACAGCTGCTCAACCTCAGAGCACCTGAGATTATCTCTTAAGAGTGTAAACACGCACGCACTCAGTTCAACTGAGTCATCAGATGTGTGCGCTACCCAATATCGAGCTTGTCCAATTCTCCTCCTTTCGGTTGTTCTGGAGGACCAGCCAGCTGCCTAGGAAAGCAAGCTGTCACTTTGTATGAGTGTGTGTGTGGGAGTTCTGCACTGACATCGGCAAAGAGGGGCATGTGGGTCAGAGGATGAGCAGGCACTTGGGAAGACCAGTTAGGCTGCAGACAATCTGGCTCTGTGGCTAAGAGCACAACTGAGCTTCAACAGGCGACATTGCTCGAGCTCAGGAAGTGCTTTGAGAGGACTTGTCAAGATCAATGTGTGTGGATTTGGTATTTGATTGATGGTGGTGTTTCCTTGGATTTCAAGGGGAACTTGTTACATACAATCATTCATGGAACTTTCAGATTATAAGATTCTTCAAGAAAGTAGTTGTAGGTATGGGAATCGAGAACCGGTTTCAAATGGTTCAATCCATCGACATCGTTTACATTTTATCATAACGATTTCCCTTCTTCCGGGTGCCTTGAAAAACGGTTTTGGGAGTGCCAGTCTACGTGAATGAGAACAGAGACTTTCAGGAAAAAAACATGGCGAGCCGTACGAAAAGTAGGCAGAAACTATCTAAAGCTGTGTAGTAGTGTCCTCTTTTTAGGGATCCAGAATACGGTCACTCTACTTTGACTTTGACTGACCTACCAAAGTAAATGCTGTACAAATAGTTTGTTGTTTGATTTTTTTTTAGACCCTTACTGAAGGTGGCATACTTCTTTTGTCATTTTAAGTTCATGGTGAAAACCTATAGTCTACTATTTTTAAATCAAAGAAAGGCATTGATGAGGGAATCATTAAAGAATTGCATCGATAAGCAGAATCAATAATGGCATCGATATCAATAAAATCTTATCAATTCCCATCCCTAAGTAGTTGCCAGTTCCCTATATGTCTTTGACCAAGTGAAACATACACTTGTGAAATAGGGGTAGGAATCACCAGTGGCCCCACGATACGATATTATCACGATACTTGTGCAACAATACGATATTATTGCAATATTCAACAATTTTAATTGAGTATTGCAATACAATAAATTGCAATTTATATATTTTTTTCAACTGTTCAGCTATTTTACCATTTGTCTTTCCTTTATGTTTGTCTTATATACAGTGTTTTATTTTCATGTAGCACATCTTGCAAACCTTTTACATATTTGTTGTACGAACTTTCTCCTGCTCTATGATGTTACCTCTGCCAATCTCACTGGACAACCTGTTGATTTTATTTTCCCATTATCATAGATTTGACTTCATATTAGCAATAAATTTGAAAAAAACACTCGGTAAATGAGATGATATAATATATCACCAGACAAAATATCACGATACTATGCTGTATCGATTTTTTCTCCCACCCCTCTTCCTCTGTAATGACTGACTCATTAGTGTGAATGGGCCAAAGAGTCAGACAGTGATCCAGACACGCCTTTAAAAGTGTAAGTTGTGAAATCGTATGAAGAGGGGCAAAAAACTGAAACAGTATACACGCACAAACACACACAGTGAGAAAAATGCAAAACACAACATGACCCAGAACAGAGCAAGAGTGAGAACACCCATCTATTATGAGGACTACTGGCATGTTGTGTCAAGACATCATGCCTATATAGCCACCCCAACCAAGAACGCCTACTGGTCCTTTATCTCTGCTCTCAAACTCTGATTTTATCTGCCAGCTGCAAGCGTCTGGGTTTTTTCTCTGGCATACTGCGGGATATTTTGCTTAGGACCAAGCCCTTCCTAGTATTTTACAATGGCAGCCCCCTGGCCGGCGCTAGGCAGGCGCTGGGTGCAGCTCACAAGAGCATTCCCTTACAACTCCCTGATATGACTGGAAATACCTACAGCAATACATCATGGCTACACTGTTTCACAGGATGACTTTAACTGTTATGATGATTTTTACAGACTCTTATTCTGAAATAACCTCTTCAGATAACAAACTCTTACTACTGAGCTCCTGACTGAAGGTTTTTATCTGCCAAACGGTTGTTACTTCAATCCATTAGTCCACTATTTGTCACGTTTAGGACATTAATTCAAATATATTTATGTGCAGGGGCTATGATTTGGATTCTGATCTGGTAGAAAACTTGCTCTTAGCGTTGGTTATTTATGTCAACAGAGCTGCAAGAAAAAATCCCCCCAGTCCCATTTTAATCCAAGGCAAGCTTTTGCACTTAGAATAGTGCAATCTCTTGGGTATAAAGGAACTTAACACGTTGTCACCTATAAGGGAAGTGTGCAAAGTGATAGTTAAGAACCCAGAAGACACTCAAAAGCAAAAGCAGAACATACACAAACCCTGGAGTTTAAAGAAGTCATCAACAACAATTGACCAAAACACACTCCACCACTTTTACAAACCCCTGGCCATTCTGAACAGACAACAAGAATATTGGGATCCATTGGCTGTTTTGTTTCCACATCCCAAACTAACTACTGTTACTTAATAACTAATGAGGTTGTGTCAGAAAAATAAAACTGCATCTGACTTGCAGCCGGCTGAGAAGAACGACAGAGAATGTGGTCTTCTTTTTCTTCAATATCTTTTACTTGCAAGGAGTCAGCAGCTTACAACAAAGGCAGCTTCCTCTGACTGAGGAATTCAGATTTTTACACATCCTTTATGCAGTCAAGAAACAGACCCCTGCCCACTAACATATCATCTCACAATGGCATGACATTACAACAGTATCCAAATAGGGTACAGGTTGCAGCTTGCAGCTGTAGTCTGTACTGGGAAGACAAAGACAGCTTAGTTCATCATCAGGTTTCTTCTTATCAGTTCAATCCATAAACTGTATATAGAATGGACAGCATCTGCTTCCTTGATGGGTGAAATCACTCCGAAAACAGCACCCTCTGGTGACGGGCTGCAGTATCGGTCATAAATCCCCCCTCCGCCAGCAAAGCTTACGGAACTGTGGACAAACTTTAGAAATTTATTACACAGAACAAACATTTTATTTCCCCTGCTTGCGATGTTGACATGTAGTTATTGTTAGACTGTTTTGTGCTCAAATCCTTTTTTTTCTGTGAGGCTCCATTTTTAAAAGTTATTAGAGGGTTCAAGTTTTCTATGATTGACAATTGATACAGCCTATAGGCGTACAAGGCTTGCGTAGCTCACCCTGGGGATATGCTGTTTGAGCCGAGCGTCATTACAGTGACTCTTCTGCCAAATGCGTACAACGCTACAGCACAATGGTGGTTTCAGGAAATGGAGAAAAAAATGCAAAATTACCGAGAGCTTTTTGGCTTCAAATCTGTATACTGATGGAAGGTGGAACCAAGTTGTCCATAGTATATACAGTCTATGGTTCAATCCCACATTGTTGGGAAAACAACCTGTGAGTGAAATTCTAGCATTCATCTAGTTGCATGGCTTCAGTGGAAAAGTATCAGTCCCAACTCCAAGGCCATACTTCTCCTTTATCATGCTCATTAAAAAGAAACAGATAAAATCCTGCAAGCGTTCACACCAAGTGATTTTCAATAAATTATGATTAATATACGTATATAATGATAAAATACACATGTGATAGCACACACATACAATTTTTCTTTCAGGTTGTCTTACTTCTCCTTACTTAAACAGGAAAAGAAAGATAATTAAAAGCTCTTACAATAAATAGCAAGACCACATCACATGTGCAGGCTTGCTACCATCCTCCTCTGCTTACTGTTTATCACCGCAGTATGTCTAACAAGCTGGCCAGTGATAGTTCAGTCAACACCTTCTTTTCACAGACTGACGTTTGATTTACTGATCAGATGCAGTCTGATTTGTAACCCCAGAAAACTCACACTGGATTCATGATTTCAGGATTCAAAATTTTAAAGTTGGAGGCAGTAAAGCTACAGATAAACCTGTGCACTGCTTGAGTAAGATGTTACTTGTTAACTCAGGCTGGAGACGAGTGAAGTGATGCTTTATTTAGGTGTGCAAGAGCAGGGAAGGGAAGCTGTTGAAAAATCTATGGATATTTCATGTAAACAGGATTATGTTTATCAGCAGATTTGGTCCCGGAAAAGTTTCTGGTCGATTGGTGTGCTCGTACCTTGCGTGCCAGGGACAAGATGCCCCAGGCGGTCCTCCTCCCTGCAATAAGCTTGCTCTCTCTCCACACCAACCTGGAACCCTGCAGGGAAAAGGCACACACATAACAATGCAGGTTACAAACAAAGCTTTCATAAGCTTCAAGTCTCCCCAAGGAATTGACTGTTCGAGGGTTACCCAAGAAGAGTCTTAGCGATTAAAAACAAAAGCAACAATTAATCTGAACCAAAACAACAACGCTTAATGTGTTTGGTTTATGCATCAAATCTGTCTGGTAGAGGAGAGACAAAGACTAAAGGAGTTCACTGGTGGGTATTTTTAGAGGGCAGATATTCTTCCTGCATGTTTTCAGACACGGGCTGCAGCAGTCCCAGGATTTTAAACACTTCAGTCTATTTATTCATGCATGTTAAAACTTTTATTTCAGTCATTGTGAGTCTTATGTAGGCAGCAAATAATGAAGCTCATGATGAAACCTTTCAGGACGAGGAACACTGGAAAAACCCAAACCCAGAAAACAAACAAACACTTAGAAATAAGGTAACGTCAGCTAGCTCAATTTTTAGCACCACCTGAGGTCCTACGCAACAGAGAGAACCAGGAAATAACTGTGTTTTCTACTGATTTTATATCCAGGTCATACTAATTTGGAGCAGCAGGGACCTCTGTGGATAATCTGGCTCTCTGGGAAAACTTTCTGACAAGTGAACACTTCAGACACTTCTCATTTTGTGACCTGCTTTGCTAATTTCAAGTTAGTGCTTTTGCTTTTTTTAAACCATACGGTTAAGAAATAACTGAAGTTCAGTTTGAAGTAAAGAAGTCAGGTTTTTGAACTGTCTCTCAAGATGATATGACACTCAAATTAAGATATTTTTATAAACTAGACCATCCTAAATAAAGTCAGTGAAATGTTTCCCATCATCTTGAATTCTGATCATACCGCTCCCACCAGTTTCTGGGAACTTCTGTTGTAACTAATCCCGCCCTGTGTTGACACTGATCGTTTTCGCGCTTCACTTACAGTAATTTCTTCCCACAGTTACTTAAGAATCTGGGTCCTGTAGGGGTCAACGTGATAAGCAATGCTGTGAGCAAAGAATCATGACTCAATAGAGAAATAAAGGGAGCGGTCAGGTGACTCCTACTGACTCATTCACTCATGAGGCTCAGAACTCCTGTGCCTTTTCAAAGCCCATGACATAATACTGACGGTCCCAACCTTTTTGGCAATAAATAACAAAAACAACAATAAGAGCAGAGTCATGCCTTGTGTTTTGAACATGATAATGAAAGGAGAAACCCATCTTTTTATAAAGAGCAGAGAACGAGAGGGACTTCAAGGAATCAGCAGGACATAGCTGATGTTTATAATCTTTAAGCCCAGCCTAGAGCCATGTTGTTCTCTGTCATTTCAATTGTCTGCAAGTGTATTACAAAGCAAAATAAAAAAAGTAAAATAAATAAAAGCCTGAAATATGAAGAAAAAAAGGAAAGAGGGATAAAATGGCAGTAAAAAGATGACATTACGCAAGGCATGTCAGCAAAAGCAGGTTTTGAGAAGAGATTTAAGAGATCCAACTGATTCTGTGAGTCTCATCTCTTCCAAATTTCGAAGGACCCTGACTTTGAAAAAGCAGGATCTCCTTTTGTTGTTAGTTCTGACTTTGGGAAACCAAGAGGGACCCCACCAGAGGACCTGAGGCTGCGGGCTGTTATATGCATGTTTCACTGACCTGACATACAACCCTGAGACTACCAGCCTCTGTCATCTCTGCTTGTTTACATCTAGTTAACACTGCTTTTTAGTGTAGCAGCAGACATCAACCTGTAGTTATATTCCAGCTGGTGGCTGTATGAGAACTTAGGTATGACTGACATTTCACGCATACACGGATACAATTGATTTTAATTTTTTACTGCGACTTGTAGTTCTGGAGCCAAATATCGAGGCTGATGACATTTGTGAACAAACATTTGTCAACATCAATTCACTAAACCTGCCTGTGTTTTTCAGCAGCTGCAAATTCTGACAATCTGCTTCGAGTCCTGACACATTAACATTGTTTCTCTGTCAAATTTTACATTGTAACATTTTGGTTGACAGTAAACTTGGACCTTCAGCAACATCGAATATTTTAGTTTGATATCAAGGGTTCAAGTCCTGAGTATGTGCATTAAGAAAAAGAATTGAGTGTATCATCAGTGCAAACGAAAAGTAACTTCGAAAAGAGGCAGGGCCTCTTACAGCTGCCCAGACGCTTACATATTTTCTAATACAACATCTGAACCCGAGCCAAACTCCAGGGTTTCTAAGACCAACCAGACATATTCTCTTTTCCCTTTCTGTCCTGCTCTTCAACATACGGTCAAAAGGGAAAAAGTGAACAATGAGCCATGACCTAATGACAGAGGTCTATAATTCATGGAAGCATTCGGAGGAAAAAGTGTTTTGTTGCCATCATACTCTGCACTCAATGGGCTTTCTTTATCACTTCCCCTCCTACTCAGGGGGCATTATGGCAAGCCTTTGTTCCCCATCATGGGCCAATCAGTCTGTTTATCACTTCGAATACTGGCCATACCAAAATCTACGATCACCTGCCCTTCCCCTGATGTCTGGACAGCCCACCGCTGCAAATACGATAATAATAATAATCGTGACAATTCTTTCTTAAGTTATCCAAAACAAAAAACAGAGCGATATTTTACATTTCATGACATTTAGAGTTATCAGGCAAAAAACTAACATGACTAGCACAAACAATTTTTAGCTCTAAAAACTCTCAATTCAATTTTAACTAAAAAAAAAATCTCAATCACCTTGTAAACTCACCTTTCAGAGGAGCAAACATCCACACCCTTAATCCATAGCATCAGCCTCTAAAGCCAATCACTGACCAAAGGTTGTTTTAGGATGACTTATGCAAACTTAAGATCAGACCACAGTGTGAGGACCTGTTGAACATCGCAGCCTGCTATGATCATCCCAGAGGGGAAGGGGTGTTAACATGGATGACATCAGGGAGGAGGGGGAACAAAAAGAGGTCAGCAAGGTATGGCTGAGTCTGTTTGTTAGCCTCAAACCTGTGAAAAGCTTGGGAGAAAGAAAATGGAGGGAAAGGGGCTGTGAAAAAAATCCCTCAGATCAAAAATGCAGCGGAGTTTTAAGTCAGACCACGTGCTCGTGGATTAACAGTTGCAATACTTGACAGTGTATGAGAAACAGCCACTGTACAAGAGATCACAACACCTTTAAATCATCGAGCTGGTTGGCAGTTTATGATTCTGACAGCGAAAGTTTATTCAGTTTTTCTAATTTATTTCAGAAGGAGAAAATAAAAAGAATAATTCTGGGACAAAGCAAGATGTAAGACCTCCATAAGCTCAAATGTACTAGTCTTGCAAATAAGAGAAAGGTTTGTTGAATAAAAAGAATTCTTATCACTCCATGTCAGAATAAAACCCTCCTGAGACAATTAACTTTGTTTTAATCAGCACAGACTTCTGATGCTCTCAGTCATGGAGTTTATTCAGGCTGATAGTGACTTGTGAATCGTAGGAGTGCATAACGTGCAGAAATTGAATAGAAGTCTTTAACACTAAAAATGGAAATGTGTGTTTCTGAGAAACTTTCTGATGCATCAGACTGTGATAAATCCACAGAAAATTCAATCTGACAGTCCCTACCTTTACAGCTTCACAGCATCTCACAAAGTTTCTAGGCTGTAAATCACTGTTGTGGAACAACATAACGACTGAAATGCCAGGTAGATTAGACTTTACATATACTGTGGTGTAGAATCATTAACTTCTATTGATATTAAAACCATTACTGGGACTCCTTAATGATCTAAGTCTTTATCAAGTCAAGTACATAGAAGTTGAAAAATTCTGGCATCAGAGCTTTTCCCATCCTGTCATAACAGTTGAACACAAAATGATATTGTTTGCTGCTAGACTGTTATTGTTTTAACTCTGTACCTGGAAGGAGGTATTTGCTGGCATCTCTTGCTAAACTGTAGGCAAGGCCGGAGCTGTTGACTAACTGGATCTGCAAATGTCTGTGTCTCATTGCTATCATTAAATTCATAAATGTTGCACAGGTAAAATTTTATCTGGCTTGCTAGCCAAGGTTTGCTGAAAAAGTGAGCGTGTGATGGTAGGAAGCATAACCAAGAAGATAGGAGACACTGATCTTCAACTTGCTGTTTTCTCTCTTCAGAAACCCTCAATCTAATCTAATTTGTAACATATTTGGATTATCAGCAAACTTGGTCCTTCAGCAACATCTCATATTTTTGTCTGATATAACCATCTTTATTCTCAGTTTGTACTACTCTGTTAAATTTCACAGTTGTTTCTATTTCTTCTCACTCCTACTGATGTGGACCGCTGGTTTGTCTTGGTCTTGTTGGAGGTAAACCACTAGACCGGCACTTGAAAGTTCTGTTTCTCTGTCACACTGCTTTGGGGCTCTCATGGCAAACAGTGCCGGGCTGCTGAAAGCACTTTTACCATGTCAGGATATTTCTCATCTGCACTCTGAATCAACACTGGCAGGTCTTCCATCACAGGCTGCTGTGTTGAAGCCTATCTGTGAAAAGTTTTGAGGCATTGGCTCAAAGGCTTGTGGAAAAATGGCACTTTACTTCTTAAACTGAAACTAAACTGATTCAGAATCTTGAGTTTGGACAAGACCTAAAGCTCCCGCACCGTAAGTGAGACTGTTCAAAGGTACAAAAGGGCAAGTTCAATGTGCCCAGTTCCAGGAATCAAGATGGTAATAGATGTGTGAAACTGCATTTCCACCAAAAATACCCAGGACTTTTAAACCCATGAAATTCTGTTGAAGAAGTTAATGGGTTCCCAAGGCCGTCCATGTTTCAAACAGAGTCTAAAGGCCAGTGAAGATTAGGCAAATAAGTCGGTAGATATGTGAAAGAGTCTTTTGAAACTGGTTACCCAACCAATCAAAAATGGCTGTGAAGAAACCACTCCAAAGTCCCTGCACTTTCACCAAGTGTTACACTCCCCCCAAAGCAGCTGGTAAGAGGTTAGGTCTCAGGGCAGACCTTACTCAGTTCAGTTACAAAAGTATGCGGCCATTCAACAAAGTTACAATGCAAACTACATAGATAAATGCAACATCTTAAAATAGTCCTGATTAGAGATATACAGATTATTTAATCTGCTTGATTAATGGCATTTTGAAATATTTATCTTCATATCCACATCATGATCTTTTCCAAATTACAACATTTTTTTCCATCCCAAGTGACAGCAGTTCAAATCTAAAACAGTCAACAGCTTGTGTTAAATAAAAATTCTGTTTTGATGTACAGAATAGTGCAGTTTAGTGTGGCGTTTGACAGAAATAACAGCCAGGCACTGAAGGCCGAAAAATATTCAATTAGATCAGTTCTTTTCATCAATTCTTTATATAACCATGTATATTTGATATTAATGTGCAAAAAATTTAAGATTTATACACAAATTCCTTTTTAAAAAAAAAATATATATATATATATCTATTTACCGTAAACTGTAAATTTCTTTCTTTTTTTTTTTTTTTCATTGGAGATGGCTGGAAAGAAATCCAAAAGTTGTGTTTGGCAGTATTTTACTGAGCCAAATATTTTCATTTAACATTATTTAACAAAATCATTAAGTTAAGCAGGTTTAAGTCTCATTTGTTTTTATTATTAGGTTGATGTATTTTGTCGAAGAGAAAAACTAATATAATACTTGCGTTATACGTCAGTCATCAGCCAACCTGCTCCTTCGATATTGGTATAGGCATCTACTGCTAATCTCCTATTAGAGGGCTTAATTCAAACAGAAGAAGGAGCCTTTCACAGTAAGTAGCGCTGCAATGATTAGTCAACAAAATCCAGCCAGGGACCATTTGGCAACAAAAACCAAATCCATCTGGCCCAAGAGCTTGGCCACTGATATGCAACACAGACTTAAGAGGACCAACACAAACTAAACATAAGAAATTTGTCAGCCGTATCAATACATTTGATAAAAGAGAGCTAAATAAATACAGTAATGGCTGCATAGTTTTTCTTTTCTGTGTGAGTAGAGAGTTTAACTTGTGGACGCTTGGGATGACAGAAACACCCTGAGGGTATGGATATCATTTCTCTAAACTCAAAGGTCACATTCTCATTAAAGCCACACTAACTGATTATCTGCTAAGCCACTTTGGAAGCAAAGAAAACACATGTGCCAACCAGTCTACTCTCTTGTTAATGTATACACAGAAGGAGGAACAGACCATGGACTGAATTTATCCTAAACTGGACGGTACTTTCTGCTCTAAATAAATAAACTTTAATTCAAATAGGAAATGTTGAAATTGATCCGATTGCCCATGACCCCTGATCCCTTTTCTGAAGCTTTGTTTGCTAGAACCTTCAACTGTGCAAATACGCCCGCCATGCTGCAGCACAAACAAATGAACAGCCAGCAGCCTCAATTAATGATATGGAGGCTGACATTGTGCAGCCACAGGCAAGACAAGTCTCACAATAGAAGTGGAAATATGCAAGCCTATCTTATTAAAATCGAAACAGAAGAATTAAAGCGCTCAAGTCACACAAACATTCATTCACATTGCTCTGAAGCACTGAAATCAATTTCAATGCTCTGTAGTTGCATAGACTTCACCTGTGTGTCAGTAAGATATGCAAAGAGATTTTACATGCCTGTGTCTGTAAAGTCTCAAAGCATCAGTAAATAAACTGCCCAAGTCTACACCATTAAGACAAAGTCATATTACAAAAGATTTTCAAGATAACTGCAAAGTACATATAAAGTGAGAAAGACCTTTAAAGAGCATCTAAGTGGGACAAATGATAACACCTTTAGAGCAGGACCTGAAGCACCTCTGGAGGAGCGACAGGAAGGAGCCACAGAGAGGGGTCAGATCAGAGACAGAATGCATGCAACAGCTGTTAGCCTGGTGTCTCACCAGGGTAACAGCTTCAGGGTGTACTATCAAAGAGAACTCCACAAATAACTCACATGACATCTCCTCCACTATTAGCTAAAAGGCTTGTGGGAGAATCTGAAATAAAGACAATAAAGCGTAGTGGGAAAGTTGTTGTCCAGACCCAGTCCTGATCCTTGGAGTCAGGACTTGTGGGAAGAGAGCTCTGCAACTTCACGTTAAAAGTATTAGAGTGTAGATGCACAAAACAAGACATGTTAGCATGCCAAGATTCAGCTCTACACAAAACGAGCACAAGTTTGAGCTGTTTATGTGTTTTGACAACAAATTAATAACAAGACAATTTCCATGGTGACAACGGAAATGAAGAAGAACTTTATTGATCCCTGAAGGGAAATTTAATGAGTTAGATTGTATTAATGTTATTTCAATAATCTATATCACACACTGGTTTTACTTTTGATTAATCAAGATCAATATGATGAAAGAAAGGATTGACCCTCAGGGGTTTGCAGGGTCAGGATATTCAATACATGGGAGGAAAGCAGTGGCACTTCTGGGATCTTTGGAAATATGTCTTCTTGAATTTATGCCCTTGCAGCACAGAAAATTAACTTGTACTGCTTCAGATGCGGGAGTGTGACTTAATTGTTTAGCAATGCATTACAGTTCAAAATATTTCAGCGTCATCATCACTGACGGACACGCTACGACTCTGATGATTCAAAAACTTTCCAATCTCTTACTATTGAGCTTCATTTGGCATGGTTTCTCCACATTGTTCTCTTCCAGTTTTGGATCAGAAACCTTAAGCTATCTGGTAATACACCAGTCTGTTTTTTTGTATTGCCTCTTAAAAATGTATATGTTGGGATAATAGATTGCCAAAAAACAGCACTTAAAGTATGAATTAAATGTTATCATGCGCAGAAGTTGGAACATACTTTTTAGGCAACTGTGTACATTAAATCCTCCACTGTTGGTGGACACCAGGGTGACAGGTGTTGAGGAAGGATGAGCCCAGCTAGGCTACTAGAGAGGAGGTGCACAGTGCTGACTTAAGGTCCTTTCACACCGGGAGCATTTTTTTACGTGCGATTATTTCGGACGTCCATTTTTTTTTTTCCCGAACCCGTATCCTGTCAACACAAGCGTTCACATCAGCAACGTTTTCCCATTCTACAATATTGCGGCATTTAATTTTTCGTATCACTGTTGATTTTTCTAAAGTTTCGCATACTTCTGACCAATCAGACTGTGTGTTGTTGCGACATCAGATTCACCGGTATATTCAACATGGCTGACTGACTGATTGTTTACGTGTCGGGGAACAGAGTGCTTTTTGATAAAAAACACAAACATTACAAAGATAACGACCTGAAGGATTTCTTATATGATGATGGTTTGTGTGCTTTAACAGTTTGCTAAACATCTTTGTTTTAACTTTCATCTGCACTAAGTAACTTTAGCTCGTAAGCTAACCTGTTCAGATACAACATACCATATGTATTTTCACTGTCTCAAACTCAATCGCGTTGCTGTCTCAGACTGCACCATTAGGTCTTTAATGTGCTTATCTGGTACTGGCTCCGACTCAGTACATGCTATCATGACAGACAGCCATCTCAACACTAGTGTCTAATCAGAACTGAAAAACAGTCAGTCTGCTGTTGTGTCAGTGTTCTCGCTTCCACCGCACACGTCTTTTTTCCCCCCGGAAAGTCGCAAAATCGCATCGCGCTTGATCTGTACAGTGAAGCGCATCAAAATTCGCCTCTGAATGTTTCGTAATTTCGCATCATATACTTGCGTTGTTCCCGATGTGTACGGACCTTTAGAATCTTGGAATATTCCAGTATAATCACTTCCCATAGGAATGAAAATCATCTACAAACTGTTAGCCCCCACCCAACACAAAACTAACAACAAGCCAGTTACATAGTGCATCTTATGAATGCTCTAGCTGCCCTACGGATCTAAATTGTTGTATTAATAGTAAGTTAGTAAGTAAACTTTATTTGTATAGCACTTTTCACAGACAAAAAAGTCACAAAGTGCTTTACATAGACAAAAATAAAATGTACATACAAATTAAAAGGCAAAGACAACAACATTAAACAGTCATAGCAGCACCATAACAATTACACTAAAGCCTGAGCAAATAAATAAGTTTTGAGTTGGCTTTTGAAGGAGTCAACGGAGTCAAATAAGCACATTGAGAGAGCAAGATCATTCCAAAGCCTGGGAGCAACAGCCTGGAAGGATCGGACAGAGCCCGAGAGAGGGTGTAAGGCTGGATCAGATCACAAATGTAAGATGGAGCCTGACCATGCAAGGTTCTAAATGTTAGGACCGGACACAGGCAGCCGGTGTTGAGCTTTAAGAATAGGGGACATGTGAGTCCTCCTGTAAGCGCAGGTTAGAATTCTCACTGCAGAGTTTTACACTAACTAAAGACGAGACAGCTCCTTTTTGTTCAGACATGACAACAAACTATTACAGATGTCTAAAGGCATGAATGATGAGTTCCAAGTCATTTTGCGACACCATTTTCCTAAACTTGGAGATTTTCCTCAGTTGAAAGAAGCAGTTTCTCGTCAACTCAATGCAACTGAATACAAAGCTCTACCACAAGTTCAACTTTTGCAAAGCTTCTACAATGTCAGTTTTTGTTGACACTCAGACAGGTGATTTTGGTGTTTCAGCTGTACAGATGAGTGCATAATATAGGACAGCATTCCTGTTATTTAGCTCCCCCAGTGTTAAACAAAGTGGACAAAATCCAATAAACACCTTTAAATATAACACACTCTAACACACCACCAACACCGACAAGGTACAATGATCACCTGTCTTCTTCTGAGTAGTGTTGGATTGCCCAGGTGTTCACATTGTTGTGGCAGGTGAGTGTTGGTTGACACCGTTCCGTCGCAGACGTTATCACTAGTTAAGACTGTGTCCTAAAACCTTGACGATGTTCACCACAGATACATGCTTAGTTAATGGCCTTTCATCACAGCTGTGAGCAGGTAGGTAGATGCCTCACCGAGAGGACGAGCAGATACCTCTTAATGTTGGCTAGCAGGCTAACGTTAGCAAAGCTTCATTGTTTAATGGCTCCTTAGCGCATAGCCTAGCAACAACGTCCATGTGTTTCCCACCGGCGACGCTGCTTTCGGTTTCAGACACACTTGGACCACAATGGAGTGTCAATGGGCAGACACGACTCGACTTTCCGCACACCTGCCAGCTACCCAGCTAACACTAGCTTAGCCCCCGCTAGGAAACGTTAGCGACTGACACATGGGTGATGATGACAGCGATGAAGGCGAAACCCGCAAACATACTGAGCGTAACACACTCACCCAGAACCACCTGGACACTCTGAAGATCACCTTCGAGTCATAGTGAGAAGAGAGCGGCTGTTATCTGAAGGAAAACGTCGTTGAAGACAAAGACGGGCTAAGTTTAATAGAAAAATGTTGTCGCGACAGACAGGCTGAGCGGAGGCTGCTGGGTTGACAGCTCAGCGGGACAGACTGAGTACTACAGCAGCTCTAGTGAACTGGCCTGAACTGGCTGTCTGACGGGAGGAAGTGACGTGACGTGACATCATGGGCAAAGAGGGGGCAACACCGTGCGAGCAGCGCGCCCATCACCAAAATGTAAATATTGGCACAGTTATTAAAAGGCGCATCTATTAGCAGACTAATTGAATGACCAACAACGAGGAGGACACAGGATGTAACTGTCCATCCATTGTTAGTGACTGCCCATTATGATAAGGGGGCTAAGGTGATGTGTTCAACTAAGGACCCCAGCTGTCACGGATCCATACAGTTAAATGTTTTCCATGAAGGCACGTTAATACGGTGGCCGAGAACCGCCACTGCTGCAAATAAAAAAGGATGCAAAAAAAGAAGCCACAAAGGAAGTTACCGATGAAAAAAGTGGAAACTGAAGCCCGTTGCTAATAAAAATAAAAAATCGGTGCAGATTTTAAAAAAAGGAAAAGAGAGAGAGGCAACAGAAGTTAGTGATGAAAAAAAAGTGTTAATGAAAAAAAAGTTACTCACTGCGAAATTAAAAGGATGTAATTTTAAAAAGGCATAGCACAAGTTAATGACACAAAAAAAGTGACGATGGAAAAAAAAGTTACTTAGTCCGAAAATAAAAGGATGCAATTAAATGGTGCAGATTAAAAAAAAAAAAAAAACACAAGTTCATGTTGCAAAAATTTGTGCAGACGCAAAGATATAAAAAAAAAAGGTACTGACTGCAAAAATAAAATGATGCAAATAAAAAAAAAAGCCACAACAGAAGTTAATAATGCAAAAAAAGTGACGATGGAAAAAAAAAGTTACTGCGATAATAAAAGGATGCAAAAATAAAAAAAAAGAAACCACAACAGAAGTTACCAATGGAAAAAAAAGAAACCTAAGCCCGCTGCAAATAAAAAAATAAATCAGTTTAGATTTTTTTAAAAAGCAACATCAGAAGTGAATGACGCAAAAATAAGTGACGATGGAAAAAAAAGGTTCTTACTGCGAAAATAAAAGGATGAAAATTTTTAAAAAGCCACAACAAAAGTGAACTGCCATGGACCAATAATGAAAAAAGCAAGGGGTCTGCATACTTATTTCTATGAGAAAAGCAACAGAACCGTAAATCTATCGAATTTGATTCTTCTCTTGGGGATGGTCTGTTGGGGCGTAGCCAAAGCAAACACTACACCAGCTTCCTCCAGTTCACTTCATATCGACTCGGGGGCAACATGGCCTAACCAAATGACACATTGAAAAAATGTCAAAATGAAACAATAACCTTTACACTTACTTCTTTGCTCTTCTTCTCGCATCTCACATTGTTACAGCCTCTAGAAAGGATAAAAATGCCTCTTTATCATGTGTTAAAAAAAAATGCAGGCAATGAATGTACACCCAGTTAGGACTACAATAGTATTGAAAACTGGCTCTGAGTTTTGTTGTAGTTGTGCAAGTCTTTACCATGGTGAAAGAAAATCAAACGCATATTTTGGTTAAGTGATTATGATCAGGGTCAGTTCAACTATCCCTACTGATGCAGGCCCAAGGCAATTTTTTTCATGTGTCATCATAACAAGTTCAGTGTTCAAAGAAAAGATCGTACATCCTCCGTGAAGGCTATTTTCTAAGTAAAATAGCCTCTATTTTCTGTGTATCTAGCCTTTTTACATAACTAGTATAAATGCCCCAAGCATTGTTTTTACCAGAGGAGTTGTATAATTTTACAGTAACCCAATTTACACGCTTACATCAAAGACTCCAGTGTGTTGTTCCATGAGGCAACATTAAACTATTAGATAAACCAAGTCTGTTGCGCCTAAATTTGGGGTTTTCTGTGTCAAAAAAAAGCAGGCTTTATTGTAACCACAGTAACTTACTCTAAACTCATTACCTATTCAAGACCAAGAGATTTTCAGACTTCCAGTGAGGATTTATGGAATTCTAACTTCACATTCCTAAGAATGGAATGAAGATGTGCAATTATACATCGCATCATGGGGAGCTTGTCTATGCATGAATGAGGCAAAGCTACTTTTTTCTACTATTTTACAGCAGGAATTTACAGCAGGATTGTTGAATGAAGCATCCAGTGATCATATCCTCCAATACAGAAGCATTACATGGTCCGCACAAAGCGCCATTTTCACCTGAGAGTGCACTGAGCCTGAAGCAAAAAGCCTGAGGAAACAGAGAAAATCCATAAACAGCTGTTTTGTTTCAACTATCTGTAACTGGAGCTCTAAGCTTTATCGAGCCAGCTTATTCAAAGAAAGCTGCGGTAGCTTCTGTTGGACTGGCTTCATTTGTAGTAGTTTCCTACTATTCTCGACTTCAGGCTGAGGAAATAGCTACAAAACAGGTGATTTCAGACAAATTTGAAAAATCTAGAAAAAATCATAGCCCTAATCTTCAGCCGAACTGTTGGGCCCCTGAAACTGTAACAAGAACCACACGTGTCAAATCAGTTGAGTCCTCGTTTTGCAAATGACTCACATGGCTTGTGGTTATATAATCTCTTTTCCCGGTTATCCAGTAACACTAAGGTAATTCTTAATCAGTGATCTCTATCTGATCATTGATTCACTGCAACTCTTCATGGTTTTGTAATGCCCCTGAACAATCCCCACCCTTCCCCCTCTCCCCTTTTTGGGCAAGTAAAGCAAGTCTGAAAAAACGTCCCCAGGCTCAAATCATCACGTATCTTGCCTGTCCTCTGCAGTGGAGCGATTGCTGACGCACGAGCCAAGAAAAACAGAAAGACCCGCTCCCCACTGTTGCCTCAGATGTGCTAATCCATGCTCTTCATCACTTCTGCAAACAGAATTCCACCTTTATATAGGGGCACAGTTTGTTTTTCTTCGGCCCAGTCTCAGAAGTGACAATGCTGAGGCCCAGACATGGACTAGTGCTTACTCAGCATTTATCACAACTTCAAACAGCATCAGTGGCTCACACTGTTTCTTTTTGGTTTATTCCAACCTCAGTTCCAGAAAAGTTCTGAAGCTGTATAAAATGTTGATTGAAAAGCTTTTGATTATAAAGATGTGTGTTTATGAACCATTTTGGTCTGATTTTTGTTGTTAAAATGGAGGGAAAGACACATCAAATGTTGAAACTGAGAAAACGGTGCTGTTAAAAGAATAGTACCTATGTTTGTGTTAATTTTATGCTACATACCATCACTGCATGGGCTCAAAATCACTTCCAAAAACTTCTGCTTGTGGACACAATTAGTCACCACATCCATGAGCAAAGGTCAAAACTCAGCATTTGTGATGGCATGGGTGGAGTAGCACACGTTAATAGTGAGCAATATATCCATATGTTTTTAAGTAACATATACTACCACCCAGACAATGCCGTTTTCGAGGACGACCTTACATTGTACAGCAAGGCAATGCCAAATACATTCTGCATGTAGTGGAACAGCATGGCTGCACAGTCCTGACTTGACACCCTCTGAAAAGATTTAGTGAATCATGAAACTCAATGTGCTGCGTATCTGGAATTTATGAGGGGTTTATAGGAGACATTGGCAGTATCACAGGTATTAATTTTTTGTCAGGGCTAGACAGTATGGTTTAAAACACACAGAAGAATGCATACAAAGACTTGGTGACAGCTGTTCATTGTTTCATATTTGTTAAAATACACTCCCAACTAAGCTGTTCAGTGAAACTGTGAGTACACCTATACAGTTTTTGCTTTAATAATCAATCACCTACAGAATTAACAGAACATATAATCCCAATATGTCATGACAGTGAACTGAATAATCTCCTTGCCATGTTTACAGGCCAGACGAGGCGGTAGGTTACATTACTTTGTACTGCTGATATCAGCACTGCTTTGTTGAATTTTATTAGTAATGGAGAAGTCGTTTGTTTTTAACATGACACCTGAGGAAATGTAACCAGAAGGAGTAAATTATGCTTTATAAATGTGCTCCAATCTATGTATTGTTCCATTATCAGGCTCGAGGAAGTCCCTTTGGTGGAAAAAAATGTCCTGCTCTGTTGCACAGCTATCATCATCTCCTGCCACTGAGAAAGGAGATGGACAGAGGTCAGAGGGATGATGGAGGGGACAGAGGAGCCCTGGTCGTCTAGTCTGGTGCTTATCTGCTTCACTGGTCCTTTTCCCAGCCCAGCCCTGATAACAGGGTCGAATGGGAAAATACAGGATGTGACCCAGTAACCTTGCAAAGTAGCATGGGACCAATATTGTTTGATTAGGGGGAAACTCTTCTGTAAACTTTCTCTTTAGATTGGCTTCATCAGGCTTAATAAATGCTTCCAGGACAGAACTTTGACACCAGCTGTAGTAAGTTATTTTCTGCACTGACAAACCTGCACAGTGGAACTTCTTAAGACCTATCGTTTCAAGGATCACTTTAACCCACGTCTAGTTGAGATGATGAGTAAAATACAGTATATTAGACAAACTGTTAAACATAGAACAGATCAGAGTCAACACTTTTTATTTCCCTCCAAATGACTGCACCAATTGTGGATTACATCAGTTATTATCATTTTTACCAGACAGAGTTTTCTGTGGGTGCCGGGACATGGTACAGATGCAGTATTTACAGGGTTTGGGGTGTTTGGGCCACTCCCGAAGTGGAAACTTCACCTCCTCCTGTAGTTGAACTGTTGGTTCACCCCACTGAGCATTCGCTTCTTCAAAATCCCACTGGGAAAGAAAAAGATACAAAAACTGTAAAAAAAACCAACATTTTCCACATGATTATGACAGTTTATATTTAAAATATTTTAGATTCATTACATATAAACCTTCAGAGAATTTTCCTATTTCATTATTAGATCGTTATGGCCATAAGGCTACAAAATACCTAAAATAATGACATATTTATTTTTAATTTTTTTGATTAGTATTTTAAGATCACCATTCAAACAGTAAGAAAACTGTATCTCTCCGTTAAGTTCAGTACACACAGCTGCATGGGGGAGACAGCGGACTTGAAATTTATCCAGAAGATGATCACTGACTCCTTTCACAAGGAGGACAAGCCTCAGAAGGTCATTGCTGAAAAGACAGGTGGTACACAGAGTGCTTTATTGAAGCATATGAATGGAAAATGGACCAGAAGGAAAAGTGAGGTAGAAAGAAGTACAAAAGAAAAAATGGATGACCATGGCCTTGACAGGATGCCAAGACCTGTTAATTTAAGTACTTTTGAGAGCTTCAAAAAAAGTGGTGTCAATGCATCAAAGGCCACTACACTCTAACTGCATTTTTACTACCAAGAACTGGATTGATACTCAGTGGTCCAAAGGTCTCTTTTCAAATGAAAGCAAAGTTTGCACTTCATATAGGGAAGAAAGTCCAAATCCAAGTGATGAGACACCAAATCCAAGTTGTTTGAAGTCTAGTGTAAAGTTTCTGTAGTGTTTCTTGAATGGAGTGCCATGTCGTCTGCTAGTGTTGGTTCACTGTGTTTTATTAATTCAGCCATCTACAGAAGATTTTAGAGCACCTCACGCTTTCATCTGCTTAAAAGTCAAAGTGAGACTTAGCACCTGCCCACAGTGCCAAAATTACCAAATGGTTTCCTAACCTTGATATAATGTGCCCCTGTCGCTGGCTAACTGACCTAAACCCAACAAAGAATCTATGTTATACCTTCAAACGGATGATGAGAAACACCCAGTGCAAAAACACAGAGGAGCTAAAGGTCGCTAACTAAGAAACCTGGACTCCAATAAAATCTCAGCAGTGCCACTGGCCACACCACACTGACGCTCTAATTCTTGGTAGAGGAGCCCCAACCAAGAGTTAAGAGTATATATGAAAATACTTCACTGTTGAAGATTGGATCATAAGAAAGTCTAATAATCAGAGATACTGGATTTGTAGTTTTCATAAACTTTCAGCCACAATTATCTAAATCAAAAGGCTTAAAACATTTTACTTGACATGTAACAATTATACAGTGACGTATATGTAACTTTACCTTTTTGAGTTGGATTATGGAAGCAATAAAAATGTTGACAATATTCCAAATGTATTGGCTACTCCTGAAACAAAGAATGGAAATGAATGATTTATAATTTATGATATTTGTATAATAGTAATATTGGGTCCATAATGCCTTATAGGCAAATTTGTTTTGAGTTAAATATTTAAATAATATAGGTGTGAGTTTTGTCCACCTGACTACATCTCACATGGTGGTTGCAGTTGCTTTACCTAACCTAAATATCCAGGCTGTAAATTCCATTCATGCGTCACATTTGCTGTCAGCTTTTACTCGTCCTCTTATCAGTCAACACTGTTTAATTACTGTAATGTGTTAAAGAAATCGATCAAACAGCTACCTATTATGGTTCATGTTGTGAGAAAGACAAAGACCTCAAGAATGCAAACGATTTTGGATTTGTTTGCACATGGACTTCGGTTCTGGCCAGCAGGCAACACACAGGGGACCATAAACATGTCCCAAAATAGCAGAGGGTAGCATGGGCCTCCTATACACAAGTCAAACATTTTGCTTTACTTCCTAAGCAGACAGACCCAACCCTGTGCTGGTCTTTAATCAAAGACCCCTTACAGCAGAACAATTGGGCCACAAGGCAAATCTCAAACAGTTCCTCCCCTCACTGTACCCCTCAGCATCCCCTCCCTCCCTCCCTCACCTCCACCTCAGTCTCACCCCAACAAAGGGCAGACACTCAGCACAAATGTGCAAGAAACACACACACGTACACACACACAAACACACAGCACAATAGACAATTCAAGACGCAGGCTGCTTAGACTGCTCCGCTTATGCAGGCGGCACACCATAAATTGTTGTGTGGTTTTATCATGCTCTGCGATTGTGGGCATGTAGAAAGCCAATGTTACTTTATTTGTAAAACTGCTCAGAAGCTATACAAACTCCTCCTTTCTGTCCTCAGCCGGCCTTCAAATACTCCTGACAGTTTGGTATCATCCTCTGACTTAATGAATGGAAAGTTTTGCAATCAGCTAAAAAGTAACACTTGACTGTAAGAGGCCAAGAGTTCTGTGGATTGAAAATTAAACATTAGACACAGGGTCGGCTTTATGAAAACAATCTTTTTACCGATTAACAAGTGAATAACTTTTGTTATTTCTAAATCAAGTGGAAAAGTGCTATAAGAAGGGGCCTGTTTAGGACTTTGTTGTGTTATTTTTGGAAATAACACTTGAATTTACAGATTTACCCCAGACTTAAATACTGAATATTATATATTATTTAGATATTCAGGCGCTAACAAACCCTCAAATCAGTTAGTGTAAAGATAAGATTTTCACAAAGCTGAATCAACTTTCATATTTTATTGAAGACAACAAAATACATCAGAAACATTTTTCAAGCCTTTCCCTCTCTTCCTAACTTACTGTGCTTTGGGCATTCGCGTCACTTGCTTTTTCCTGTTTAGTAACCATTATCAAGCTGCAATTGTTAGTGCATGAACCATTTGCCTTTGTTTCACATTAAATGACATCCTCCTTACTTAGCTTGGCTCACTTTATAGCAGCACAGAAAGTCAGAGAGGGAGTTTCTCTTGTGGCTGTAAACCTCAGGGCCTGAAAATGATGAGGCTTGTAATTTCAATCTCCCTGTAACTTAAACCCTTTCTTTTCAAAGACGAGAGATTATATAAATGTGAACTGCTCTCTAAAACAAGTCTAGTAATCACCATGCAGCCACTATCTAACTCTGGACACTATTGCAAAATAAAGCTGCATTCCCCTCGATCCTCTTTGACCCACAGGCCTTTATGTACACACCCACACCCACACACATTCAGCTCTCTTAGGAATTTGACTCATCAATCCTACATGGATATGCTGACTGCTGTCTACTCAAAAAACCTCTTATGGCTGTCTTTACTTACTTCCCTGAAAGTCACATGTGAGAAGCACCAAGCTAAGTTTTGCTCAATCCTGTTCTGACTGTCACTTCTTCTTCTGAGTTCTCCTGAATGCTGTTTCTTATGTGAGGTAATAATAGTCCTGTAATCGCAGAGGTTAATACATTATTTGTAGAGATAATTTTAGGCTCAAGAACTGAGAGAGGAACAATATGACATTAAGTTCAATCAAGATACAACATTGAAACTATTTGGGTACAACCACAACAGCATTTGAACTGAGCTCTCTCCAGATATGTACTCAAATTACTTCTGGCTCCATATGACAGTGCATCATCTAATAGTTCTCCAGGTTTATTACACTTAAACAGAGGCATTCAAAGTTATATAGAAAAAGCAGCAGTTTGTGAAGCATCCATCTGACAATATCAGCTTCAACTTTCACTTCATTGTGAATCTTTTTTGTTTTTGTTTTTGTTTTGTTCTGCAGGGAAAATCTATTTCACTGGCATCAAGTGAACACACAAGTTCACACAAGGCTCACAAGAATCAAACACCCTGTAATGGCTTTTTAGACTTTACAGCAGTCATGCACCAACACCATAAATCCCATACTAAAAGATGGTGTCTCCACCTAATGGCAGACTTGAGAAGTACACATAAACAAAGTCAGCTGTCAACATTATTCTTTTCTGTGTCATTTTTAAGTCGTCTAACTCACCTCCAGATCTGAGCTTTCTAGTGAAGAGTCAAATGATGAATCAGAGGAGTAGAAACTGTTAAATCGGATCACCTGTACCAGAGGCTGGTTCATTTTCTCCTCCTTGGACAGTGTTTCCACCTGTGGGCATATTGGAAACAACAACAATTATAGTTAACTATGAAAATAAACACTGATCGATGTTTCCATATATGAACCAAATAATGCATTGTTGATATCAGAACAATTCTGTCCTTACCTTGTTAGCAGGTTGAGCACTGACATCAAGATAACGGTCCATCTCGGTCGTCTTCGGGACAGTTTTTGTCTTTAAGGAGGAAAATCATCATTAGAATCTATTTCATAAAAAAATTCTCTGTCATTCCTCACAAACTCAGCCTTCTTTTCAGTGTTCGGCACATCTTGGCTCCAACATGCAGATAAGATAATGATTTAAGTTGCAAAGCAGGTGAAAGTCTCAAACACAGGGGGGACCAGACTGGGGAAATGAGGACCAAGAACGAGAGAAGGGCTTACTTTTGTTTGCGCTGATGACTTCACTTGTGGTTTTCTGTGTTTCTTCATGACAGTGTCGTCCACAGTGTTGAGGTCTGGACAGCCTAAAAGGAATTCTGTATCTGGAGAGAAACTTGCTACCTGCCGTCTTGCTCCTCTCTTGTTCCAACAGATGACTAAAATCTAATGATTTTGAGTTAAGGTTAACATTTTCAGCCGGGATAATTTGGTTGAAAACTGATCAAATTAAATTTTTTTTTTTTTTTTACCAACAGCATATTTAACTCAGACATTTTAAAAAGTTGCAAAACGTGTCATGTTTGCCATTGTGTCGCCTCCTCCTACATCAAAATCTACAAATATTCATGACCAGAGGAGACCGAGTAGTTTTAACAGGATTTAAGCTGCTCAACTGGTCAGTCTCTCCTTTGTCGTAGTTTTTGGTTTGTGATGTTTTCAACAAATGACATGTTGGGACTTCAGGCAGGCCACTTTGGCTCTGACTCTTCTTCTGAGAAGCCATACTGCTGAAGTACACGCAGAATGAGATAAGGTTATTGTCTTATGGGACTATATCAATCAAACTTTATTTATTCATACAGCACTTAATAAGGGCTTCCCTGAAAAAGGAATATGTATGGTAGCATATGTTGCTTTATTGTTTAGAACTAATGATGCTTCCCAAAATGTGTACACTACACATGCCATGGTGGTGGACATGGTTTCCAAAAAGTATGACAAACACTGATTTGTGGATTCAGAGACAAACTCGGCCAAACGACGATGGTTTTTGAGATAATAATGAACCATTGCAGCAATTTCCACTCCATCCTCATGTTTGCTGATAATGCTGTGCTGCTTGAGGGTCCGCAAATTATGACCACTGAGTATTGATTTTTAGCCTTGTCTCCTTTGTACAGAGATTTCTTCAGATCCTCAGAATCTTCTAAAATTATAAACTGCTGTTGATGAAATCCTAAAATTCTTGTTAATTTTATGCTGTGGGACATTACTCAGAAATTACAAAACTGTTTCTTCTCACAGATTTCAAAGGAACCTCTTGCCGCCTGCATGTCTGACATTTAGCTTCTCTGAAAAGGCCTGTCTTTTTCCAGTTATGTCATTTATTTATTGCAAAATCAGTTTCAGTTTGAAGATGTTTCATAACATAACATAACATGACGTCAAAATCTATTTTTATCAACATTTTCTTCAGCTTCTCTGCTATTGTGAAATTTGGGTTGTTTGCTACTTGAATTTCCCTTCAGGGATCAATAAAGTTCTTATCTAAGTTCGTCTCATCTTACTTGGCATTACTCTTAACTCAGTGGCAAATGCTAAGATGAAGGGCGTATAAAACCTGTGGTTAATACGATTATTATACAATTATAATTATTATTATACAAGGATACAAAAAGATCCAGGAGGAAGCAGCAAATTGCTGAGAGCAGCCATGGCAGGACTCTCGAAACTGAAGTCAACTGAATGTCATAGAGGAGAATTGCAGCAGCGTAAAGAGCACCAGACAGTGAGGACAGCAGTCCAGAGAACACATGGGCCCAGGTCAACGTCTGTCCTTGGTACTGAAGGTAAAACAGAGGTGACATTAAATCGATTCTGGAAGTCATTTTGGAGAAAGGTTTAAGTCATATCGTTACTCACTGCTCTGTTGAGTGGAGGTAATCTGGAGGTACAGGAGATGACAAGAGAGAGCAAGCCAATCATGTAACCTAGGATTTCAGTATTGTCCTGAAAATGAAGAACAATTTGAGCAAGTTAAAATTAGAAATACAATAAAAGTGTTTCTCTGAGCTGACTAGTTTGAAAAGTTGAATAAAATCGAACTGAACACTGGACACTTAAAATGCAGTGTACCTCAAACACATTAACACGAAAGCAGTGAGTGGACACATTCATAAAAATGTCAATATTGTTCAGTGTGTACAAACTCAAGTTTAAAACTCTGTCACTATTAGACAACTTCATCACATGTACAGCTTACTTCAGGGATGACATGCAGCAGTTTCCTCCCACTCAGAGTTGTTTCTGTTGAACGGTGTGTGACCCAAGGCTTCAAAATTCCTCCTCCAAACACTGATAGCATGCATATGGCAAGGAGGTGCTGCCTCCTCCTGCTCCTTATCATCCTCCGCCTCCTTTCTGAGATAGAAGGACACAAACACAAAAGGAGATATTTGCTGTGGTGGCATATAAATCTATGAATTTGGTTATCTGGAGACTTGGGTGCAGATATAAAAACACCTGTGCAACCCCTCTTCACTTTTTTTGAACATTGTAAAACTATAATTTTCTAAGGTTAATAAGGGTTTACGTTATGAGAAAGGGCATTTTGTTAAGATTACCTGGCTGTGAGTTCCAGCACAGAGCTAAATGGCAGCAGCATGAAACGGCATGAACAATGTCTAACGCTGCAGCAAAAGCACCCAGGAAAATCTACGAACAGGACAGCAGATACAAGTTCAGACTGACTTGATACAAATATGATTGATGACTGATACAAACATCCAAAAATATATAGTGTATTTTACCACTATGTAAAGCTGACTGGACAGAATGGCTCCCACTGTGCCGCAAAGGTTGCCGAAGAAGCTGTAAATGGATGTTAAAGTTTCTCCTGGAGTTTCTCTTCGATATCTGCATCTCTGATACACGAGCCTAAACAGTGGAGAGGATCGATTGATACAAGCTTTATAGTTTAAAAATGATCTGTTTTATCAAAGAATACTTACAGCAAGCACGACAGCAGTAACAGCAGCGCGGACAGACAGCCAAGACCGGTGGAGACGCACAGTTCGTCCAACACCTCGATGGACAAACAGGTAGACACCAAATTTACGCAGAAGTTATCAAGGTTGGTGAGAAAAGTATTTCCTGCTGTCGCCCGAAGTCCCTCCATTTTAATGGCAGACATGTTTGCATGGTGCATTACAGAAGGACAGCATCGGTACAAAACAAAAGAAGATGTATGGACGACATGCAAAGTTGCGCATCAAACGCGCAAGAGCGAACAGGTGAGGGTGTGCACCTTTGGGGGAGGAGCTTCCCTGAGGTACACCTCAAATAAAAAAATAATGTTAAACATGGCGCAAATAAATAAATATATGAGGGGCTCCAAAAATACGATAAAATAGAATAACCAATCAATATCTAGACCAGGTAGCTGCCACTCCTCGAACAGTTTGTGTTGTCACTACATCCTCTGTGTAGCCCTGCTCTATGGGTTTAGGAGATTTTGGCTTCAATTGGTCAAAGAAGTTTGTAAAACTGCAGGTCATGCTTTAATATTTTTCTTTTTTGATGTATAAAATGTACCTGACTGGACATTTTCATACATGAAATTTGACTGACTGGAAATATAGAAAGAGTGAGGAGGTCCCATATAAGCTGTCCCAAAATGAAGTCTTGAAATAAATGTTGCAAAAAGAAAATAGATTTTAAGACAAGAACACAAGTTTTGAGACATAATAGTTGTGTGAACATAATCAATTCAGGTGCAAAAATGAGACAGTGAAGTAGTGAAACATTCACATGAAAACTTCCAATTTATTTCATTATAAATCTTTACAATAATCACAACTGCAACATCCAAAATACAGCGATGTTTCTGGTAAATGAATGTGCCTTTTGAAAGAGCGTTACTGTATAAATGGAGATGTCCATAAAAATGTATTCATGTTGTAACAATGATGTCCCTTTCTGAAAACTGTAGTGAGTTCAGATGATGGTGATTTTGTTGATGGAATGGATTGCATCTTTGTGATCTTCAGAGCAGAGCAGTGAATGATGAATTACGCACCTCCTAGGCTGATCACAAAAAAACTAAAAGGACTAAATCTCTCCACACATTTTTTTCGTCAGAATTCCTTTGGAATCACAAACCAACTCTATTTCAGGGGATCTCTTGATTGCATAAACGGTGTGTTCTTTCAAATCCCTTGTTTCAAATTCACTGTCAGGCATCCAGATGTTTGTTAAGACGGCGTACTTTCTCTTTCTTGTTTTTGTTGCCGTGTTTTTTCCAGGGTTTTCCCACCACCATCTCAGATTCAGCTTTTCCGGGGCCAACAGGTCCACTGCCTGGTTTGTAGCCCATGACGGACTGGACCCCCTTGGAGAGTGCTCGCACGTTTTCCTGATTTCAGAAATTCAGTCAGACAAACAACTTTGCTGCAGATTTATATTTGATCTTTTTAAAAACTTTCTGGCATTGAGGCATTTTTCTCACAAACTGATGATGTGTCATACCTGATGGAAGAAGTTCTTATCAACCATGTTTTCAATTCGTTTGACCCTGTGTTTGGTAGTTGTTGCAGAGAGGTCACAGTTGTTCACGTCTCTGTTCAGGAACTTGTTGTGTTGTGGCTGAAAGTCTTCAGCATTAATATGAGGGGGAGGGTAGCAGTAGAGAAGTTTGCCCTGTAGAGAGACATGATTATGAGGAGAATACTTTTATTCTCAGGGGGGTGTTTCCTTTTGCACTTTTAAACCCTTCCGCCTCTGACAAACAAGCAGTCCACTTCAACAAAATAATGTACAAAATGTACCAGCAATCTTATTTATCTTTTTTTTTTTCAATCTGGCACTTACGCTGACATAATCCTTCAAGATGTACCGGGCTGACCTGGACTGATCAGGCTGGCCGTGCGATGTCATAAATCCTCTCATGTCTGAAATCAGAACACAGAGTAAAACACTTCAGTCAGCTCTTATTCACAGTGCTTGATTACTGACAAGATTTAGATTAACTGATTAACACAGCTCATTCATAAAGTGGGCTGATACACTATATAAAAAAAAATATTGAAAAAGTCTCAATTTTCTTTTGTTCTGTTTTGAGTGTAGTTTTAACAGAAATGTCTTAAAGCCTCACATCCATAAGCCATGAGCAGCTCTTCAGAGGTGGGGTTTCTGTCAGGGTCTTCGTCTTCTCTTGGTCGGATGATGTTTATGCCATAAGTGCCTTCTAACACATGCCGAGGGACAGACTGACAAATGTGACCACTCTGTTAAGGGCTCATAAATGACTGACTGATCAAGAAACTGTCTTAACTTAAAGTTTCACATTGTTTCAACCCAGTTCTAGCTATATAATTTAAAAGTTCACATATTATTTTAGAATTAATTTCTGTTATTTGAATATATTTTTTTAAAGAGACGTGATAGCTGTGTTTCCAGGAGGCAATAAACTCAAGACGCTGTGACAGACGTGTTAAAAGGATATAAGAGAGACAGCAGGTACGTGATCTCTCATCTGGTCAATGGGCAGAATCCCAGAGCAGATCATCTCAGCTTTGGTTGAAACAAAGGAGGGCATGACCAGACCTGGGCAGTCACAGAGGCAGAGACCAGGCTCCACATACAGAGTCTGGGATACATGTCAGGAAAAAGAAAAAAAAATCATCTTGTTATAAAACAAATGACTTAAATTCATAATGAAAGCCTGTGAAATAATTTTGTACCTGAAAGTGCTTTGTGTGTCCAGGAGTGGCTGAAACCGACACCTTCTTATTCCTTAGAATAGTGTTGATACTTGAACTCTTTCCCACATTTGGATACCCAACCTATTGAAATTACATGCAGAGGAAACTGTAACTAAACTACAATCAACTTTAACTGTTTATAGTGCTAGTTAGGAGAGCACTTTGACTAAAGAGCAATCTGGCCAATTCTTGAAGAGGTGTGTTTTAATGCGAGCTTGTTAACCTTTTCATAACTGTCTATAAGACACATAATAAACTGTCTAGTGTCTTTGTACCTACCAGCCCCACAGTCAGCTGTCCTTCTTTATATCTGGGCCCGTTGTGAGCAGACTTAAACACCTCTAACAGCTCGTCCTTATGCAGCAACCGGCTCGAGTTACGGAAGGAGTATCCACTAGAAGAATCAGCTGGTCTTTCTTCTTCTTCTTCCCCCTCATCCTCTGAGCAGGTGTGCCAGTCCTCTTCATCAAGAGATATCCTTTCCTGCTGCTCTTCATCATCCTCCTCTACTGTTGTCTTCACCTCGGACTCTCCATCTGTCTTTTTTTCTGCTGTGAGTTCTTCATTATCTGGTTGTCCCTCTTCTTCTTCATCACTCTGTTCACATTCTTCATCCTCCACTTCCATGCCCTGTAAAAAAAAAAGGTGTTTCGTTTTAAAGTGCTCCTTCAAAGCCACCTTGAACCACAAATAGACATGTTGATTTCCCACAATAGACATGAATGTCTTTTGCTAAGAAATAGGTAACAAATAATTCAACCTTCAAAGACAAGGCACTAAATATCTCTTTTTAAACCTCCCACTGACCTTCTCCTCGGCATCCAGTCTGTTGCCCTCAGCCAGTGCAGACCAGAAAACTGCTCTAAGCCCATCTTTCTGAAAGTGTCTGGCCCAAACTCGTCTCTGCTCTCTGGTCAGCAAGTCAGCCTTGTTTACCAGCAGCATATTCACCTTATGCTCTGACACTTCTTTAACGTATGACTCCTGGTGGCATGAAGCAGACACATCATACAGAACATTATTTTATGAAGCATTTTCCTCATCTGACAATTCCTCTATCTAGCTTGTTATTTTTTTTATTTATTTTACACATTAAATAAAGAAAGAGCGAATGCAAGACAAACAAACCAGAAGACAAATAACAGCAACAAAAAATAACAACTATAAACTATAAAGAGAATAAACATTATGAAATGTGACGTACAAGTCGTAATCAACAATAAAATATAAGAATTATCCTTTCCCATTAACACAACTGTGCTTTTTTACCTACCAGGTCAGGACATCTGAACAACAGTGGGTTTCTGGCATCAACGATTTGAACAACAATGTCACTATGAGAAAACACAAAAGATCATTTTTGCCATGGGTATCATATAATGTCAATATTTTGTGTAATATAGGCGGTAAAAGCATACAACTCTCCAGTTTTACCTCCTCTCGATCACTCTCCACAGCTGTCTCCAGAACTCCAGGTTCCTCTCAAATGGGGTTAGAATTAACTTCTGCTCCTCCTCCAGCCTTAAAAGATGATACAGTCAGGGTTGCTGTTGCGTCTCATCCAGTTCTTACATCATTAAAACTGCACGTTACACAGAGTGGTCTTGATTACAGACATGACTTTCACTGAGTGGGTTTGTTGTTACATACTGTGCAAGCTCTCGTCTCCACTCCAAGAAGCTGTCTTTCTCTGCTTGCTGCAGCGCCTCTGGACTCGTGCTTTCATCCCAGTGGGGGCTTAAATATCGGAGAGATGTGATGAAAACATGTACAAAACACAGGGTCATGGTTTTATAAAAGAAAAAGAAAAAGTTTATTCTTCTTACCGTCGAGGGATCCTGAGAAAATGCCTGTTTTCTTCATGCAGCTTCTTCAGACGGTTTTTCTCCTCAGTGGTTAATAAACCAGCTCTAGCTTCAGCTGGCACAAACCTGACATTGAGTTTCTCTGGAAAATAAAGCAAAATAGGATGCTGTTGCAGTAATCTAGTCTGGATGTTATGAAAGCATGGATCAGGGTTTCGGCAGCTGAGAAAGTGAGTGAGAGGCGGAGCCGGGCAATGTTTCTGAGGTGAAAGAAGGCGGTCCCTAGTGATGTGGTTAATATGGCGGTCGAACTTGAGTTGCTTGTCAAAGATGATTCCAAGGTTCCGGATGTGAGGGGAGGACGACAGAGTGCAGTTTATGTTTATGAAACATGCCAGTTTATGAAAAGCTTTCATAGTCCTACGATGCTACGAATATAAATGTATAGCAATAGCTCTTTATATAAGTTAAGTAATATCTTTCCTACCAGCAACAAACTCTGTTCCTGCCAGTTCAGCTGTGGCCAAGAAGTCGTCCATAGAACTCTGCTCCGTGACTGACTGCAGGTTCAGTCGCCCCCAGTCGTAACCATCATTAAGTTCACTTGTGTGGATCTGTGAATGTCAAACAGAAGATGAATATTAGGCATTATAGAAATATATTAAAAGAAACTTTGAGTTTTTCACGATTCTTCACAAGTGAATGATTTAAAATGGTCATGTGCTCCCTATGAGGAATGTCACAAAACAGCCCCACACTTCACACACATGTATACAAAGAGTGGATAAATAAAACTCAACTGAACTTTATTTGTAAAGCACTTTAAAACAACCACAGCTAAAAAAAAGTGCTGTACATAAATAGACAAAACAATAAAAACAATGAATAAAATAAAGGCAGATATTAAACAGTAAAATATACATTCAGTTTTTAAAAACAATAGAAACAAATAACTAAAAACAAACCATAAAACACTAAAACAGGAGCCGAGTCTCATGCAAGGTTGAAAGCCAATGAATAAAAATGGGTTTTAAGAGGAGTTTTAAAAATGGACAGTGTGGGGGCTTGTTTGATTTGGAGGGGTAGCTCGTTCCATAATCTTGGGGCCACAACAGAAAAAGATCTATCCCCTCTGAGCTTGGTTTGGACCTCGGTACCTCCAGGAGCAGCTGATCAGCTGACCTGAGGCACCGAGCAATACAGTAAAAGCATAAAAAAAAAAAAAAACAATACAGGTGTATATTTGTAATAACTTTCTACTACAGGTAATAACAGAGTATTAGTGCTTAAAGCTTCAGTTTGGACCTCATGTACCTCCAGGAACAGCTTATGGTCATTACCCTGTAATATCTAATGTCTAACTAATTTTTACCAGGCGGTGGTGACATCTCTGTATTTTACTCCTACTAAAAGTGACTTGGTAACATGATATAAACAATTAAACTATTTCCCTGTTTACCATTAGTTAAAAAGTGTTGTATAAAAGTAATCTTTGCTCATTTCATACCCATGAGTCGGCCTTCTTGTTCCCTCGGCCTGCCTGAAGTCTCTCCTTTATTAGAGCTCTGCCCAGTCCAGCTCCTCCTCCTGCCTTCTTCTTACCCATTATCACTCACTTCTTGTCACCTCAAACAATCCCCTCTGCTGTTCTTTAACTCGAAATTTCAAGAACTATTTCTCCCACTGGCAGAAGATTTCCATGTGCACTATGGCTGGTGGTAATAACGTTGTTGACGAAACGACCGGAAGTGGGACAATCCAATGGCATCAAATAGACGGCTAAATCGATTCTTACTGGTTATAACAACAAAATTATTCTTCTAAATATAACTCGGGAAATAAAAAGAACTTTTAATTAATTATTTATCCAAATTTGATCACCTGAGCTGCTCTGTATGAATCATTCAAAGTACCAGAGAGATGGTACAGTCCACTTTCAGTCCTGCTATCAAAAGTGCCCTGAAGAAAATTATACAGAAGAAAAATAGTTCCACATTCATATTGGTTTCATCATAAATTCAGTCTCTATATATACATGATCGATTACCTTTAAAGGTTAATTAAAGTATACTTGTTTAAATAAAGTTTTCCCTAAAGAAATAATTAATTTACGTCAAATTTACACGAGAAAGAAGTAGTTCTGCCGTGAACCAAAAGAGGGCGGTATATAACAGCCAATAAAGACAGCACCACTGCCTTACCCATGAAATATGGATCAAAACGATGACCTGACAGACTGCACATAGTTTTATACGTAAAAAAAAATCAGTCTAATGATTTCTCATGACCATGAAAAATAAATAGTCTAATGGAAAAACACCGTGAAATATGAGAGGATATATCTTTTCAAAAACGTGTCTGTGGGCTCAGAAAGTGTTAGGCTAAGCATTAAGATCTATAGACATCAAACAACCAACTGGAATAAATACATTTGAAAATGAAATTGCAGATTTTTTATTTATTTATTTTTTTAACTGAGCTTTTGTTTTTTATTTATTTTTATTTTCACGTGCTGATGCTTTGCAACTGTTTGTCAAAGCACTTTGTAAACTTATCTTTTGAAGTGCTATAAAATTATTATGATAGATTTATTATTATTTTATTTTATTTTATTTTTTTGCTCCAAATCATGTCACTTCTTGTAACAATGACTAGGTTTGAAAGTTTTCAAAGTTGCTATATTCATACCTTACAGTAGGCTATATATACACCAACGAGATTCAGATAGATAGATAGATAGATAGATAGATAGATAGATAGATAGATAGATAGATAGATAGATAGATAGATAGATAGATAGATAGATAGATTCCTTATTAATTCAAGAGGGAAATTAAAAAGCAAAAACAGAGGCAGCACCAATGACACACAGTAAACATTCTACACATCTACATACCAATGGATAGTCCACATCTTCATATCTCACTTATTTCTCTTAGGATGTTTAGTATATTTAGTCTGTATTTATTGTATATATTTAGAATATTTAGTCTGTATTGTACATACTTCATCTTATATTTAATTTTATTTTGTGTTTTTATTGCTGCTGTAACATGGGAATTTCCCAGTTTGGGATCAATAAAGTCTATCTATCTATCTATCTATCTATCTATCTATCTATCTATCTATCTATCTATCTATCTATCTATCCACAAATACAAACACTGTAACAATATTTACACTAAATAAAGAAAAAATAAAAACAGTTTATACACTATGGACTATTCTATGGATTATTGGTTCAGTCCATCACCGTTTTTATTCGAAATGGTTTTCAGAAATCATCTGTAAAAAATACGTGCAGTTCTAAAAACAGCAGTAGGGTGAGCGAGAAGCATGAATGAAAACAGAGATGGCTAGACCCACATGTTTACTTTCAATTGGTTTAGTCCCCCCCTACAGAGACGCTCAAATGGTTTCTACCTTCATATAAATAGTGAAGCCAGCGCCTGTAAAGCAGACTGTACAGCGTCCTTCATGGAAACGGGAGACAGGAAAGCACAATGGACCAGAGTACTTTAATGGACCAACAGATGAAGTACGGTGTCTTTGCGTTTCGTTCTCACAGAGTAGCTCACAAATGACCTGACAGGACCATAGACACTTCTAGGATTTAGTAGTCGCCTAATACGAGATTTGATTTTCTTTCTTTCTCAGTAGACTTTGTTGCTGTTGACTGGAACTAAAATGCTGCCTTGGAAGAAGAATAAGTTCGACCTGATTGAGGAAGACAAGCAGTCCAAGCAGAAGGGCTATGCAGTGAGTCTCAACTACTCTGCGCTCACCTCCTTCGCCAAGTCCTGCCCCGAGAGCGCACTCAACAGGGTGGGCAGCATGTTCAAGTCAAAGAGGAAAAAGGTGAAGATCACCAGCGAGGACCCCACCTACACTGTGCTCTACCTGGGGAATGCCACCACGATCCAGTCCAAAGGGGACGGCTGCACGGACGTGGCGGTGAGCAAGATATGGGGCAAAAGCGAAATGGGCAAAAACGGCACCAAGATGAGGCTGACCATCAGCTCGCAAGGCATCCGGATGGTGCATGTGGACGATAAAGCCAGGAGACCGGGACACTTGTACTTGCTGCACCGAATAACTTATTGCGTAGCAGACCCAAGGCTACCCAAGATTTTCGCCTGGATTTACAGGCACGAAATGAAGCACAAGGCCGTTATGCTGCGCTGCCACGCAGTGCTGGTATCCAAACCGGAGAAGGCAAAAGCCATGGCTCTGCTGCTGTATCAGACCTCGGCTACGGCTCTGGCTGAGTTCAAAAGACTAAAAAGGAGGGACGATGCTCGGCACCAGCAGCAACAGCTCATAGGGGAACAGACAATCCCGTTGGTCCCCCTCAGGAAGCTGCTGAACGGACAGTGTTACTACAAACCCCCGGTGGAGCGCAGCCGGAGCGCACCCAAGCTGGGCTCCATCACAGAGGACTCAGTCGGGGAGGAGGAGGAGGAGAAGGCGATGCACTTTGAGTGTGAGGACATTCTGGACACTGTCGATGAATGTGTTACCAATGGTAAACAGGAGTTGTGTCAGATTATTAATGACTTGGGAGAGATGAGCATAGGAAACGATGTGCAGACACTGAAGGCTGACCTCAGAGTCACCAGACTTCTCTCCGGAGAGAGCACGGGGAGTGAATCCTCCATAGAGAGCAACTCGGAGCCCCCTCCACTTACTAACGGGCTTCAGGAGGTGAAGGTGCAGGAGGTAGCCTAAATTATCTTAGGCATTTCTGTACGCGTCTGACATGTTGTTATGTTGCAGTGTGAGTGCTCTCCAACAGAAACATTTCCTGTGTCAACTCGATGTTGGAGAGAGCTCACCACAACCTGTGCCTCCAAGACTTTAGAGAATTCAGAAAAAATGGGAGGTGAAGTAAGGCTACTGAATGATATTTGAAGAATGTGTAAACGGAAAACTTGGAAAAGCAAGTGCATGCACATGAGAGGTTGAACCGACAAAATCCCAGTGCGCCCTAGGACGCACGGCACTAATTCCATCTATTTTACTTAAGAGGATTTGTTGTGGCCTCGAGCTTGTTTACCTAACGTTTTTTCCCCTTCTCACTCATAAAAGTGGCATTTTTCAGTTGAAAAGTGCTCCAAACAAGTCGAAGCATTCCGTTTTTAAGCACGTTTTTTCCCCCTGAATGGTTCAGTGGGTCTAAACATGCATCATTACTTTTCCTGTCAGGGTGCTTTTGTTACAGCCTGTTCATCTTATTTTGATTTTGCACTGCTGTAAAGTCATTGAAGTATTATGTTGACTTTGTGTACATAATGTCTGTTGGTATGTTGTCTGAAACATCAATGTCATATCTTTGCTGTGCAAAAGGAAACACACTGTTATGTATTGAGATGTAAAGTAAAAGATGTTTTAAATATAAATATGTTATTTTTTAAAGAAATAATAATGTGGTTTGTTATGTGAACCTCAAAAAATTACCAATAAAAAAGAAATTGATATAAAGTTGCAGAAGTTTGTGTGCAGATTGATTCAAAATGATGTGGGCATTGTTTTCATTTAGTGCTCTCTGATATGACTGGGAGTTACCTTGAGAGCCTTCAAGAAGGTCAGACATGCACTGTCTGATAAAGGTCAAAGGACTATTTCTCCAGCTCTAGATACTTCAGATATTATCAGGCTTATCTTTGGGGTATCTTTTTATAAGTTTGTGTTCATTGGCTGAAATGTTTAAGCCTTTATACATCAAGTGAGATCAGAGAGCAGCCTGTGGAGGTTATTGCATTAAGGTACTGAGGGCCCTTTCATTGTGAACAGCCCCAGGGACTGCAAGGCCCACACACATGAGGACGTCATTACACGCACAAGGAGTTAGAACATCACATGGGTCCTTAAATGACAGGGCAGGGGAAACACTTAACACCTTACTGTCTGCCTTTTATTTGCTCTAATGTCAGAGCTCTTGTGGTGAGACACACCTGAAGAAGAAGAAAAAAAAGATGATATATTTAAAGAACCAGCAGCTACATTGCTTTCTCATAACTAGTAGTGACATGTCTCACTTCCTCTTTACCCAACAGCGATAAAAATATCAAATCACTTCCTCTTGTAAAGTCGAAGTACATTACGCTTGTTATATGACACCTTGTGAAGTTGCCTCTCCAGCCAGGTCATGTGACCTGTGGTCAACCAAGTGATATGGGTGACAACACTCCTCCTGCTGCTCTGAATGTGAAACAGCTTCACTTCTTTAATATTCAAAGAAACAGGCAAACACAAACACATCACACACTCTTCTCCAGACAACTTGGTAGAGATGGGTATAAAATCCGCAAATAGCAACACACAGGTAATGATTAAAGTGTGATGAACCTGTCTGTAAGACTCAGACATGATCTCACCAACACCCCACTGCTGAAGAAGTGCTCACTAAGGGGGGTAAATATGAGACACAGGGAGGGAGAAAACAGGTTTGCTGCTGCTAAGAGAAGGTGGATCTAAGGATTGTTATTCGTGCAGACTGTGCTTCACCAGCTGACACAATCCCATTTACCATGCTGAGGTATTTACTGAAAACACAAACACTCCCATCGTGGATTAAAACTAAGATCCAGAGACAGAGGGTGAATGTGGTTCAGCCAAGGGTTGGTGAGTCCTATAAAAAGCTTTCCAGCGGCTCATTATGAACTGATGTGCTTTCAAGAGGTGAACACACATACGTACACACACAACCTCTCGAAATCATGACTGCTATAACTCTGTGGCTTTTCAAAAACT